TCTAAATTGTGATGGTCATTACCATAAGTTAAAAGAACTCATCAATAAAATACCCATTCTCCTGTTCCAAACCATTCTAAAAATAGAACAATTAAAGTTTTATTTTTATTTCTACAAGTTGCAATCACTCGTCTTTTGTTGTCTATAATTAAAATAAGCTACAATAAGCTTTTTAGGGGTTTCTCTAACGTGTTGTTTATATTTTTACTTCTTTCACTGGATCTTATAATTAAAGATGATATTTTATTTTCAACCACAGTGGCATATTAAACTTTAAACTCGTTATACATACCACGTTATTTTTTTTTTTTTTTTTTTTTTTGTTTATATGATTATTTCCCCTCTTTCAAGCAAAGAAAAGAAATAAACAAACCAATCGAATTCAATTTTAAAACTAGTTGCAATAGGTTAATGCTTTGAAAAGTGCCTGAACTAATTTTTAATAGTTCGAATAAAACGAAACTGCATTGCCATTATGAGTCCGACTTTATGCAAAACTAAAATCGCTGGAACAACAAAAAATATAAATGAAACAACCATCGATGAGTAAAACCCATAGGTAACACAAGGGATTGCTATGGAAAAACATGCTGCTCATCAACTCATCCATTCGCAGTATGAAACTAATTCCGTTTGGTCTGGCTAGTTGATTCCGATTTGACCTTTTGTCCTACAAGTTCACTTGCAATCGATATTTTATTGAATGATTTTTTTAGGTTCATCTCAAATCTCGCGAGAGTGGAAAATAACTCCACTCTTTGTTTTTAGGCAGACTTCATAACCAATATACCAAGACTTCTGTCGCTAATATTAAATATTATGCTCATCTAGCCCCTCTCTCTTGTCATACAATATGTTTATGCATTGCGCCCGATGTCATCCATTGATGGGTAATTGTGGTTGAGCCATAATGGTAATAATGAACAAACAAGAAGATGATGATGCTAATTCATTCTCCTAAATTAGGCCAAGAATTCGCTAGGCTTATTATGCGTTTTCTCATTTATTACAGGAATTTACATGCCTGACAGAAAGCGCTTTTTCGACTTTTTTGTTTGGCTCCTATTTTATTTTATATTTCTTATTTTATTTTATTCATTAATCTGATAAATCGCCATATATATTTTAGTTACAGAATCTTGACTATGTATGTTCATACCACACCCACAATCGCCTTCTTTCACCCTATTTTGTACGATATGCCATCGCCAGAATTTTGATTCTTTTTATCCCGAGCATTTATATGTAATGTACCTCTTCGAAACGCGGATTTCTCCGATACTTTTCGCTCTACACGAGACAGATTATGACGTTAGCTTAGTTTTTGAACGGCGAATATGAGATTAAAATAAGCTCATAAGGAGAAGAATCCTAAATAACTTGTTCATGAAATTGAAAATATTTTCAAAACAGAGAGATGCAACTTTAATATGAAGAAGTTATGTTGCTGCTGTTTGCTCCTTTTTGGAAAAGTCGTCAAAAATGAAAAGGAAAAAATTATTTTTAGAAACCCTGCAGAAATATAGAAAATAAAACAATAAAAATAAAAAAAAATAAAAATCCGCTTCTTAGCCAAATCAAGTAGAACAACTTGCGCGATTATATCTACTATTACAATTAGTATTACTATCATGCTACCACCACTACTACTACTATTACGAAGTGAAACTCAAAAATTACCCATTTTCATTTCCACTCTGAGGTTACAATACCACCACACACAAGAAATATCTCCCGATGGAAGACGTAGAAGAATTATATTCTGGGTTTGTTGGGACAAATGTAGAACTTTGAAATGTTACGGATAGTCTGGTAGGGTGGGGCGGTGTGTGTAAAATTAGTTAATGTGTGAGAATAAGAAAAATTACTGTAAAATGACACATTTAAACGATTTTCTTAGATGACAAACCATGTTTCTGGAATTTAAGTTTATTTATAATTAACTTAAAGTTTAATACTACCAACAACAGTTTCTTAGCAACAAAGGGCAACAGAAAAAACAAGCAATTGCAACAAAGAAGTAAGTATAGACCAGGCCAGACCATTTGTCACTCCAACACACACTCTCACACCATAATCTCATTTAGTTGGCTAATAGATACAATAGTGCGATCAATCTCAATTCATCTCGCTACAATTATGCTCTTAAAACTTGAAATCAAAAGATAATCGTATCTACACATGAAAGAACGCAAACCTTTGGCAATACATTTGCAATACATTTGCAATAATTTACATATATTGAAAGATTTTCAAAAAAAAGTCTTGGAATCACATGTACGACGTACTGAAACACCTTAAAACTGATAAACTCATTTGTTATATTCCGTTTTTTTCTTTCTATATTTTTTAGATTATACAGTATGTATGTAGTTCGTTCATTGGTTTGTTCTTTCTATTCTTTGATCAATTCTTTCATACGTTGACCCATCTTTTAGACGTCCATTAGTTCAATTTAATGATAGTCAAATCGAAGAGCGCAAACTTTCTTCATGCTACTTCTTTAGAATTTCGTTAATTTTTAATCGGCAAGAATTGGAGTGGTATGTATGGAATTGATTAATATTGATTAAATTCATTTAAATAAGGTTCTTAGTTGGTGCACAGTTTACCTGATTGAGATATTTGCAATTAACATAAATAATTATCATTGCAGTAATTTATACATAAAAACACCTATAATTTTTTAAGTAGGACCAGTAAAATATAAACTTAACCGATCTTAAGAACTTGCTCCAAACCAAGAAAGAAAGCGTTTTTACTGTTATGGTTGATTATGTTACTAAAGAAGCAGGAAACGGAGAACAAAGATGAACAAGAAGAACAAGAAGAATAGAAGACGGGTAAAAAAAATAAATAAAATAAGACACCAAAAGTTGAAATTGGAAACTTATGGTTTGAAGTCATTGAATTGTCACAATTATGCAATTCTTAACTAAATATATATCATCGTTAACTTAAACTTAAGTTATTTAAAGAAACATCGGTGTTTAGGGAGAAAGAATTTTTGGGTTCTATATAGCCGAATTCAAATTCAAATTGGTTAAATATTATTAGCATTTATCAATCATCTAATAGTTATGATATATAAGTTTTAAACTCGATCTACGAACCTTTGGAAGAATGTTTTGTACATACGATCTTCGAATCGATAAGGTTTATAGTTAACTTTATTGGAACTAAACCATTAATAAACCCTTCTTTCTACACACCAAAAAAAATAGCCAAAACGCTTTGATATAATAGAAACAAATGGATCATAAGCGAATATCAAAGTTTTTTAGAAAAATGGATTTTAGATCTTTGAAAAATTAATTCCAACCCACTTGTACTAATGATTTTTTAAAAAATTAAATATTTCAACTTTAGAATAGAATTTAAAACATAAAAGCCGTGCGCTACCGCTCAACCCGAGCCCAACTTATGTGCAAGCCCACATTATGCATGTGTTCCAAACTGAATTTAAAATAATAAAACAAAAATATAAATATAGTTTTTATGCAAAAACTTTAAATTCCTCACATACATGAGAACTCAAACTTTAATTTTTTATGGGAAAATAAAAAAAAATAAAAATAAAATTAAAATTCGAATAATAAACAAAATGTCGTAATTATTTATCAAAAAATAATTACTGTGTGTTTTCTTTTTCAATTTTTTTGTAAATTTTTTTTTTTGGTTCGTTCTGGAAAAAAAGTCGCCTAAGAAAATTGAATTTAGTATGATAAATCATAATACCTGATAAAAAATTATATAGTTTGCTTGGTATGTTACAATTAAATTTATAATTAGTATTAATTATTATCATGTTAATATAAATATAAATGAAACTATCATTTTATAAAAAAAAATAAAATACTGAAAAAAGGTTTAAAATTTTCTTCGAAGGTTTTCTTTTCTTCTTGTTAATTCTTTATATCTTATATCTTATATCATATTTAAAGCTAACTAACTTGATTCCTTGTTAGATGATAGTTTAGATCAATATTTTCATATATTTGATCAACAGGAAAAGGAAAATTAAAACCAAAAGAGTCAAACCATCATCCATATCGATTCTATTATCAAAGTTCAGTTCAGTCTAGTTGTTTTTTGGTTCGTGCAATAGTCATACGTTCCACCACCACCCTCAAAAAGCTTCCATACCCTCCCCCCCTCCCTCATAAGAAAGAAAAATATAATTACTAAATAAATTTTTGAAAACAAAGAAGTCTCTCTAATTCATTGTCGTAAGAATATCGAAAGTGAGTGATTGAAAGTACAAACATATCTCCTTATCAAGTATCAACCATAAGAGATAAACAGAAAGAAAGAAGGAAATCATAATAATCAACTCGAGTCCTGTCTATCTATACACTCCTTTAATTTTATCTCAGACTTTTACGTACATACATAATCCGCGTCACTTTTTTGCATTAAACACTGTTTACTCCAACTAATTCAAAGTCAAAGTCATTCATCCATTCACATATCTATCCAATAAGTCCAAACCCATTCCATTATACTCCATATAATTAACTATTCATATTTTCATAACATAAAGATTTCCATTCTAGAAATTAAAGAATTGATCTAAAATAAAAAAAGTTAATCATCCTCATTTTTAATTTTTAATTTTTAATTTTTAATTTTTTTTTTTTAGTTACATCACAAAAAAGAAAACTCACCCCACAAACAAAACAAAAAAAAAAGTACTTACTGGTTTGCAAATCTAAAATCATTAACTAAAACCCAACTTTAAAATCAAGAAATTTTACTGTAAAACATCACACACCATAAATACTTGTCGTATTTACCGAAAAATAGAGTTATCTGTATTATTATCTATTTCCCTAATAAGAAAAATCATATATTTATTATAAACTTATTTATTAAGTTTGCATTTTTAATCATATTTTTTTTATTTTTTTTTTTCACAGCCTACCTAATCCACCTTATTTATTATATGTACAATACCAGGATCTTGATATCATCTTCATAATCATCATTACAATCATATCATGTCGTCGTCCAAACTAAGTCCTTCCTATTATGGATACGTTGGTTCCACCAAAGATGCTTTGTTAATAATCCAGGAGATTTTAGATAAGCAATTGGAATTAGTACCTAGAAGACCTCATGAAAGAGAAAGAACAAGTTTAATAAAATCAGGAAACGTATTTGTGTTCATAGAAGAACATTCAGGCATCAAAAGATGGACTGATGGCATTGCTTGGTCACCTTCAAGAATATTGGGTCGATTTTTAGTATATCGTGAATTAGATAAACAATCATTATCTGAAAAAGATGATAAAAAGAAAAAGAAAAGAAAAGTTAGTCTTGAATCTGATCCTCTTGATAAAGTTTCAAGTATACCTCCTGCTCAACAATTATTACATTTACATAATGATAATTCAAATCCAAAACCTCTTTCAAATTCAAATGATTATAGTAAAGATTTATTAGGTACTCCAATAGTTTCATCTTATGTATTTAAAGATCAAGGTTTAATTAAAAAGACTTTAAGTTTAACTACTACAAGTAAAGAATTGCATGTGGATAAAAAAGAAGAAAAACAAACTATACATTTAATCAGTTATTATAATGCTGATGATGTGCTAAATGGTAAATTACAAAGACCTTCTGAAACAGATTTAAAAAATGCTAATATTTCAAATGGTTTATGGAATGCCGTTAAAGATTCTCTGTTAGGAGGAAAAATCCCTATCGAAGATGAAGCTTATTATTTCTTAGATACAAATTATCAATTACAAAATATGTCATTATTACAACAACCCCCCATACAAGGTAATCCATCAAATCCCCCTGTACAATATTTATCTCAAAAGTATGGTGTTCCTCAACCTCTTGCCACTGGCTATCAACAACAACCTCAACCTCCTCATCAACAATATATGCTACCAATCCCTCCTCAACAACAACTGCAACAACAACAACCAGAATATTCAACTGGTGGTTATAAAAGAGAAGATGAACCATCAAGTAATGAATTAACTTTCATTAATCCATTCACAGGTGATCCTCATTCTCAAATCAGTTATAATAGTAACAATAGTAGTACTACTATTACAGGTGGGGGTTCTGCTCCTGGCTCAACTTCAGGTGCTTCCGCTATAACAACTGCTCCAATGTATAATAATTATTTGGCACCAGCTCCTTATCAACAACAGTATGGATTTGTTCAACCTCAACAACAGCCTCAACAACAACCACAACAACCTCCACCACCTCAACATGATTCCAATACAACTGGTGGTCAAACTTATTATCCACCTATTCCTCAACATTTTCAGCAACCAGTATATCCTCAATATCATTTTGGATCTACAACTTCGTCCTCAGATCAATATTCCATAAATGGGAGTAATGCTAATGTATCAAATGGAGGTTCAATAAGTTCAATCAGTAGTAGTATGGTTCATGGATCAAGTCAAAATAGTTTTAGTGGTCCACCAAGTGGAGGTGTATCAGGAAAAAAAAATCAATATAGAACATCAGCTTCAGGACCTACTACTGGTGGTGGTCCAAATGCTGCTGGAACTTGGTTTACTACAAACCCTCCTCCTAATGGATATGTTGCTGCTGGTGTTCCATCCTATGCCGTGGCTTCAAATTCAAATGAATATAATTCAGGTGCTACAAGTTCTACAAGTAATAATACCGATACAGGAGTTGTTGGAAGTGGGATAGCATCACCATTATCTCATAATATTCCATCCCATTATAATCATGGTATTCATGGTCAACATCATCATCAACATTTTCCATCTCATCCTTTAGCTAATAGTACTACTAGTGCTAGTGTTAGTGGAAGTGTTAGTGGAGCTACTGGTAGTGGTAGTGGAGGAAGTGAAGATAGCACCAATAATCCAGCCACCACAGCTGTTGGCAATCCAGGTTTATATAGCTATGCCAACAATTAAGGGTAAGACAACGAAAATGAAAATGAAAATAAAAACACAACAAAACTCCAAAAATTAGTAATAAAAGTGAAAATTGAAATTTTTTTTGACTACAATGAAAAGTTTATCCTTATACTACTACTACTATATTGCTTATTATTATTGCTTCTTATTATTATTATCTATTACTATCTATTATTTATTCTACACCGATTTTAAAGTTTGATTTATTTTGGTTTATCCTTTACTATTATGATTTTTATTGGTTGTTTGCATTATCAAAAATTATTTATTATAGGTTGAGTCCACAATGTTTATTATTTTCTTTCATGTGAAGATCAAGTTTTTAGCTCACTTTACTTCAAGGTAAAGATTGCTTTACTGCTCTTATGACGAATATACTGGGTTTAACTTTGTTTCTTTTTTTATTCTATTCTATTCTCTTCAATTAATATTTCTTTTCATTTAATCATTAGTTAATTATTTATTTTATTTATTTATTTGTTATTATTCTTTATAGTATTAAGATATTAACTTTGTATTATTAGATAATGTTTCTTTACTTGATGATGAAACTATTTCTCTTCTATTACCAATATTACATGATATTCCACTTGTTCATTATGATGTTACTTTTAATTTAAGAATGTAGTGACTTTTGATTATTGCTAGTAACAAAAAAATTGTATATGGTGATGAGAGAGAGATTGTGTGTATGTGTTACACTGGCACTTTACAAAATTTAAGGCATTCTTAAACTGACTTCGGAATTGATCAATTTCTTTCTGCGCCATGCAGAATATCGCGTTAAAAGCGAGAAAAAATAATTTTATTTTTTGGGCTTTTTGTTCCATTTTTTTTATTTTTATTTTTATTTTTTGGTTCTGCAAATTTATTTTTTATTTGGTCTTTTTCTTTTCTTTTTTTTTTTTTTTTTTTTTTTTGTTTGAATCTTTTTTTTTTGGGGATTGTTCTATTTCATTATTATGGTTGCCACCATAATCAGTCAATAAAAGTTTAAATTTAAAATTCTCGTTTTTCTTTTATTTTTTTGATAATTCAACCACTCTCCGAGAAAACCTGTATCTCCTCTTACGATATAATATATGTGTTAATAGGTTGCATCTAGAAGCATTATTCAAAATGAAGAAATAACCTAACGAGACCGGAGGCGTTTGCTTTCAATTGAACGGATCACGGTTCCCACATATTTGCATTGTTGCCTATGCTAATTTAGCCGTGGAATCAGCCTTCACCATTGCAATGGATAAATAGCGGCATCCCGATATGCAGGTTCAGCTCAGCTAAGACAGTGATGGAATTATAATGTAACACCTATAAAGTTAAGTCTCAACCATAACTAAATGTGTTTCGATACATAATATTATAAGTTTAGAAATGGTGATGTATCATTATGAACAATTGATTCTTATTTTAGTCTTAATCGACCTAAAGTTAATTCCAAAAATAGTAGAGAACTTTATCAATTGTTCAGTTTCTATCAAAATGGATTTTAACCATTTAGGGTTTGAATGCATGGTCGATCAAAGAATTAACTTGACAATAGGAGCAATGCTGAAAATAATAATATTTTAAAAAAAAAGTTGATATAATTATTATTATTATTATTATTGAATTGCATATAGATAATTTTTTTTTGACTTTCACCTTACATTGGTTGTCGTTGATATCGATGAAGATAGAATTTATAGTTTAGTTGGAGGTTACCTTACCTTAACGTCATTACAGTTTTATAATCTATACTGATGTTCATGTCCTAGATCATATTGTCAAACCTAATCTGAGTTCCTCTGTGCCCCCAATTCTAATGCCAATAGTCTAACTCTAATATGACACACAGGGTCTTACCGATGAACACACTCATAATCATTGATTGATAGTGGTTTAAATCATTGGCCAAACTATTTCATCTTCTTTCTTTACACATAGTATTTTCGTAGACCAATTAGAAAAGAGGGTTAGATCTAATGAGTCAAAAAAAAAGATATGTGAGATGCAGACCTATTAGATTGTTAATTTCATATAAACCCGTGGAAAAAGGTTCCAGATAAGCAAGAATCAGTTACATGCACGAATAAAAATAATGAAATATATACCTTCTACATACATTCATGCAATTTATTCTTCTATAATAATACTGTTTAACTATTAAAGGAAATAAATTCCCCTCCACCCAGCATAGTTTCCAATTCAAATCTTGTTCTCCTCTCCCCAAAACAGTAACTCACATAAATAAAATAAAATAAACTGTTACCAATTACTCATTTGCACCTAGTACATGATGATGATGGTGATGATGAAGAGGAGGAGATTGCATCTTCTAGACCAAAAAGAAAAAGCAATAAAACAAAAAGATAAACATTACAAACCATCATCCCCCCCATCGTCACCCCTGTATGTATGTATGTATGAATTTATTTATTGTTTTGCATACATTATTATGTATGTAGGTGGCAAGTTTGCCTACTAATGAAACTATAAAAAAAACGACATTGTTAAGTAAGACAGATAAGTAGTGTAGTGTCTCAGCTTCACTAGAACTAATTCGAATTGTTGTAAATGAATATTTCAAAAAGTCAAATTGTCTATTTAATAAAAAGAATTGTTGTAATTATTTTTTTTTATTTTGGTCCTTTCTTTTTTTTTTTTATTATCTTTTTTTTTTTTGGGCTTCTATTATTTGGGGTTTATTTCTTTTTTGGATAATAGGAGACCATATCACCAAATTCAAATTGTTTTCGCTTATGGTTGGAGTACAGATTCTTAACTCTAAATTTTTTTTCTATGTAATTTGAACTTTATGCTTAAATTAATTTTGAAATTTGCAATAATAAGCATTAGTTGCTGTAGTCGTACATCTTATCCTCACCTTACATTTTGTATGGAATCAAATAAAAGTTTACCGTGTTTAGGTTAAGTTCACATTTTAACGAGGTTAAGAAAGGATTACAATCTTCCATTGATCTAGTCATTGGTGACATAGTGAATCAAGTCACTCCGTAACTAAGCAATTCATCTAGACTTACGAAAATCGATCATCCATATATAAAGTGAAAATGGCGGGTTTTATTTGACCATTTCTTGGTGAAAACCTGGTACCACTTTAGTAAAGCTCGGATAGTCCATCTTCTAAATCACAAGAAAACAGCACCATTTTTAAATTTATGTACCATTAATTTCAAAAATTGAGTGTGTGATTAAATTAAATGTGTGATTGATTTAGAAAATAGAGTGAGTGTGAGAATATCTAATCCTATCGATCAAATCGCCAATCATTATTTTTCGAAATGAGAGCCCAAAATTTTATTTTTTACTTCCTTATCTTGCCTTTCCATATCGAATTGGATCTCGCCTTTGGTCTTGGTTTCATATGGATCATTAATCGATTCCGCTTCACCAAATTCCACGGGTAAGGAATACTCATCTGATGTGATGGGATGTAGATAATGTAAGTAGTGAAAAATGAAAAATAAAAGAAAAGAAATAATTATTATCAAAAAAAAGGAGAGAGAGGGGCGTCCGAAACGACGACATTTGGCTTCTTTCTTTTTCTTTTATATGTACGAGTGCATGATATTTTTTAGAATTCTATGCTTATTTTTTAATATGTGCATGACAAAATGTCGTTCTGCAGAAAAAAGCTTAGACTAAAAACAAAAAAAACAAAAAAATAAAAAAAGAATGCATTTTTTTTTTTGGTTAGTGATTAAATTTCTTTTTCTAAGGGAAGCAAAAAAGGAAAAAAAGCAAAGAAGAAGAAAAATAAAGGGTATACACTATGGAGAAAATAAATTGGGGTAGAAAAGTAACAATAATTTAATTATTTTTAAATGCAAAGTTCTTAAGGTAATAGAAATAGGTCCAATTAAGTAAAAGGCGAAACTTCAAAAAAGAATTAAACTATCTTACAACTCATTATCTCTCTAATAATTGCCATAAAGAATTATTTCACGAAGGTTAAAATCTACTCTATTCATTCTTTAACTGCAAAAGAAACAACCAAAACAATAAATAAAAGAAAAAAGTTAAAAATATTTATATTAATAAATAAAATTAAGCTTCTCGAAAAATTTCAGATTTAGTTTTGAAAGACAAAGATTTAGAGCAAAACTATAATGCAATTAAAGAACAAAGGCAAAAGCATAAGAAAAAGATAAGAATAAGCTATCATTAATTGTAATCAAGCTTATTCATACCGAGTTAGATTTTTGTTTATATAGTAACAAAGGTAGCGGAATTTATGTGATTATTCCCCGAATTATATAGAGTTAAAGTTAGAGTTATAAACCTTCCCACATATGGTTTTAACATCCCGAGAATATACCTAAATAACCCATTCACTTATTATTGATCCCTTCTGCAAGAAGAACAAAACTGAAAAAGGTTAAATCAAAACAAATGAATTAAAGTCCCATATAATTAATTAATTATTGGTAGTGTGTCAATGCACATTCACGTTGGGTAAATCATTTTCTCGTATAATGAAAAGCTTAATTATAGAAATTGAATGTATGAATAGGTTTTTAAGATTAGTAGTTTAATTAGTTAGGGATATGTGGGAAGTGTACTGTGAAATTTAAGTTCAGACATATTTCCATCACACACATCAATAATAGTTCCCTCGTTCCTATCCCCCCCTAAAATTCACATCAATTTCAATTTCTCCATTGTTTTTAGGAAATTATTTTATAATCATAGTTTGTTCTTCGTCTTGTTTGCTGTTGTTCCTCGATGCATTAATTGGTACGGACAAGTTATTTTATAACACGGCTGACAGGAGGTTGTGAATGTTACAGTGCTCCTCTATTTCATTGTATTCTTGGAAAGCCAATAATGCAATATGCACTAATGCTCCTTTAGATAATGCACTTGATGGCACCTTAAATATCAATGGCCCATTCAAATTGAAAACTCAATTCTTGAAAGCCTAATCTAATTTAGAATAAATCCCCCATCGGTATACATCGGTATCGGAATGAAGCATAGTATTGCTGATTATTACTGCTTTGTTGTTCCTTCCTTCCTTCCTTGCTGTCGCTAATATTTCGCTCGCTAACCTATCTAAGCCAAATGTAAATCAATCCATCCAAGTCCTTGCGCTTACCGCCTTTTGACCCCCTTTAAGCTATAGTTATTCTTCTTTAAGGGTTTTCATAAACGTTCCCTTCTCTAACTTTCACAGTTAAACTATTAATTTCATATTAAACTATCTATAAAAAAAATATAAAACAACATAATAAAAATAATAAATTTTTAACCTGACTTAACTTATAACATAAAATAAAAATAATATAAAACTCGAAATTAAGAAAAAAAAATAACAATAATAAATAAATAAATAAATTAATTAATTAATAAATAACAATGGATGCGAAAAAATACATGATTCATAACCATGATTCTACCTTATTCAAGTAATAAAGATGTATTATCATTATTAACATTATTATTATTATTTTCAATTGAAATATTTGAATTATTATTTTTTTTCCATTCTAATAATGGAGATAATTCTTCAATTTGTCCCGCTTTATGTTCAATAAATGAATGTTGTAATAATTCATCAGTAGTAGCTCTATATCTTACATCCACACAAAGACAAATTGATAAAAATTTCTTAATTGAATTTGATAACATTTCAGGTTTCTTTAATTTTGGTGTACCATTGGTGGCAATTAAATATAATGCTTTTAATGGTTCTTCATTTAAATATGGTGGTTCACCTTCAATCATTTCAATGGTCATAATACCTAATGACCAAACATCAACTTTAGCATCATATTCTTTTTGTTTAACCACTTCTGGTGCCATCCAATATGGAGTACCAACCATTGTTGCACGTTTATTTCTTTGATCAGTTAATTTGGCACAAAATCCAAAATCAGTAATTTTAACATTACCTTTAGCATCTAATAAAACATTATCAGATTTAATATCTCTATGAATAATATGCTTTTTATGTAAATGTTGTAAACCTTTTAAAGTTTCAAAACAAATAGTTGCAATTTGTCTTTCAGTTAATTTAAATTCATTATTTTCAATGATTTCAGTTAATGAACCACCTTCCATATATTCCATTATAACCCATAAATCCAGGGGAGTTCTTAAATAAGCATCTAAAAAGTTAACAATATTTTTATGTTGAGAATCTTTCATAACTAAAATTTCGTTAATAATTAATTCTTTTCGAGGTTGAACATTTAAATCCATTTGTTTAATAGCAACTTTTTTATTATTTTCTTTAATTGAAAGTGCTAAATAAACAGCTCCACTGGCACCTTGACCTGCTTTTTCAACTATAGTAAATAATGGACCTGGATTATTATTATTAACTACTGTTTTCAATTTAGCTAAGATTTGTAGATCATTTAATTTTTCCCGTTCTTTCTTTAATTGTTTAGGAGTTTTAATTTGTCCTTGACCCTTTAATGGATTATTAGTTGATTCCTTAGGTCTTGGTTGTAATGGTTGAATAGGTTCATCATATCCATCATCAGTATGAGAATGTTGATGTTGATGATGATATTGTTGTTGTTGTGGTGGTTTTTGAGGTTGAACTGGTTTAATATTACTAGTAGCTGCCACAACCTTTTTAAGTAATTCAGGTTGTTTATTAGCCGCAGTTGATGATTTTAATGCAAATGGTTTAATATAATTTCCCGTTGAACTTGGAGGTGGTGTTGGATATTTAGAAGTTGAAATTCCATTATAAGTATTATTATTATTAGTACCAGGCTGAATTTTAACATCAGGATGTATCTTATTAGTAGGTATAGATTGAGATTGTTCATTATTATGAGGTAAAGTTGGAGGAACTTGTTTTGGAATGGTTGTAATACCTAAACCAGTAGGTACACTAGATTTTTGATACAAGTTATTATTGTTATTATTATAGTTATTATTAGGTGGAGAAGTTCTATTAGTAGTATTGTTGTTATTGTCAGGACCAGTTGGATTATAAGAATAACCAAGTTTGAGTTGATTAGAAGATGAACCTGGAGGAGGAGGAGCTTTTCTAACTGGAACCAAATTATCTGATTTATTCATCAAATTATGTAATGGAGATATATTACTTGTAGATGATGAGGCAACATCTTTAGTAACATGATATGGAATAGGAGGTTTTGGAGCTGTTCTTGTTGGTTTAAAACTATCCAAAGGTTTTGAAGAAGTTGGAGCTTTAGTCCATTGTTGAATTTTATTATCACTTGAAAAAGTTTGAGAATTTATAGCAGGAGAATTTATTGGAGTTGAATTAGTTGAATTACCACCATTAATATCGGAATAAAATTCTAAAACTTCAATAACTGCTACAGGATCTTTTTTCCAATCTTCATTTGTAATTTTTGAATGTTGTAATAAACTTTTCCAAGTATCAGGTAAACCAGTAAAATTCCCACTTGCCGGATCAAACCCAACATGAACTTTATGAGTAAAATTAATAGGATTTGAAACTCCATTTGAATTTGAAGAATTTGAACTTGATGAAGAATTTAAAATATTATTTGATGAAGAAGGTTGACCAATTTGAGCCAAAGGACATTTTGAAGTAAAAGCATCTAACCAATCTAAATAATCATTATTATATTTGATAGAGATTAAGATTGGTTTTCCATTATTTTTAGGAATTAATTCAAAAGATTGACTTGTTTTAGTATAACCATAATTTGGTTTTAAATTAATGATACTTAACAGATTTAAAGGAATTGAAAAATCTGGTTGTTCCGAAGATGTTGAAATTGAAGTGGATGAAGATAATGATAAAGATGAACCAGAAGAATTTTGATCTGATTTATAAAAATTAAGAGTTTTATCATTAATGGCCATGAATCGTTTATTCCATCTAAAGGAGGTAAAGATCCCATCATCTTTAAGATGAACCCAACCAGCATGTCTTTTATTAGACGAAATATGGATGGGACCTAGATTAGTACTGGTAGTGGTACTATTAGCACTACTATGGTTTGAAGTTGAAATGATGGCAGGGGTTGTATTTACGGCCGTATTCTTTAAAGATGAAGGAGGAGGAGGAGCCTTTCGATGATGTTTTATATCGGAGGTGTAGATGCTAGTCATGATGGAGTGATTGATTCAGCTATGATTGATGATGATGTTCTTGTTCTTGTTGTTGTTGATGTTTGTTGTACATAAGTCTTTTTGTTAAAGCTGAATTGAAAACACCAAAGGAATTGCAGCCAATCAGGTTAGACTTGAAGATTGATGGTAAAGGAGGTGTGGATGATGTGGTATGATTATTCAAACGATTGATGGATTGATTGAATGATGGATGGAATGATGATGATATGATGATGATGATAGATGGTAGATGTTGTAACTTCTTGATGATTGTTGTTGTCAAAACTTTTCCTGATTAAATTCGAACCCTTTTTGAAATTGTCACCTCTAAAAAGAAAAAAAATACACGCTGTCGCCAAAAAAATAAAAATCAAAACAAAAAAAAAGACTATGTATTATATACAGGATAGGATATATATACACAGTTAATTATATTAATTGGGATTAATTATATCTATTTTTGGATCATTCACCCCCTTTTTCTAATATGGTTAATAATATATTACTTATATGATATATTACTTATATGATATGATATGTAATATATTATATAAGTTCTAGGATTAGTAATTTAGAGATGTGACCCAAGAGTTGAAACACATGTAAAACGATCCTTATACGTTGACAAAACTAGAAATTAGACGATAGATTTAGAGGAATGTAAATAAATAAAAATAAATAAAATTAAATTAATCCTCAAAATAGGCTAATAAATTAATAACTTCTTCCTACATCTAATTATGCTAGATAATGATATTCATTTGAACTACTAGTTAATCATTGTACCTACTTACTTCATTCTATGTAACCTTTAACCTCATATACCTTTAATAATTATCAACTGTAACGCGTCTTTGTGAATTCATTTAGGGGTTAAATTTGTCCTAATTAGGAAAGGGCTTTAAATTATTTTAATCCACACACCTCCTTTTTGGATCATATGACTCAAGTCATATGATTTATCAGGTGATTAATCGTATCACCTGATAAATCACGTTACTGATTTGAGCCCTCTTCTCCCCACTATTTCCTAATTCGGACAACACTCAATCAAGAGCAAGAGAAAGAAGAAGAAGACAGATAGAATAATTAGTAACACCACCAATTGGAATTACAATCTATTCACTTCACAACCCCCCATAGAATGAACAACTACTATATATAACATAAAGTTAACTAAGCTACATACATATATTCAAAAATGGGTCTATTTAGAAGTAGCTCAAAGAAATCATCATCAACTACTTCAAAGGATCCTCTAACTGTATCATCTCCATCACCTCAATTAAAATCAAGTAGATCAAATTCAATTACAAGTTTAAGTAGTCAAGCTTCTAAATCAATCAATGGATCTAATGGGAAGATCAAATCTATATTCAATAAAAAATCACAAAATACTGATGATCTTGATTTACAGAAGTTGAACTTACAATCATCATCTCCATCACCTTCATTAGAAGATGCAAATTTATCTGAAATTGATTTAATCTCTCAAAGGATAAAGAAAAGAGTAAGTACTATTGAAGAAGTGAATTCAGAAGCTCATCTGACTCATAGTATGAATGATGAGGATGATGACGATAGTGGATATACTAGTGATGAAGTTGATGAATATGATGATGAAGACGATAGTGATGAAGAAGATGAGGAAGATGACGATTATGAAGAAGACCATTCTCATTATATCAAAATGAAATCAAGAAGTCAACTGCATTCGAAATTAAATTCATTAATGAGTTATTGTGGATTGGATTATTTCGTATCGAATAAACAACAATTATCAGCTTTAGCAAATCAAGAATCAAAACGAACTTTTTCATTGTTAGATGAATCATGTAAAATCTCCCAAATATCCCCTCAGAATCAATCCATTATAAATGAACGACAAATCACCATCTTGGAATCATTACGGACTCAAATCTTACAATTAAAATCAGAACCGTTAATTCAACAATATCAAATGTTACAACATCATAAAACTCTATTTGAAAGATTTGGAGTTATAAAAGATATTTTGGGAAAGGGAAGTTATGGAATTATAAAAATCATTGATCCAAACCCTAACCAATTATCCATCTCAATGTCAGATCATAAATTATATGCTGTAAAACAATTTCAAAATCCAAATCATAAGAAATCACCTAAGGATTTTGAAAAATTCATTGATAAAATCTTATCGGAATTCATTATATCATGTACGTTAAATTCGAAACATCTAGTTAAAACGGTCGATTTAACCATAACTTTACCTGAACTCACCTCTTTAAAACCATCATTATCAGGATCAGTCTCCCCTATGACTTCACCTGATTTACCGTCTCGATCACCATCCCCCTTAACCATAAATTCCACCACCTCCAATTTATTAACGGAGAATTATTATTTCAGTCAAGTTATGGAATGTAATCAAGGTGGTAGTCTCTTTGCCTATTTGGCCAATACTGAAGAATACCCCCTTAATACGATGATGAAATTAGATGAAATTGATTGTTTTATAAAACAAATCGCTAAGGGATTACATTATATGCATAAACATGGTGTAGCACATTGTGATTTGAAATTAGAAAATATCCTCATAAATTATAAGAAACAGACTTCATCAAAGCATGGTAATCATCATAATCATGATCCTAAGAAAGTTAAAGTCATTTTAAAAATAAGTGATTTTGGAAGAAGTTATGTATTCAAATCAAAATGGGATAAAGGTCAAGAACAACTCGTTCTGAAACAAATGGGTCCCATCGGATCCTTACCTTATATCTCTCCTGAAGAATATGATTTAAAATCTTCAAAAACAATGTCATTAAGTAAGAAAGATTGTTGGGCTTTCGGAGTATTGATATTTGTCATGTTCAATATTCGGAAATATTATTACAATGGTCAAAGCATTGATAATGATGACAATGATGATGAAGATGAGGGGAATGCCAATCAAGTGGTTAACGTGTTTCCTTGGAACACCACTGAATTAAAACATCATCATCATATTCATAAAGATCAAATGTATAAAGATAAATCCTTCAACGAGTATGCCAAGAAGAGATTGATAAGTGCATATGAAGATGATACGAAAGAATGGTTGATTCAAAGGGAAGGGGGATTCACTCCGATTGAAACGTTGTTTAATAAGATTGGTGGTGGTGGCGATATTGATGATTTATGTCAGATTCGAAGAATGGTCATCTATAAATTATTAGATATTGATCCTAATTCAAGATTGAATATTAATCATTTCTTAAGGAGTGATTGGATGGAATCAATTGAGAATTGTCTGTGAGAAAGGATATGAATTTATGATTGAACGATTAGAGATATATAGATTTACATGTATTTATTAAATTAATGTACAATAAATAATATTAAAAAAGAAAATATCAAGCAAGAAGAGAAAAGAAAGAATGAATGTAAAATAAAAAAATGGAAAGAAAAACTATTACTATACAAGAATTTTTTATTATTAAAAATCATTAAATAAATTTCGATAAGGATCATTAACATCAGAAATACCATAATCAAGATCTTTATCTTCAGGATAACTATCAAATTGAGAAGTATCACCTACCCCAGAAGTTATAGGAGGTTCATAAGGAGTTTCAATATCTCTTGATAATAATCTTTCCCAAATAACTTCTTTAAACCAAGCATGATTTTTAACATCATCTGAACCACCTTGTAAATTACCTAATCTTTGAGTTAAATCTTTAACAATTAATTTTTGTAATAAATCAAGTATATCAGGAGGTAAATAATCAGGAAATGTTATAGTACCATTTAAAATATTTTCATAAGTTTTCATAGGAGTTGGATCATAAAATGGAGTATAACCTGTTAACATTTCAAAAATAAGAATTCCAAATGACCACCAATCAACTGATTTATTATAAGGTTTTGTTGTTACTACTTCAGGAGCAATATAATCTGGAGTACCACATAAAGTATAAGTAACATCACTAACTTCTTTAGCAAATCCAAAATCAGTTAATTTAATATGACCATTTTTATCTAATAAGATATTTTCAGGTTTTAAATCTCGATAAATTATATCTAAATTATGTAAATATTCAATAGCTAAGAATACTTCTGCAGCATAAAATTTAGCTACTGGAGTTGGGAATCTTTGAGATTTTCTTAAAAGGGAGAATAATTCACCACCTTCTATATAATCCATTATCATAAATAAATTATGACAATCTTGAAATGTGCCCCACATTCTTATAATAAATGGATGTTGAGCTAATTTTAACATTCTTCTTTCATCATTAGTATGTTCAACTTGTTTCATATTAACCACTCTTTCCTTTTTCAAAGTTTTCATGGCATAGAATCTACCATTATGGATTGATCTAGTTAAATGAACTCTACCGAATGAACCTGTACCTAGAGTTCTTAAGATTTGAAAATCATTTAAAGTATATTTACCTTTAGTGGTTGTATCTCGATTTAGATGTTTTGAGAGTTTCTTATTGTTATTGGTAAGTGATGAAGATGAAAATGATTGTTGTTGTTGTTGTTGGTTAGTTTGATTTTCAAGTATGGGAGGATTATTGACATATATATTTTGTTGTTGTTGTCTTTGAGCTAGTTCTTCAAGATTTATATCATTAAGGGATCTTACACTTGCTTCAGTGTTTTCCATAGAGGTCATGATTATGATTATGATTATGTATATGTATATGAGATTGGAAGAAGGATGCTATGATTATGGGGGAGATGACGACGTTATTAACAATTAAACAGTTGAAAATGAAAGAAAAATGTATAAATAGATATATAGTACAGATAAATGAATGGAATGAACAAGATAAGGAAAGAAAGGGAATAGGGAATGAATGCGATGACAGATCTATAGGGTGACTTTAACGGTTGATGGTGGATCTATAACGATGTAAGAAATTGATCGATTGATCGATTGTGAATTGAAGATATGGTGGGCGGTGGAATGATTAAAATTGTTGTCTCGTATAACCACACCTAACTATATAAACGACTATTTCTTTTAAAGAGGATATCCTTGAACTAGGTATTGAACTTGACGATGGGGAGTTGGGGTTGGTTAGATTGATGGCTGATGTGATGGACTGAACTGGTTTGATATGATTTGATGATAGATTTTGCTAAATCCCGCTAACAACAATTGATTGATTGATTGTTTGATGACATACAATTTTTTTTTAAAGTGGTGGAAATTGAATCCAAAAAAAAAAAAAAAAAAAAAAAAACGGTTCTCATTTTGTCTGTTTTGTCTGACAAAATTACAATAGTAAACTTTGTTTTTGACTGCATGAACGTGAATAATAAGCATAAAAAATAAAAACGGACAAAAAAAAGTTTCTTTTTTTTTATGGTTATTAAAGGAGATGTAATTACTTCTGTAACGTAATCATTGGGTTGTCTATGTCATGTTAGTTCAGATTAATGAGAAAGGTGTTGGCGAGGTTATCAGTTGAAAAGGATACAAGGTGTGTGTGTGTCAATATCTTGGTAAAAGATATATTTTATTATTGAAGACGTACAGTGTATCCTCTATTTATGATTTAAAAAAGAAATTGTATTTTTTTTTATTTTTACTTTACTTTTTAAGGTTTTGGTAGCGTCTCGCTTCAGACATTCAAGAAAGGCTCAAGACAAGACAAGACAAGACAAGGCCCAAGAACTAGCATACTACATAGGAGAAGACATCGTATTATTAATCAAACTAGTTACCTTGAACTACAACCTAAGAACCTCATCCCTCTCTCCCTTATTCATCATAAAAATATATGATTTCTTGTTAATCTTCTATATTTATATATGTAATATGTAATAGGAATGATATCATTATCAGATTTCCTTCCCATCATTTATCCGACTTCCGAATTATCATACATATATAACTATTTGAGGCGCAGGTTACAATCCATTCATTCATTCTGTCACCGGCGCCGAAAGAATCAATCATATATACATTACCTATTGTAATCTAGTCCTATTACTTCATCTGTCCTCAATAAGTATTGTTCATCGGTAGTACAATTACTTACGGTTACGTATTTGTCAATAAAAATCAGACAGACAGACAATTATTTTTAATTTAATTAATTAATTAATTTATTTTTTAACATGAGCGATTTCCTAATTGGGATAGTCTTCTTTTTTTTTTTTCAAATGCCATTTGAAATAATTTATCCGATTCATCTCTAACCAGGAAAATGAGTTATAACCAGCACAAATAGATATTCGTTAACCAATAACGATACAGTAAAATTACCTTACTACATCCAACTCTCAGACTAGACTAGACCTGTCTGTCTAGTCTACTTCCTCTCGGATGATCGCCGTTGATTTAGATCTCGCTCTCCCCTCTCTCCTATTTTAAATCACGCTCTATTTTAGTTAAATGTTACCCATCAAAATTATTATAACTATGATATTTTTTTTTTAACTTTGTGATCGACTATGAGAAATTTTTTTTTTTAAATTTAGTTTGCCTTGTTTATTTTAGTTTGAGTTATTTTTAAATCGCAATAATTGTTTACAAACCATTGCGATCTTCATAATTTAGTAGGATGGGCTGTAGATCTTAGTCTGACTTAGATCTCATCATTATTTTTAAACCCCTTCCCCCTGCTCCCGCTTGCTCTCGCTACAATGTACTTCTGCATAGTGCAGATTTAAAGATATTATATGATATCATATTATATATATATATTTATATATTCATTTCATTTCATTCGTTTATAATTTCTTTATATCTATGTATGTTATATATATATAACTCATGATATTAAGTATCTCCGATTTGCTTCTTCTTCCTCTTCTTCTTCATCGTCATCAACTACGGCTTCTTCATCTTCCTCTTCATCTTCTTCTCCTTCTTCATCATCATCAGTATAATCTTCAACATTCGCATCATCATCTTCCTCATCATCATCTTGACCATATTCATCATCTGATCCATATCCATATCCTTCTCCTCCTCTATTAACATCAGGTCCAAATCTTCCTACAGTAGCAGTAGTTGGAACACTACTACTACCGACTCCTCTTAATCTTCTACCACTACCACCTCTTCGACGATGATTGGTTTCTTCTTCATATATCGTCAGATTTGATACAGCTCCAGATTCAATAATCCTAATTGCACTATCACAATCTCCTGATTCACTTAATTTCAACATTCGTGATTGACTTGAAACCATTTGTCCACCTCGATATAATAATGATGAGATTTGAGATTCTGCAGTCCGTAATTTTTCTAAAAGATTATGACTATTAAATACATCAAATCGTTTAAGATCTTCAATACCAATGATTCCTTTATGTTTCGATTTATGAATATTATTACCTAACGAATCCTTACCTGATTGAGTTATTAATCGAATAATCACATCTTCAAATCCATATTTTTGTAAGATTTCAGCTCGATCTTTAACCGTTAATTCATCTGCATTCTTTTCAGGTGTAGATCCTTCAATTTTATCCGCAGTTTCATTCCCTTTCACTTCCTCACTTGTATCTTCTAATAAAAGTCGTCTATTATTTCCACCACCTGTGGTGGTTGATCCAACTCCAGTACCAGTACCAACTACTAATTGTGAACCTTGTACTGAATCAAATAATCTATAACTCATAGTATCATGAACTTTAAACGAGTATGTAGAATGTCTCCAGGTTAAATTCACAATAATACCCACAATAGATAATTTAATCTCACTTAAATTATCATTAACAGTAATTTTTTCATTTAAACTTAATTTATTTGAAACTTTCTTTGAAATTTGAAATGATAATAATCTTAACCAAATCTTTAATAATTTTTCATGAGGAAATAAATCTTTATGAATCACTTGTAACAGCATATATCTATTATCTTCAATATAATTAATTTCCACTATTAATTCCACAAAATCTCGATTAAGTAATAATCGACTAAGATATTCATCATCATAAATATTCTTCTCTTCAATATCATATTTCTTTCGTTCAGGAAAGATATTAATACTAGTAAGATTTAATATTAAAAATTCATGCCATTTAGAAGGTAATTTATATTGAGGATACTTTTTAATGAATAAAGTTTCATAATTTTCAATTAAATTATTATTAAAATTAGGTGATCCAGCCGTATAATTTCTAATAATATTAAATGCTCTTAATTTCTTTTTTAATTTCAAATGTCTTAATTCTTGTAATAATTTCTTCGTTGATTCATCTTCATCTTCATTATTCTCATTAATATAATGTTCACTTTCATTTGCATCATCAAAAATTAATCCATATAGGGTATTAAGTAAAATTTCATCCAAGGGGAAATATGATAAGACATCCTTCTTATTCACATTGGTTTCATTATACATATAACTTCTTAAGATTTGTAATACGTTCAATTGAATCGTATTAGCACGATAAATATCGGAAATCGAATATTTAACTCTACGTTTATCAACATTATTATGACGACGATAAATTGTTTCTAAACTGGGTAAGAAACTATTACTATTGACAATGATAGGTTTGAATGAACTAAATTCTAACACCAAATTAGCAAATAAACAAAGGATAAGTGATTTATTTATAATTTGACATTGATTGAATTTACTTCTTTTATCAACTAAATCAATATCTTGATCAATTTTTAAATATCGATTATTTAAGAAATTATTAATAATATCAATATTTTCAAAGGATTTTAAAATTTGTAATAAATTAGACATTAATCCTCCATTGGTCTTTTTCGAAGCATCATCATTTAAGGTACTTTTTAAACTATTACATTCCACAAAGAATGTTCTCATTTGCTTCAAAGCTCGCGATAATGAGCGAATGAAATATAAACAATTGGTATGAATTGGATTATCAACAATAGCCATAATCATACCTAAATTTCTTCCAAACCAAGGAGCATCATTTTGAAGGATGGATGATGATGATTTATGTTTTAAAATTTTATAAATTAATTCAATTTGGGATAATAAGAAATTAAAATTATCCACGATATCAAATACGATTTGAATGATACCATTTCGTTTATGAATATCATTAGGATCAGATATAACTCGAGTTTTATATTCATCAATGGTAGAAGTATAAACACTCAATAATAATAAAAGATCAGCAATTTCATTATCTTCATCATTTAAAATACTTAATAAGATTGTAAAATCAACTATAACTTTACCATGTTTTGAATTTTTCTTTAAGATTTTAAGAATTTTTAATAATTGACTTTGTTTAAATTGAATTTCTAATTTCTTAACTATTTTAAGATCAACATTTGAATCTTTAATCTTATCATTTAATAAAGGATATTGTGCACATAAATCAGATAAAATTCGAGCTGGTGAATATAAATACATGGGTAAGATGATATTACTCGAAACTGGTGCTGGTAATTGATTAGGAATCTTTTTAATCGCATTCTTAGACAGATCAGACTTACCATTCGAAGTAAGACTATTTATAAAACTTGAATCATCTTCTAAATCTAACATTTCAATAATCTTTGGAAACAATTTCTTATAATTTTTAAATATCAATTGATCATCAATTTCATTGGATGGTCTTAAATTATTAAGATAAAAACTAATCAAATTTAAAGCGATTAAACTTAATCTTCGATTATCATCATATTTGACTAATAATAGTAATGAAAGATATACTTTAACTGATAATACTACCGCCGAAATCTTTGAACTTGAACTTGAACTTGATGATGAGGTCAATAATACCGAATAATCCTTTTGTTTCAGGTAACTAAAGATTTGAGCTGTACAAGTCATTAATTCCACTAATAAATTCAAATTCACTTTTGATTTTAAGATGGTTTTATTTAATTCAATATTTGGTAAGTTCACATCTTCAAATGCCAATTGATGTAAGATATCAGTATCTTGAGAAATTTGAGGGAAATGACTATCAATAATCACATTACATTCATTTGAAAGACGTTTCAAAACAGCAGTTATCAAAGTCATAAGACAATTAGTGGATAATCTATTAGCTGATAATAATATCGGAATCAATTTCAACAGTTTAATTAACAATGACGTATCAATGACAAGACTTGAAGGTTGATGAGTTGTAGCATTACTATTATTAGTATAATCAGTAATGATTAATAAAGAAGTAATGAATCTCCATAATTTTTCAGAATCAATATTATGATTTCTAATATTTGAAAGAGATAAAAAGATATCCAAACAATAATTCATTAAATTTTCAATATTTTGTAATAATTGTTGATATTGAATCGTTTGTTGATAATCGATATTAGTAATGAATTTACGAATGAAATAGTTTAATAATTCAATAATAGGATTGATCACCTTCTCTAATGATTCTAAGCATATAGTGATATTAGAGTACTTCTTAGTATTAACTTCTGTGATGAATGAACAAAGGATATTAATAATCACTGCTCTCTTTTCTAATTCTTGTAAAAACTGACAATCCTTAAAGATATTAGAGGGAGATGATGTGGAAGTTGGAGATGTAACAGATGCTGATGAAGAAGCTGGCGAGATAATAGTTAAGATCAGACTATTGAACTCATCCACCAACTGTTTGATGAATCTAATATCTCCTACCAATTTGAATTTAAGATCCTTGTTACCGATAAGAGACACTCTTAAATCTGAAAGATCCTGATAAGGAGAAAACACATCTTGATCATCATCAATAGGAGTATCGCTCGTACCTTCTAGTTCCAAAGGCATCTTCCACAGTGATTGTTTAGATGGATTGAAATGGTGATGGCTGAATGGAATGGAAATAGGTTTGATGGATCGATTGATTTCATCTTTTTGGTTGCCATTTTTTTATGACGCCAATAATTTTTGTGGAGGTGATAACGAGGAGGAGTGAGATCCACACCGCAATATATAAGCCATAGTTAATCAGTAATTTTAACATATATATATAATAAATAATCATCTACAAAATCATCTACAGAGGTGTGTCTAAAGTAGGAACGTAATGGATGATATGTAAGGGATACTCCATGTCAGCTAAATCTTACCTCTCCAAAAATTTTGAGATTCTTTGGCAGGTTTGCCTTTCTTAATATCATTACTCACATTAGTATCAGCTTCAACTCTCTTTGGAATATATTCTAACACTTCAGCTAACTTATCATCATCATCTAATTTCACAATTCCATTCTTATCTCCAATGATATAATCACCTGGATTAATAGTTATAACTTCAAACGGTTCATTAATACTATTAACTTTCACATCAATTGGAACATTTATCCCTACTAATTTAACTAAGGGACCTGGAGCACTCGTACCAACTCCATATGACCAAACAGGATATTGTAAATCTTGATGTTCATCCAAATCTCTGATTCTACCCAATACAACCGTACCATTAGCTTTTAAATATTGGGCTCGAGTCGACATTAATCCTCCATATAAGGCATTATTGATTTTATTATAAGGAGCTTCAATCGATTGACAAGTTAATGGTACTCCAATCACCACAAAACTACCTTCTGGGACTTGATCGATATATGATGTTTTAATCTCAGGTCTGGGATCTGATTTAGGAGCATATAAGACCGTATATGCTTTACCTACTGATGTTGATGAAATAGCAGATCTTTGAATTAAATTAGGTATGAATCCACCATGTTTGATACCGATTTTATTTAACGCATCTGAAGCATCACATGGAGTGAATTTAGAAAGGAAAGTGGATACTTCTTTAGCAGTAGTTAACTTTGACATGTTGTCGTCCTATAGAAGAACAGTTAATTAAAAATAGTTAAAGCGACCCCGGATTTTGATATTGATATTGATACTGAAAAAAATGTGGTATAACCAAAAATATCTACATCCTTACCGCAATAATATAGTTACTATAATACAAAGGTATTTATATCATATATATATATATAATTCTATAAGGCGTGATAAATTTAGATTTTTAAATCTTTAATGGCTTGAGCAACCACTTTATTTTCTTCTTCTTCATTGAAAATAGTAGTTTCATCATGAGTTCTATAAGTATTATAACCCCAATTAGTTTTATTATAGAAAGTATCTCTATTATAAGGATTTAATTCATATCCATTAGCTAATTTATTAACTAAATCAGGATTTGAAATATAATATCTTGAGAAACCAACTAAAGTTCTATCATCAGCAGTTTCTTCAATAATAGATTTAAATTCTGGTGCATCATAAGTAAAATTACCTGCTTTAATGACTTTACCTTTCCAAATTTGATAAACAAAATCATTATTACCAGCTTGATCTTCAGTTGCAACATCAATAATACCACTTACTCTTGGTTCAACGATGGAGACATAAGCAAGTTCTTTACCAGCATCAGCTCTCTTTTGTAATTCATGTAATAAATATGAAAAAGTAGTTAAAGGATGAACTTCATCTTTATGAGCTAACATATGACCAAAAGTTGCCCATGGAGAAATTCTAATGGCAACTTTATCAGCACCAACTACTTCAGATAATTGATCGATTAATTCTAAGATTAATCTAGCTCTATTTTCAATAGATCCACCATATTGATCAGTTCTTTTATTAGTAACTGGTTGTAAAAATTGATCTAATAAATAACCATGAGCAGAATGAAGTTCAACATAATCAAATCCAGCTTCAATGGCTTTTTTAGCAGCATTGGTATAAACATTTACTACCAAATCTTTAACTTCTTCAGTAGTTAATGATCTTAATTTAACACCAGCATCTTTAGCATCTTGTTCAGCTTTTTCATCTTCAAAAACAGGAGATGGAGCCACAATATCTAACCCTTTAGCTTTAAAAACTTGAGGATTAGCAACTCTACCTAAATTCCATAATTGAGTAGAAATAAAAGATCCATTAGCATGAACTTTATCAGTAATATGTTTCCAACCTTTAACATGACTATCAGTGAAAATACCTGGAACATTTGGATAACCAGAAGCTTGATCAGAAACAAAAGTACCTTCAGTGATAACTAAAGATCCTGGATATTGAGATCTATCCCCATAATATTTCAATTCTAAATCAGATGGAGTATGATCATTTAAAGCTCTAAATCTAGTAGTTGGAACAAAAACGATTTTATGAGCTAATTCATTTCTACCAACTTTAATGGTTTTAAACACAGTAGTATCTTTTAATGGAACACCCTTAGTAGCAGTCATAGTAGTATATTTTCTAATGATATTAAATATTGTGAATGATATATAATAACTTTAACTTCTCAATTCAATATCTCAGATTATGGGATTTGAAATTCTATTTATATTACTGTGAAAATCGACATTGCATAATACAATTTTTGACAGCCATCACATTTCCACAGTCCTGCACACAACCCATACTGCTTAATAATTCGAAATTTAACGAAACACGGAAAAATAAAATTGTTCGCTGAGGTAATCTTTAGCATTTTACCCAATTTGGGTTATACCCGAGAAAAGCTTAAAAGCGCGGACAATCAAAAAAAAAGAAATTTCATACCATTAATGATGGCTTTAAGTTAATTTTGATGACACTGAATTTTAGGGTATTAATAAGCTATACCGAAATAGTTGTAACACCACTATAAATATGTTTGATTTGCCGCTAATTATCCGATTTTACCAGTGGTCTGAGTTGGGATCGGTATAACTGAGATTCTCAGCGATAAATAGAGAGAGAGAATGGAGGCTGCAACAGAAAGTATACTCTATTTGTAATACAACTATTGCTTGCTTTAGTATTAAGTAATCATATGGCTTAACAAACCTCTAATTTGTCAATTTGTAATCAAGGTTTACCCCCTAAAACTCATATCTGAACCAATCATATGCTTGGGTTGTTGATATCGAACTTCGTATCTTCTTTCATAATCATTTAACCCTATAATATCATGGTATACAACCTTGTGTTGATTATTTGTAATCCTTAGCTTTCCGGTAAAAGTCATGTCTTCTTCTCTTATGAAACACACAATTTCGGTAGTGTATGCGAGGTCAAACATCCGAGGGAAGACCATTGTTGCAAAATATAAACTAGTTCAATCTTTGGCGGTTAACTCTAATTGGATGCCTTTTATGAGAAACCCCCACAAGCTCTTACTCTACCTTTTATTTTATCTAGATACATACATTGTAGAATCGTTGATTAGAAAGTAATGTAATTACTAGGTTGATATTTTGATTGGATTAATCGTATTTCAAACATCTCATAGGGCAATTTAGTCTCGATTCGTTAGTAAATTCCTCCAATTCGATTATTAATAAGCATTCTGAAATCAATTCGAAATCCAATGGTTGAATTATTACTAACCATTTGATAAACAATTTCTTCAAACATTTCATCCAATTCATTTTCATTTTCTATATCTCTCGTTTCGTCGAGCTAGCTATGATTAAATTTCAAATCTAATCTCATGGAAATAATTAGCTTTAACAGCCAATTTATCTTCAATAGACATTTCCAAAGTTTTCAATAAAGTTTTCATATGTGAAAGTTGATTTCTAGGTATGTTGGTAAAATAATGACTTGTTAATAATGTTAAAAGAAGGACTATGCTATAATTTGATTCAAGATACTTTATACATCTCATACGACAGTTTATGTGAAACATATTATCCTTGAAACATTTTCTTCTAGTTAAAGGTCTGATATCTTCAAATTGAACAATTAATATACATTCCATATCCATGACAAATCCTAATTTAGAATTATTGGTAATCATCAGATAAGCAACTTGATTAAAAATTTCACAAAAGGTTTGATTATGATCATTTCTAGATTCATATGCATCAGAAACTCCTCTAATTCTGATTTGGATAGGAATTATTTTTGATTTAGTTTTAGAATCTATAAAGAGAAAGTCGGATGGTACATCTGGATGCAAACCATCATGTTGTGAAAGAAGTATAGTTTTATTGTCATTTTTAGACATTCTGAAAATCCCATTCAATATGTTCTTAGTAGGAGAGAAAATAAAAATTTTAATATAAGATGATACCGTTGCTTTATTCCTAACAGGTCCCGGTGAATCTTGAAAGCCTAAAAGTCCAATACGCTGTAATAAATCGATGTCAATTCTAAAGTTATCAATTAAATCTTCAAAGAAAGTATCAGATATTTCAACATTATTTTTTGGTGCAACTTGGAAATAATCTTCCAATATTTCAGGAACCAAATTGTCTGATGACAGTGTTGAATTGTAATAGAATGCAGGGTATGATTTATCATTAGGATCAGGCACAAGAGGAATTCTCAAAGACATGGGTAATTTCAAAGACCAGGAAACTCCAAAAAGGTAAGATGTAGCCCTTAGGATTGATTTCCGAATTGGGATTCCATTTTGATTTCTTTCTTGTTTTATATCAAGCAAGACTTCATCACAAATCAGAAAACCTGTTTTAAATACTTCCTCAATATCATCCAAGAATATAAAACTACTTATATATTTCTTATCAAAGTAACGATAATGATTCTTAGTAGAAATATTATGAAAGCTGAATACTAAGAATATTAACTTTCGTCTTTCAAGAGTCAAATCAAAGTTAAAGGTATCGTTATTCACTTTGGGACTTTTATTTAATTCCTCCCAAACCCTTTCTTGTTCTTCATTTTGGATAGTATTGTTGAAATAATTGTAATCTGGATCATTGATCAAATGATCAATCACAAACCTTGTTGACTTGTTAATAATATCCTTATCATAGAGGTCCTTGAGATCCATTTAGACTATTATGATATTAAGGTACGTTCGTTTGTTCATTGAAAGAGGATAAAAATCTTATGTTGGACATTAGCCTTTCATTTTATATATTTTATATAGTTCATAGTTATGTTTCAAGTTGTTACATAATTGAAGCAAAATGTTTGAGACTTCCAAATTGGGAAACATTCAATAAATTAAGTATTTCTCAGGCTAATGTCACTAAATCAAATGTAAAACACTTTGAAATTAAATGCTTCCAACCCAATATTGAATTACATGTCATTGGGGTTTGCATTTTGTAGAAGGGTGTTTATTAATTCACTGGTGCAGATTAACTTTAAGCTGTCTGTACTTAAATTAAATTACTAAGGTTAAGTCAATTGAATTCGAGATCAATAAATTTACAAATACGCTGTAAGAGATGACACATGGCGCAAGTTTGTTAGGCATTTCCATAGTTAATTTATATTGATTAAATACTAGTTTATATTTTAGAAACTTGATTAATTGAAAATTAGTGTTATCAGTAAATTTAAATCTAAAGAGACGTACTCGATTCTCTTCTTAACTACATTTTATTCGAATGTTCTAGAAATTAACAACAAAGCTTGGAAGAAAATTAATCACTCATAGGAACGCTATTTTTTTCTGTACTCTGTTAGGATAGCTAGACTGCAAAAATTACCTGACCTACGACATTCTGCTGAGAACTGTATATTAGGTCATCACATTTTTTTTCCATTTGTACTCTAAATAATTTAACCTTTGAAATTTACAACGACAATGTTGCAAAATTAAATTTATTAATTGAAACTTTGTTGTTTAATCCTAGAAGGATATGTTTTATATGAAACCCTATAAGTTCTTACCGAATCTTTTATTTCTTCTCATTTTCTGTTATACATTTCTTGAATCGTTGATTAGATAGTAATATAATTACAATGTTTATATTTTGATTAGATTGATCGTATTTCAAACATCTCATACGGCAATTTAGTCTCGATTCGTTAGTAAAATCCTCCAATTCGATTATTAATAGACATTCCAAATCAATCCCAAATCCAATGGTTGAATTATTACTAATCATTTGATAAACAATTTCTTCAAATATTTCATCGAATTTATTTTCATTTTCCATATCTCTCATTTCGTACGATTTTGATATACCTGCTATTTCGATTTCAATGGGAATTGTAAAGTTGGCGTTGTTCTTATTGTATTCAATGGTGAAGTCAGCTTTTACTTGTGGATTTAAACCAAGTTGTTTCTCAATTCTGATAATCTTATTCCTGTTGTGTTCACTAAATATTCCATTTAATAGTTTAAATGCTGGATATAGAATGAATTTGTCAATATAAGATGATGCTTCTGTTACATTCACAACATCATCACATTTTGGTTCCTGAAAATTGATAGGTTCAATATGTTCTAATAAAGTTTTATTTATTCTGAAGTTTGCAGAGATATCATTCAAGTAGGCTTCAGGGATTTCACTATCATTTACTACTTTAATTTGAGGTTCAACTTGAAAATGAGATTCAAAGAGATCAATATAACTAAATTGATTTGTTAAAAATAAATTTTCTTTCTTGGAAGTAACTGCTGGGTCCTTTTGTTTATCGTCATATTTAATTTCATCTGAAATTCTCAAAGGCATGGGTAGTTTCAAGCACCACGATACACCAAAAAGGTTAGTTACAGTTATTGTAATTGGTATCTCATTTGTCTTGAATTTACTAAGAATTAATTTACCCATTTCAATTACTTCTAGGATATCATTCTTATATCCTGTACTGCTAATGTATTTCTTGTCAAAATAACGACAATAATTCGAAGTAGATATATTATGAAAACTGAATACTAAGAATATTAATTTTCTTCTTTCAAGAGTCAAATCAAAGTTAAAATTATCATCATTCACTTTGGGACTTTTATTTAAGTCCTCCCAAACCCTTTCTTGTTCTTCATTTTGGATAGTATTGTTGAAATAATTGTAATCTGGATCATTGATCAAATGATCAATCACAAATCTTGTTGACTTGTTAATAATATCCTCATCATAAAGGTCTTTGAGATTCATTTTGATAGTGGTAATGTTTATTTATTGAAAAGGCATATAAAGTTAAAGAGATAATTATGTTTGACTTTATATAATTTCTTGTTATGTTTGTTGCACAATGGCAGCAAAAATATATGATACTTCCAAATTGGGAAACTTTAAATGGATGTATTTTGTGGTGCAAAACATCGTATTTTACATGTCTTTTTCCATCAATCTTAGATAGTGAAACTACTTCCCTGGGGATATAGATGACGTGAAACGGTAATAAAATTAAATACTTGATGCGGAAATTAAAAAGCTATGTGCAATCAATGCCTCTCCAAATTATCTTTCAATTACTTTAAGTCTCTGATACCAAAAAAAGCAAACTTTGTATTAAAAATATAAAGAGATAAAAACTATTTAATAGATTCACGTTTTTTGAGCTTTATTTTTACCTCGAACACCACAAGCTTTTGCCAAATCCATCATTTCCTTTATCTTAAGACTCTTTTCTTGAGAAGGTTTGAAATTTCTGAATTTAAGGATCCGCAGGAATCCAAAGTCAATAAAGAATACACGATCCTTTTCTGAGTTATAGATAAAGTTTCCAGGATGAACGTCACCATGCAAGACACCACGACCATGGATGTCATTCAAAGCGATTGATGCCTTTTCGAATAATTCTTCCCCTGGCAATTCTTTTCCTGGTTTTATAAATTCCTGTAATAAATACATCCCCTGAAATTCAGCAGCATTTTTGAATTCACAGAAGCCTGTTTGATAAAGGTGCGGAATGTAATTTACTCCTTTATAGGTGTTATCAACTGAGGATAAATCCTCTGATATACCAAGTGGACTTGCATGACTCAACATGTTATAAGCTTGAACCTCCAAAAGATAAGAGCTGATAATGAAAGAGTATGTTTCTAAAAATACGTATTTGGGCATGACTCCTCTAGGAGAGCTCATGGCTGGATTATACACTTTTAAAACGAGATCTTTTTTATTGTTTGGGACTCTTTTGAACTTCACTTTCGAAACCCTGGAAAAATATCCATTATTCGCCAGTGTGATCGGTGTTGGATGCATGTTTTCGCCAATATCAAAATCTTCTTCCTTTAACTCTGGAGTATCCCAATTTATCTTTGAAGCACCTATAAAACATTTTCCTGGTATAATAACTGATTTCTCAATAGGATGAACGTAATCTCCATCCTCATTTAGTACATAATTTTGAAATCTAGATATCCAATTCGATCTTAAAAAATCAAGCTGCCATTGTTTCACCAAAGTCTTATCTTCTTCAGGTAATTTAAACTTTTTCATTATATTCTTTATAGATTCTGCAACCTCATTAGTTAAGGTTTTGAAGGTATTATGTAAGAGAATAAGAATAATAATCTTAGAGTTATACTTCGATTCGAAGTGTTTCATGCATTTAACTCTGGAATTCAAGAAATACAGACCACCATCAGAATTTTTTGATCTTGATGAATCCTGATTAGCTCTTAATTGGACTAAAAATATTGATTCCAAATCTAATGCGATACCTATATTTGAACCATAACTAGCTAACTGGAATACAACCTGATTAAATAATGATAAAAACTTCTTCGGATTCAGCTTTCTGCTTTTGTAAGCATCAAATATGTTACCGTTCTTAATTTCAATCGGAACACTTAGTTTAGTATTATTGTCACTCTTAACAAATCCATAGTTTGGTATTATTCTTAGATCTATACCAACTTCCTTTGTCACTCCAATAATACTATCCTCTTGGTTTTCAGAAAAAATTGAATCTAATATATCTCCTATATGTTTAAGCACGTATTGATAAAGAATTTGTGAAACTGTTGATTCATTTTTAATATGAAACCTTTCTTGTTCAAACGAGATATCATCAAATTTTGCTAACAAATAAGCATCAATTTTGAAGTCTTCAATTAGAAGATCCAAGTATGAATCCGGAATTTCACCATCATCTGATTCAACAATATTTTGTTCAATTTGGAAATGGTCTTCAAATATATTTCGAATCGTGTAAGTGAAATTTGATTTTGAATTCTGCTTTATTGATCCATCTTTTAAGGCCGTATTTGAGATTTTTAATGGAATCGGTAACTTCAAAGTCCAGGACATGCTAAAAAGGTGTTCAACACAATCAGTGATTGATTCGATATTCAATTTATCACTTTCCTTTATTCTGCGTTCCATTTCAGAAGCAATATGACGGGTACCTGCTTTTATGACTTTGGCAATGTCAAGCTCAAAAGTTTCACTCTTCATATATTCTTTGTCGAAACGACTAAAATAATTTCTAGAAGAAATATTATGGAAACTGAATATCATCACTATTAACTTTCTTCTTTCGAGAGTTAAATCGAACTTTTTGGATTCTTTTATATCAGATTTCACTTCATCTCCTTCATTTTGTATTTCAGATTTATTCAGTTCTTCAGGTTCTTTTATTTCCAAAAGTTCCTCCCAATACTTTTCCTGTGCCTGATTCTCAATAGTGTCGTTAAAGTAATTGTAATTCGGATCTGCGATCAAATGATCGACCACAAATTCCATTGACTTGTCAATGATCTCATATTCTAAAAGCGATACAAGACTCATTAGTTTATTGAAAGAAAGAAAGATGAAATAAACTCTAGACTTCGATTTTCTAATTTGAAATTGTTGCATGAGACTTCCAAATTGGGAAAGCTTTGGAGAGTCACTAAAATATTTTGTGGTGCGAAACGATTACTCTTTTGTCTCCCTTTTATACCACCACCTATTTATTATCAAAAATATCATGTATACTGTTAGCATAATATATCTAATTATCAATACAATCAATTACCCATAGTCACTTTGTATTACAAGTAGTGCAATGTTATCCTTCAATTTTTTTAAGTCTCAGATAACAAAAAAAGTATTATATATATAAAGAGATAAAAACTATTTAATAGATTCAAGTTTTTGAACTTGATTATTACCTCGAACACCACAAGCCTTTGCCAAATCCATCATTTCCTTTATCTTAAGACTCTTTTCTTGAGAAGGTTTGAAATTTCTGAATTTAAGGATCCGCAGGAATCCAAAGTCAATAAAGAATACACGATCCTTTTCTGAGTTATAGATAAAGTTTCCAGGATGAACGTCACCATGCAAGACACCATGAGCATGGATGTCAGTTAAAGCGATCGATGCCTTTTCGAATAATTCTTCCCCTGTCAATTCTTTTCCTGGTTTTATAAATTCCTGTAATAAATACATCCCCTGAAATTCAGCAGCATTTTTGAATTCACAGAAGCCTGTTTGATAAAGGTGCGGAATGTAATTTACTCCTTGATAGGTGTTATCAACTGAGGATTTATCCTCTGATATACCAAGTGGACTTGCATGACTCACCGTGTTATAAGCTTGAACCTCCAAAAGATAAGAACTGATAATACAAGAGTATGTTTCTAAAAATACGTATTTGGGCATTACTCCTTGTTGGGGACTCATAATTGGATTGTAAACTTTCAACACAAGTCCATTTTTATTGTTCGGAACTCCTTTATACTTCACCTTTGAAACTGTGGAAAGATATATATAGTTACTCAGTGTTTTCGATTCTGGATGCAAGCTTTCGCCAATTTCAAAATCTTCTTCCTTTAATGTTGGAGTATTCCAATTGATCATCTCAGTGCCTCTAAAACATTTTCCTGGAATGATAACTGATTTCTCAATAGGATGAACGTAATCTCCATCCTCATTTAGTACATAATTTTGAAATCTAGATATCCAATCCGACCTTAAAAAATCAAGCTGCCATTGTTTCACCAAAGTCTTATCTTCTTCAGGTAATTTAAACTTTTTCATTATATTCTTTATAGATTCTGCAACCTCATTAGTTAAGGTTTTGAAGGTATTATGTAAGAGAATAAGAATAATAATCTTAGAGTTATACTTCGATTCGAAGTGTTTCATGCATTTAACTCTGGAATTCAAGAAATACAGACCACCATCAGAATTTTTTGATCTTGATGAATCCTGATTAGCTCTCAATTGGACTAAAAATATTGATTCCAAATCTAATGCGATACCTATATTTGAACCATAACTAGCTAACTGGAATACAACCTGATTGAATAATGATAAAAACTTCTTCGGATTCAGCTTTCTGCTTTTGTAAGCATCAAATATGTTACCGTTCTTAATTTCAATCGGAACACTTAGTTTAGTCTTATTGTCACTCTTAACAAATCCATAGTTTGGTATTATTCTTAGATCTATACCAAATTTCAGTAGCATAGTAATAGTTCTCTGTCTTTCCTTTTCAGAAAAAATTGCATTTAATATAAGCCCTGTATGTTTAAGAACGTATTGATAAAGAATATGTGAAACTGATGCTTCAGTTTCAACATCCAAAAGTCCTATTTCAAACCCAATATTAGTAAATTTTGCTAACAAATAAGCATCAATTTTGAAATCTGCAATTAGAAGGTCTAAGTACGCATCTGGGATTTCACCATTATCTGATTCATCAAAATTCTGTTCAATTTGGAAATGATCTTCAAATATATTCCCGGAAATGTAAGTAAACTTTGATTTTGAAGTCAGCTTTATTGCTCCAGTGGATTCATTTTCAGTTGAGATTCCTAACAGGATTGGAATCTTCAAAGTCCAGGATATGCTAAAAAGGCTTTTAATGGCTTTTTGGATTGATTCGATAATCAATTCTTCACTTTCCGTTGTTCTACGTTTCACTTCAGTTTCAATATAACTAAAGCCTTCGTTATTGATATACTTAAAACCTTCTGCAATGATATCGGTTAGATCAAACTCATAATCTTCACTGGTAATATATTCTTTGATGAAACAACTAAAATAATTTGCAGGAGAAATATTATGGAAACTGAATATCAACAATATTAGCTTTCTTCTTTCGAGAGTCAAATTGAACTTAGATTTCACTTTATCTCCTTCATATTGTATTTTAATCAGTTCTTCAGGTTCGTTTGTTTCCATTAGTTCCTGCCAATACGTTTCCTGTAACTGATTTTCAGTAAGATTGTTAAAGTAATTGTAATCTGGATCTGCCATCAAATGGCCTATCACAAATTTGACTGACCTGTCAATGATATTATAATCGTAAAGTAGATTCATTTAGACTATTGTTGTTTATTGAAAGAAAGATGAAATAAAAGCTTTACAGTTAGATTTTATATGCTTGAAGCTGTTGCATGGACTTCCATATTGGGAACTTTGTGATGCCAAAAAAATGCGTGTCGTAATTTAGAAAGACATGTCTATAAAGACCTTTTTGTCTTACACAGCGTAACTACTTGAATATCTGTAATAGAGGTGACGACAAACTATCAAAAATAAATATTTGATGGGGATATTAAAAAACTATGTACAAACCTATCTATTTACCATTAATCATTTGCAAAACTTTTCTTCTTAATCATCTAAACTAATTCTATCCTTCAATTTCTTAAGTCTGAGATTATCCATAGTTTCTTCGGTATGAAATTCATTTTCATCTTGACTATTAATACTATTATCTTTCTTCTGTGGCATTATCTTTTCTTGATCTGGATTAACTTTCTGTCTGATTACTGGACTTGCCTTATGACCAATTTCACCATCTTTAAGTGCTTCGTCCATAACCACCATATTCTTCGCCACTTTAAATCTCATTCCTAATTCATTGACAAAATTAGGATGTAATTGATAATCCAAAGCGATTGAACCTTTAGATACAACACGAGGATCATGTAAATCATTCACGATTTCAACAAGAGTACGAGGATGAACCATCGTACGGATGATCTCTTTATTGGACCTATCACTTATGGAAAGTTTTTCTTTATCAGTTAAGGAATTAGGATCCTTCGATAGTAATAATTCTTGTTCTCCTTGATTGAATATTTCTTTTCTATGTTTTAATTGTTTTAATGCCATTGATTCTTTAATATTAACTGGTGAAGTCATCGACGTAGAATGTATCTGTTTACCTAATCTTGTGATTGAATCTATGAAACTTTGATCTTTAATGGAGGTAGAATTGGTATCGTAAGTTGATGTTCCTGTGAAATGAGGATCTTGACCATCTTTACCAGGTTGAAAAAGTTGTTGAGATTGTTGATGCTTTTTATTTAATTTTGAAGTTAACAGCTTAGCATCAAACTTTACATTAGATGGTTTATTTGAACTTTGGAAACTTTGATCAACGTTATCTTGCTCTTGTTGCTGTTGCTGTTGTTGTTGTTGTTGTTGTTGTTCAAACTCTTGTTGTAACTTTATTGGAGGTAATTGATTTATATTAGTAGTTCTATTAATTTTAGGTACGATCTGAGATTGTGTATCAGATAGTACTTTGGTTAACTTCCTCGAGGAAGACTTTGAAGCTGATGAACCCATGATGTGTAGAAGGAATGAGTATATCTATAGAGCTGTATTCATTGACTTTCACACATTAATTATATTTGTGGTACTTCTTCTCAATTTTTTCTTCTGGTTCCAATTCTGCGATTTGAAATCTTTTTACACCAAAATGACATCTACATCAAATTCTACATTGCAACTTATTTTAAATATGAATTATGTGAGTTTATTATACAATATATATATATACTTTTAAGAGCAAGTACAAGGAATGAGATTTCTATAGGTCATTTCTTGTGTTTCTAAAATATGCAAGGGTTATGTTATGATAGAGAAAATAAACACTATATTTAATCAATTCTTTCCTTTTTAACCTTTGAACTTTTCTTATCCTTCTTATCTTTCTTGTCCTTTTTATCCTTTTTATCCTTCTTTTCTTTCTTCTTTGGGGTTACTGGAATTTCATCATCTTGTTGTTTTTCAAGTTTAACCTTTTTAACAACTTTACCATTTGCAATATCATCATTAACATCTCTAGCTTCTTCGAAATCATTGGATCCATAACCAGTTGGGAAATGTCTCATTCTTAAATGATCAATCTTTTCCACATTTTCTCGTGGTATCACAACTTTATCTAAATCTATATTTGGAATATTAATTAATTGTCTTATATTATAGAATCTATTGATTTTAACATCTTTCAATGGGGCATAAACATCATCATCATCATCTCTCTTTTCACTGACAAACACAGAATATGGTTCATCTTTACTTTCAACCACATCTTCTCCACCATCTTGAAATATTTCTTCATGAATTTGATATGATAAATTATTAATTTCAAATTGAGATTGATCTTTAACGACAGAAGTGGATGTGAACGAGACAGGTAAACGTTTCAAACTCTTAAGAGGGAACCCCTTTGGGGTCTTGATTAACCAAAGCTGTTTATTACCAATTGATTTGGCAAATTGTGATGCTGATGAAGTTGATGAAGTAGGATTTGATTTTATATAATGCTTTGGAGGTTCAAACGTATGTTCTTCTTCATCTTCAATATCAGAAACATCATCATTGACATATTCTGCTGATTTATATGGTCTTTGAATTTTCTTAGCCATGTTGATGAGCTTGGAATGATATAATAATGATTGAACATGTTCTTAGTTAAAGATCAACTTTAAAGCTCATCTTCATTTTGCTAAGTGAAAAAAAAAATTTAGCTCTAAAAAATTAGTCACATGTTTAATCATGTGAGCGATGTAAGGATGTTTTTTTAATCTTATGTGGAGATCAGAATAATTAGAGAAGGGGGGTGGGATTTTTAAAGGTACATATTATATTTCCTAAATTGTTAATAGTAGAAGCACTTATTTGAATTAAAGCCATAAAGTGGCAAGTTGAGGAGAATATTAAAAGTTTTCCATATAAAAAAAAAGATGTCATTTAATAATAATTTACGTATATGTCGATATTATTTAAGGGAAAAGGTACTTTTGATTCCCCGTTAAAAATAATAATTCGAAATGGTACGATACAATTTTAGTATGTGTAAGAATCTGTATGTGTGTGTTAATTATATTTACCAATTGGTCTATTGAATGTGTAAAGTGTAGTTACTTTGAATAATAATTTGAATTGCGTTTTTGTCAACAAGTTACATTTTATTTATTTAGATTAGATTAATCTGAACTAAGGTTGATCAAGGATTAGATCATTTGATTATTATTAACATCATTTAATCAATGTTTATGCTAGGCTATTTTTAGATGGGTCAGCGAAGCGCATGTTCCTACATCTCGTATTAATATTAAATAGTTTATGTTAGTTTATATTGCAGAACTTGTAATTAATTATGTAAGCTACCAAATTTTACGATTAATAGTATAGATGATAGTTACAAACATCAATCTAGTAAAAGTTTCGTTAAGCAATATTTACTACCAGATGAAAACTTTAATTGAAACAATGTAGGTATGGAACATTCTAAACATTCATCTAGAGCAAGGAATCTATTACATCATTGATAAGCCTATATGGTTTTGATCCAAGTTGCGCTTTTTATACGTTCGCCGACTTCCTAATTAGGCAATTGAATTACGAAAATAGTATCTTAATTATATAGAACTATAAATAAAAAAAGTGTAACCCAGCTCGTAAGTATTTTTGGTATTTTATCAATTTATGTTCAAAGAATGAATTATTATGATTTCAATAATTATACTACTTCAGGTTTAAGTTCATCATTTGTAACTTTTGAATATGTTTTAGCTACCACCATGGAATTCATTGTTGCTGTTGGTTATATCCTGAACTTTTACATTAAGAGAAGATATTATCCTGAATTAGGTGTTAATAACGTTGCTGTTGAAAGCAGTAATGATGAAAGCATCGAAAAGGAAAATGAAAGTGAATTAGAAGATATTAGTCTTGAAAATAATAGTATCATCAAAAAGGAAATTGTCTAAATCCATGTACTTTTTTAAATAATTCTTGTATTTTTACTCTAATAGAAATAATACACAAATAACAAAATATAAAAAAAATTCAAACAATGTAATATAATTACTTCGATTCAAGATTAAAATTAACTGTTGAATCAAGTTGAACCATTAATACAATATCAAACCCCGAACTATTATTAGGACAAATTGAATCAGCAATATAAATATCATAATCTCCAAGATAACTTTCATTTGAACAAGCAATGAATTCAGTTGAATTTTCAAATGTTAATAATGAATTAGCAATAGCAAACCCTGAAGTAGCTTCTTCAGAAGTATTATATGTACTGGATAATTTCCCATCATCTTCCACTAAGACATTAACACTAGAAGGAGGAGGTTGAGTAGCCTGAGGAATATTTAAAACCCAATCTTCTCCACTATTGATTCTACCCAAGAATAACGCATTATCAGAACGTAATTTCAAATCAATCCCATCAAAGTAAACCAAATTATAAGTGAATGTGGACCCATTATGAAAGGCAATCAAACTGAATACAGGAGAATATTGATTGAAATTAGTGATTGGAGCGGCAAAGATTAATGATAATAAGAAGCTGAAAACTTGAAATATAGAAACCATAATGAAGAGTGATGTATTGATGATTGAATATTCATATAGATGGGAATCTTTTCTCACCTGGATATGGATCCATTTATATATCCATTATGATTAAAACTTCCATTTTAATTGATATTCCTTTATTAGGTATGTTCTGTCGATTGATGTAAAGAAAAGTAAGTAATTAACCAAAGTCGATAAAATTTCAAAACATATATATAATACTTCCATCCTACACTCCTATTGAAAAATAATAATTACCTTAGTCTGTTGTTAATATCCATTTTTAGAAAATTAGCCAGCCCTGAGTTTCGAGGGTTAGGGTCCATCTAGAAGGAACGTACATATCAGTACGTCTTTTCGCAGCTAAAAAAAATTTAAAGTGAGGAAATTGGAAGGACTAGACTAATCTTTGAATGGCTTAATGGTTAGCTTGTACTATTTAAGTAAGAAATTGCTTTAAGTTTCAAAAGAGTGGAGTATCTAATTATAGAATTATTAGTTAATTCAAATAAATGTAATAATATGTAATTATAGTTGAAATAAATGGCTGGTTAATCGGTTACCATGGAAATATAGTTACACACTCGGCTAGTTTGTGAAATAGTATCTTCTTAGATTTCAACTCTAATAGAAAGTTATATCTATTCGATTAGTATATCAGTAGTTAATCATATTTTAATAAAATAAAAGTAAGCGCTACCAATAATCATTTCTCCCTTGCTCCCATTGATCATCTAATCGTGATCGCCCCTTGGCCTAAAAAAATACAAAACAAGGATCACTTCTCTTTCAATGATTCAATTCAACTCAACTCAAGTCTAATATTTTCACCGTGGAAATATCGTTAATTATATAGTGCAGGTTATTGGTTTATTTACTAAATGAATCTATTTAGAATGATAATATATTAACTTACAAGGTGTTTAATTCTTGAAATTAGGTGAAATCTACTTATTATGAATGATTCTTAACTTATCTAAAACTGAAATCTTTACTTTGTATGATTTGATAATAACAAAGTAACTAACTTATTATCTATGATACATATTACTTACCATTTAGATTTTAGCTTTTTTTAGACCTTTAAATTGGTGTATTAATATAGCCATTTCTTTTGTTTAGGTATGTATCTACATGTTATTATTGATTAATTTAATATTTGTTTATATATAAAATGATATAATTAAACTGTAGAAATTCCTCTCTTAAAAGTGAATAAGGTGATCTAATTCAAATTCAAATTTAAATTGAACTTTATTAAATATATAAATCAATTATAGATAAATTTAAACAATCCTCAATTCAAAACATTTATTACTTAAATAATCTCTTTTGGTTCTGTTCACGGAGTAGATTTATGTTTCACAAATTTTCAATCTAATTAATGAAACTTCTAATAATTTTAATCTATTTAGCTTATCTCTAGTATCTTCTTCAAAGTATAAGTCTTTTATTGATAATAATCCTTTAATTTTAATATAAATTGTATAATCTTTTAAGTTCTGAAATTGTAGAATAAAGTAGTATCCTAATAATTGATTGCCATAGGTCATGAATCTTCTCATGATTACAATACGTATCTACATTCTATATAAATTGATACGTTGATTGATTGATTGATTGATTGTCGCTGATATTTACTTTGGTCATGCTGTGTTGCCAAACTGAATTATCAAAATGTATCCCTTTTTTCCTCCTTCAACATATTTTAATTTTGCTACCATTAGTTCTTTATCTCTTCTACAACCAATAAAAAGACTTAATTTCATTCGTTTACCTTCGTGATTTAGAAGAATTTGGCCATCAATCAAATAGACTTACTTACTTTCTATTTAATGGTTAACAATATTAACTTTAGATCGCATAATAAATATATTTGAGTAAGGCAGTACTTGTTATTGGAATATATATCTTATAAATATAAACACGTATATTATCATCAATAATTTTATAATGTAGAATATATTTAAGCTACAAATAATTTAAATCCATGATCATTAATGTATGTAATTAACTAGTTTTACTAATGGTACTGATGGTTGAAATTAGTTTACATAAATCAACTTTTGTTGAAGGCGGTTGATGGCATTATTCATTTTTGAAATGAGTATAAAAGGGATCGAAATTCTCTAAATTAAATATTTTTTTTTGATTGATTTCTTCTTCAATACCTCCCTGGAAGATAAAACGAGTGTCACCTAGTTTCCTTAAGTCTCCTTTATAGTATTGTATTAGTAATATACTTTATATTTAGGAATATTCTTACTAACTATTTAGTGATGTTGTTTCTTCCCTAGTTGGCTGAATTTAAGTTCGTCAGAATTAATAAATGAATTTTTTATATCAATCAATTGTAGAAGTGGATTGTAAACTATTTTGGTTTTGATAACCCCATGTAATACAATGTGATATAATGTAGAAGTCTCTGATCAAAAAGTTTGGCAGCCAAAGGGTCATTTTTTAGATTATTTTACTCCCTGTTTATTCTTACTAGAAACTGATTATACCAAAGTTAATCATAAATGGTTAAAGTATAGTTACAACCTTTATAAGTTCAATATTTGATGGTTGGACTGTAGTTTATATTGATTTCATGGGTTAGGCTGCCATTCCATTTATTTGATAGATTAAAAATTCTCACTTGTCGCCCCTATAAAAAGAGCACCAAATTGTCTAAATGTTTTTAAAATCTGATTCTTTTTATTCATTATTAACATCCTGACTCTTTTCAATAATATATAGGATTCATCTGAATGACTGGGTGGCATTCGACTAACTAGTTTCAATTTTTGATATCGTGATATTTTATTTTATTCTATTTAGATATTGACCAATACTAACATTATAGGATCAAAGTTTGTACGTTGAATGTATATTATAAGCGTATCAACACTTGAAACCATTTTATATTATTAACTTATCATATCAATTGTAGATCCCTATAACAAACTACATTTCAAAAATCAATGACTATAAACTGATCTATCATCATCAGTCAAACAGTTTTCAAAACGAGTAACCAAAATAAATTTAAATTTAAAATGAGTAAATGTGAACTATAAAAGAAGATAAATCTCCCACTTCCTGAAACAATTTTTAATTCAACCTTTTTTCATTTTGTTCTCTAAGAATGAAATTCCTAGATTGAAATATTGATTTATTTTTGTTTAACTATCAAATCTATTTAAAATTTCCAATACTAACTATTTTAAGATATCTTTGTTGAAGATCGATTTGAATGGAAAACTAGCAATAATTTGAATGTACATGGTTGTTTATAAATTATAATCTTATTTACTTATTTACTGTAGAATTGTATTAGTTAATTGTAATATGTAATTGAGTTAAACATAAATTGTTTGAAAATTTTCAAAGAAAAGAGTATAAAAATCATCAAATTTCTCATGGTTCAGATTTTTAAACCTATCTCTTTCTTCTTAACACATCAATAATAGGAAGTGAACATCGATGATAGGACTATGCTTCCTCTGTTTTCAATTGAATAACTAGCAATATATTTGTTAACTAACTAATAATCAATATATTTAGGATCATATTTTAACTTGGATAGAACAGTCGAATAGATTTTGAAGGCCACATTATTGTTAAACATGTTTCAATATTTCCGTTTAATTATTAATATACATGATTTGTACATTTATTTATTATTATTTCAATTGTAGAGTTTACTATATTCTATTTAAAAGAAGCAGAACTTATATATGGATTAATAAGTGAATCAAATCCTTCAAACGTATTACATTTTTGGATTATTTTAGCAGTAAAAGGGTCATTTTTTATCATAATTACAAGAAACTGAATAGGTCATTGTCTAAATTATATAATTAAAGTTCCATCACACTAGTTAATATACAAATAAACTATGTTATAATATATTATTGTTGATGATTAAATGGACTATGTTGCCAAACTTTTGAAACTTGTCTGTCTCAGACTTCGCTCCCTTTAAAAAAGATCAATTTTAAAACCAAAGTTTTACATTTCAATTATATTTCATTTCTTTTAATCAATCCACTGTTGGTTGATATTGACTTGTTTTCTTAATTCGTTTCGATTATAATAATATATTGATTCTATTTAGAGATTTAGACTAACTCATTCTAGCCAAATTGTGTCTTGCTTATTTATTTTTAAATATATTGATGTAAGTGTATTTACGTATGTATTATTTTATTTTCAATTTACATATTTTAAACTGAATCACTTCAGTATATTATTCAACCTTATAATCAAATATAGAAGGGGATTGTAGTAAGAGTAATTTAAAAAAGCTGATATTTGTTTCTTCCCGCCATAAGGATTCTACTAATAGATGTACAAAAGAAATTGAATTAAATAATAATAATGTATGAAAATGAGGGTATAAAAGGAAGATAAAATCCAAATTGAACTGTCATTTTTCTTTTGGAATGTAAATATTAAGCAACTTTTTAAACCATTATATTCGTGGGAAACAGACAGTGTTTCAGCTATCTAACTTTTAAAAACTATTTAGGGTTAATAATTTTAACATGATGATGATCTATCAATAAATTAAATTCAGCAAACTATATTACTTTTATATCTAAATTTATATTTATATTTATATTTATAGCTGTAGATTTGTAAACCATTCTCTGATTAAAAAAAAAGGCAAATAATATATCTCTCAATTCAAACTGTTAACCACTTCCTTCTTTATATGACTATTGAATACAAGAGTTAACATACTGTGATACTATTACTGTTCATATACATATTTATGATTTACCATTAACCTTATAAGCATGTGATTTGAATTTTTATCATATATGAAAGAGTTTTTAAAAATAGCATTTTATTGGACATTTCTTGTGTACTTGGCCTCCTATGAAGTTTCCTAATTCCTAAAACCAATGTATATTTTAAATCTTTATTATTTTTGATTATACTTGTAGAATTAGAGTAAAAGTCTGTATGATCTTGAACGATTAAAGAATTGATCAGATTGTTAATAGCTCTATTATTGAATCTTTAGTAATTTTTGGCAGCACAAGGGTCATTTTTGAATCTACATAATTATTACCTTGTCCATCAATCAAATTAATCAGATGGTTAAATAAACAATGTTAATATGCTTCATTACGTATTCGTTGAATAGAAATGAGATACATACAATTGATTAATTATGAAGTAATTGATAGTTGTGCTGTCAATCCCATACAATTCAATTCTCCTCCCCCCCCTTCTTTTAAAAATCTATTTTTTTTGTGTGGGTATAAAAAGTAATTAGATTTCATCAAAATATATATTTTTATAACTTTTTCGATATGGGTGTTTCTGTTTCTTGATTTATTCCAGCACTCTGGCATTCTAGATAACAGCTAACATAATTCGTTTTGTCTTACAAGTATACTTACTACATATTTAGGTTTATAAGAAATTTACTAATTGTTATTATAGTGTAATAGGTTTTCATGGATGTCCCTGTTCATATTAATAATCAAATAAAGTACGTATTACTTAGTTTCATTAGTTAAAGTATATATGAATACATTCTCAGTATTATTATTATTGTTTAAAATCATTTAATTCATGTAGATTATACTATAAATCATAATTGTGATGTATCATATATTTTGTTGTCGAACTTTATGATCAATTTACACATTTTTCAAAACAATTGTTTCAGGTATAAAAGGAGACAAGTTCCCACCATATTTGATTTTTATATCAATCTAAGTTCAAAATTATCTACAATGGTTATAAAGATCCTGCCTTTAAAGAGATGATAAATTTATGTTTTCACCCATATAATAATTTACTAACTGATTTAAATTATATTTAGGATAATTATCATTAAGTTACTAACCACAACAGTAAGGTCCCAGCTCCGTTTTTGAGCAATTTATCAAACGCTAATATAGTAGTTAATTTATTTAATATAGGAATATTTATACATCAATAATTTCAATGTAGTTTGTAAGAGGTAAGTACATAGTGATTATCTCATATTATGGAAATACAAGTAACTATTTAATTGGCAGTATAATGATTATCTTTGAATCTACACAATCATCATCTCATAGATCAAACATACTGATTGAAAGATCATATAGGCTATATGATTATAGATCATTATAACTACTTGAATACAATCATATGAACTAATTAATTGACTGATTATTCATACTTCAAATCCCTTCTAGATCAACCCCCCTTAAAATCTCCTTTTTTTCCTTCCCATTTTAAATCTATAAAAGGATCTCAATTTCTCATCAAAATTTATAGATTTATGGTCCCTAGTAGGAATTGAAGATATTTGCTTTGCATTAACTGGTCCTTCTCGGTTTAATAATGCCAAAGTGTTTAGAATTAGTGAAATTATTTTTGAATTAGTGAAATTATTGTTGAATTAGTTTGTCCAATATGTACTTACTACTATTACTTATTTAGGTCTATAAGAATTGTACTAATTATTACTTTAGATTCTTTGAAGCCTGTTGTTAAGATTCCTATTTTATAATTAATTATTTTTGTCAAACTAGCAAGATGTTTCTGATTTTGGTTTTATTAAAGTTAATATTTCTTAGATCAGTGTGTATATGAATACATTATTAGTATATTATAAATTATATTTCCAATGTAGAATGATTGTAATTTTGTATATTGTCAAAAATTATTTTTACTATAAAAGAGTAATCAATTTCCTCAATGTTTAAATTTGTTATTTCAATCATGATACTTATTAAGACTAAATAAGAAATAGTCCAAACAGCAAAGTGAAACATCTTGCTAAATCTTTATATGTATTAACTATTATAAATTATATTTAGGATACTTATGATAAGTTTATTAACTATTAAGAATAATGATCAACAATATTACCCAAGTTCTTGTGTATTCTATTTCTTTAATATAAAAATATATTTATAAGTTAAATTAGTTCAATGTAGAGTTTATAAGAGCATCTACAAATTGATCATCCCATGTAATGGGAGTTGATTCAATTGTTTTATTTGAATGTACTGGATTACCACTCGATTTGATTTGGCAGCACAATGGTCATTTTTGAATCTACACAATCCACATCTCACATCTCAATCAATTTGATTGAACAATCATATCAATTATATGATTATAGATTATTCTACATACTTTAACCAGAGATAATACCCGTACAATTGATTGATTATGAAGTAATCTAGAGTTATGCTGTCAATTTCACACAATTCTCATTCAACCACCCCCCTTTAAAAATCTCATTTTTTTCTTCAATCTATAAAACGATCTAAATTTTTCATTTAAATTTCTTTGTGGTTATACATCACTTCAAATATATCTCCTGTTAATATTGTGTCTAGCAAAAATTCAAGGTCATTTTCAAAGCCAATTTTCACTTATCATTTATTTAGGATTATAAAGAAATGTACTAATTATTTCTAGAGAGTTTCGTTTAACTATAAAACTAAAGCCGTCTAAGATCAATGGGAATTGTTGGTATCATCCATTTCCCTTATAGTTTAAGATATAGTACGTATTACTTAGTTTCATTCATTAGAGTATATATAAATACATTATTATCGTTATAGTACTATAATATCATTTTGTAGAGTGGTAAAAGTCATCATCTTATAAGTGTAATTTACATATTCCCATTTTATTATAAAAAGGGAATCAAATTTCCTCAATTCTTAAATTTCAAAATTATATTTATCAACAATATCAAAGTTCATGATAATCTGTTGTTTATTTTCCATTTCAGAAGTTGTGTTCCCATTTTTAGGTTATTTCCGTTCACCTATACTAATCTTATATTTAGGATTGTTATGACTAACTATTAGGAATAGATATTACATCTCTGTTTTTTCGTTTTATGTTGTGAAAGCCCAGTTGAGTCCAATTAATATAAGTTTATTTATTTATAATTTATTAGTTCTAATGTAGTTTATAATTGTATTTACAAGTTCTTCTGTAGTTTATAATCATATATACCCATTTAAAGGGTAAAAGTTGATTGATACAACTCAGAGGTTTACCAATTAGTGACCCACTCATTATTTAATTTGGCAGCACAAAGGTCATTATTGAAGTTAATCATTGATCAACCCCTTTTTTTCAAACCAATCAATCAGATCAATGTTCATAATAGACTTCTATAATACTATTAAGCTACTTATAGTATGAATATCATTAGTGTAATCACTTCTTTTTGATGATTTCATAATGTTGCCAAACCTCTATATCAAAATCGATTTTGTAAACATTCTTTGATCTCATAATATATGTAATCAACGTATAAACTAACTACTGACTTCTATATAGGTCAAAATCTATACTAACTTGAGATAAATTCAATCATTAGGTTTGTCGTGTCATTTCTCAACTAATACCTCAACTTTAAATATACAGTATTATTATTATTATCACTGTAATATGATTTGATATCAGATCTAGAGTAGAGTATAATGAATATTGAATTGTTCTAATGTCATTTCAGTTCACCAGTCGAGATAACACTTATTAACACGTACAAAGAGAGATTAGTAATACTATCAACTTAAATGATGATGTTTAAACGCATTTGTCTAAGTTAAATAAAGGATCCTTAAATCTCCTTAAATACTTTTTTAAACTTTCATGATTAATCAAGCACTTGTAACTTAGCAAGCCTGTTAATATAATATGTTCATAAATGAGCTGCTTTTATTACAAGGTTTCTATTAATATTACTTACATATCATATGATATAACTGTTTTATTTAGGATTCATTTGATACTAATCATCCATTAGTTTATTTAATTCAGTTATGATTATGTTGTAGAGTAAACTACTGGTACTGACAATCACTAGAGATCTATAGTATCGAAATCATAATATGGTGATCAATCATATTTTCTCTTATCATCCATTGAACATCGATTGATTACACATCATAATTTACAAATGTGTAACAGTTTAAGGGTCAACAACAAAAAGGGTAAACTATTTCTCCTCTCCCTTAAAAGTATCACCACATTAATTTCTTCCTCTTTTTATCTTATCACTCTTTCTTTGACTCAAAGTTTTTAAATAACCGATTGCCTAAAACCTCAAAGAAATTGATGTTATGAAGAAGAAATTGCAATGCAGACTAACCATTTAACTTTAGATCTAGGTTAATTTCATTACTAACAAAGTAGATAAATGAGTAGGTTTAGATAATAACTCTATGGAAATGGTTAATTTCAGTTGTTTATAATTCAAATCAGTATGTATCTACTCTTTTAACACATCAACTGCTTAATGTAAATCACTTTTGTATAACTTATAAGATTTCATCCTTTGTAGATATCATCATAACTTCTCTTACATAAAAACTAATAGAATGTATAAATATATTCAATATAAATTGCTATTAAACTAAATTATAAAATTTAAAAATTCAAACAAAACATTAACGACATGACATGCAAAATAATTTTATAGTTAAGTGAAAGGTGAGAGGGAAGGGGGTATACAAGATTAACGAGATCTAATTAATGGGGAGGTTTCCTTTCTTAACCATTTATAAACCACACTATTCTTATCAAATGATTCATTCAAATCATTCCAAATCGTATTATGATATCCATTAATCCAAGCTAATTCTTCTTCACTTAACATATCAACATTAATTAATTTCTTACAAAATGGTACTTTAGTAATGGTTTCAAATTCAAAGAATTTCTTTCCACCATATTGTTTACCACTTTCCTTTATAAACATCACATTTTCAATTCTAATTCCATATTCTCCATCTTCATAATATCCTGGTTCATTGGATAATAATTGTCCTGGTTTTAACGCATTTTGAGCCGCATTTGGTCTTGGTCCAATTCCAATTGGTCCTTCATGAACATTTAAATAAGCCCCAATACCATGAGATGTACCATGACCATAATCTAATCCCCATTTCCAAAGATGTTGTCTAGCAATTGAATCAATTAAATTACCAGTAGTATTTTCAGGAAATTTTAAGGTTGATAATGAAATATTCCCCTTTAATACTAATGTATAATTCTTAATTTCATCATAAGTTGGATTACCAAAATGAACAGTTCTAGTAGTATCAGTTGTACCTTCTAAAAATTGAGATCCAGAATCATTTAAATAAATCTTATTAGGATTAATAGTTGAACATGCTCCCTTATGAGGTTTATAATGAATAACAGCTCCATTAGCACCAGTAGCACTAATAGTTGCAAATGATAATCCAACAAAATTTTCTTCTTCTTTTCTAAATTCAGATAATTTTTCATCAGCCGTAATTTCATCAATTAATTCTTGATAATTAATTAATTGATCTTCTAACCATGCTAAAAATTTAATAATAGCTCTACCATCTTTTAAATGAGCAATTTTAGCTCCTTCTAATTCAACTTCATTCTTAATCGATTTGATTTCTTCAATTGGAGATAAAGCTTGATGATAAGAACATTTTAAATTTCTAATCACTTCCCAATTAGAATTATTAGGTACTAATAATTGTTTATCATTAATTGAAAATTCTTTAGATAAATTTAATAAATAAGGATAAAAATCATCATAAGATTCAAGTTTAATATCATTTAATTGTAAATAAACCAATATTTCAGGAGATAATCTTTGTTTATCAATGAAAAGGGTAGTACCATGGAATTTAGTAATGATTAAATATGAAAAAAATACAGGATTATATTCAATATCTTGACCTCTTAAATTTAAAAACCAGGCAACTTCATCCAAAGCAGTTACAACTAATCCTTCAATATGAGATGAAGTTTTAAATACTTGATTATGAACTTGAGATAATTTATCTTTAATTGATTTACCTGAGAATTTTAATTCAAGAATATTAATTGGATTTGGAATAGTTGGTGGTATTGGTTCAAAAGTTTCCCAAATTGATGCAATTAAATTTTCTTGAATTGCTAAAAATTCAACTTTAGCAGATTTATTCTTTGATTCATTTAAACCTTTTTCAATTAATTTTATAAATTTTTGATATAATTTATTAGTAATTAATCTTGGATCAACCCCAATGTTTATTTTCAAACCGGAATCTAAACTCAATTGAATAGCTTGATTCACAGTCCATTCTTCCCAAGTTGGTTGATCTTTGGCTCCTTGTTTTAATAATTGCCAATTAAAATCTAATTCATTAGATGCTTGATTGAAATATCTTCCATCAGTTGATAAAGCAGCCAATCCTTCTGGAATTTCATTCATACACATGACATCTCTAGTAACAATAGCTACACCAGCACTACCTTGGAATCCACTAATAAAACTTCTCTTTTGATCTAAACTAGATACATATTCTGATTGATGTTGATCTTCAGATGGGATGATATAAACTCCTAAATCATGTTCTGCCATCTTGGTTCTTAAAGCATTCAAACGCTTGGAAGTATTGATTTCTTTGACATCAGGTAAACATAATGAAGCAGCATCAATGGTAAATACTGACCCCTTTCTTGATTGACCCACATTAATGGTACCACTGTTGGATCTCTTAATGTTGATTTTTTGAGCGAAAAGTGATGATCTTCTATTGGCTCTTGAAAGTAACCCTGGAGAACATGTACAATCAGCACATTGGCCTCTACTTATTCTAGCAGACATGGTTGATTGATGATTGGTTGTAAAGAAATGGTTTTGACCACGAAGAAGGTTGTATAAATTTAAGTTGAATTTTTGGATGTCAGCTCAGTTTTTGTCAGCTCAAAAGAAAAAATGTCTAACCTTTTATTTTTTGCTGGTTTTTCCGTTTTAAGTCATTTTTTTGTCTGGTACAAAATTGATCATTTACGAGGGTAGTTGCAAGACCGAACGCAATAATTCCGAGGGCATGGAAAATTCATAATTGTTGCAAAAATTTAATTTAATCTATGTATAAAATATATGATTATTTATGTCTTTGTCGTTTATATCTACAGGGATACCTTTTATAAACTCCACAAGTTTTAGCTAAATGTTTCATTTCCTTTTCTTTAAGTGTTGCTTCATAAGAAGGTTTGAATTTTCTAGACTTAATCAATTTCAGCATTCCAAAATCGATGAAAAAAACCCTATCTTTCTCTTTATTATAGATAAAGTTACCATTATGTATATCCCCATGTAAAATATTATGCTTATGCATATACATAAGGGAAATTTCAGCTTTATCGTATAATTCTTTCCCCCTCAACTCACGAGTTGGTTGTATATATTCTTCCAATAAGTAGAAACCTTGGAATTCAGTAGTTGTAGAGAATTCACACATCCCATACTGAAAGAGGCAAGGTAAGTAATTTATATTATTATTTGAATTATTACTTGAATCGGTATGCCTTAAAGCCAAGAATACTTGAATTTCATTTAAAAACATGCAGAGTAATGAAGCATAAGATTCTAAAAATGCATATTTTGGTAGTATACCCCTTTGAAATCCCATAATTGGATTATACACTTTCAATATCATGGGATTACTCCTATAATTTGGATCATCTATATTTTTGTAATAAACCTTTGAGACTTGAGAAAAATATTTCATTTGCAGCTCTGTTGGATCTGGTCTCAACTTTTGTGTATCAATTATAAAGTCGTCCTCTTCAAGGCTTGGTATAACCCAATCAATCAATTCTATACATTTAAAACACTTTGCCGGAATAATAAGTGATTTCTCATCCCGATGAATATAATCTCCATGTTCATTTAGATCATAATTTCCAAATTTAGATTTCCAATCTTTCCTCATGAAGGATAATTGCCATTCTTTAATATCTTGTTTATCTCGCTCAGTCATTTCTAAAGTATGAAATAATTCGTTCATATGTGTAAGTTGGGTTTTAGGCACTCTGATAAAACATTGATTTGATAATAATACTAAAAGAAGGTTTATGCTGTAATCTGATTCAAGATATTTTAAACATCTCATACGACAATTTAAGTGAAACTGATAATCGTTTAAACATTGTTTTCGTGATACATTTCTAATATCTTCAAATTGAACAATTAAAATGCTTTCCATATCCATAATAAAACCAAGTTTAGAATTATTGGTAATCATCTGATAGGAAATTTGATTGAAAATTTCGTGGAAGCTTTTTTTATTTTCTTTATTTCTAGATTCATATGCAGAAGAAACTCCTCCAGTCTTTACTTCAACAGGAATTATTATGACTTCAGATTTGCTTTTATGAAATTTGATGGTGATATCCGATATTACATCTGGATCCACACCTTCTTGTAAACCTAGTGTAATTTTGTGCTTCTTCAGTTCACAAAACATTATATCCAATAAATTACATGTAGGATTAAGTACGTATTGCTCAATATAATTTATAACTATGCATTTATTATAACCAGACCAACGTGACTTTCCGATTCCAGAATATTCAATTTTCTCTAATGAACAACGATCAATCCGTAATTCAGAGATTAAACTATCCAAGTAATTATTAGTGATTTCGCAAACATTTAATTCGTTAATTCGTGGCACAACTTGGAAATAGTCTTCAAAGACTTTAGGAACAGGGATATTTAAAGACTGTCTTGAATTCCTATGGAATAGTCTCCTTGTAGAAAGTGATCCAACTCTAGTTTTATTTTCTTTTAAAATTCTTAAAGGCAAGGATAACTTAGTACCCCAGGATACACCAAAAAGATTGCTTACAATGTTTATGATTGATTTGATATTTCCTTTTTTATATAGCTTTCTTTTTCTTTCCATTTCAATAATAACAAGTTTAAAACCCTTATTAATTACTTGTGAAATATCTCTTTCGAATTCTTTACTACTAATGTAGTCTTTATCAAAATAACGAAAATAATTTTTAGAAGAAATATTGTGAAAACTGAATACTAAAAATATCAACTTTCTTCTTTCAAGAGTTAAATTAAACTTGTTGGTTTTTTTGCTAACAGTTTTGATTTCAAAGTTTTCACATAGTTCCTTCCAATACTTTTCTTGTTCTTCATTTTGGGTTGAATTGTTAAAATAATTGTAATCTGGTTCAACAAACAAATGATCAATCACAAATTTTGTTGATTTACGAATGATATTGATATCGTAAAGGTCATCGAGCTCCATTTTGATTATTGGAATATAATTTATTATTTTGAAAGAAGTTATAAATATTGATTGAAGAAGCAAGTTATCTTATAATTTACAGAAATATGATATATATCCCAATTTGAGAAAATGCATAATCATGCTGTCAGATGCCACCTTAGGACAGCTGCAAAAAACAGAAAATGGTGCAGTATATAGCACTACGTAATATCACTTTTCTTCTATGTACTATAATATTTATCTAATTTATACTCATTATATAAATTAATTATCGATTTTTTTTCATCTTTATTAATAGTGTGAAAATATTGACTTGTCAAAAGTAACAATAAAGAAGAAATACTATATTCAGACATTGAATGTTTAAAACATCTTATTGCGCATGATATACTATTATATTCTTTACCATTTTCATGTAAATATTTGGTTGGGTTTGGATTTTCATAAAATTTGATTACATAAAAACAATCGAAATCGATTGCAAAACCTAGTTTAGATTTATAATTTATCATTTGAAATACGATTTGATTTATAAAATGATGATATTCTGCTGTATTGCTATTCTTATCTTTTTGTGTTTCACATAAATCATAAATACCTCCTTGTTTAAATTCAATTGGAATCGAGAAGTTAATTCCTAACTTATTAATACGAAGACAACAGCTTGGTATAATGGTTTCATTTCTATAATAAGTTTTTTCCAATTCAACATCTTCAAAATGTCCACATAATAATCTCTTAATAGGGTCTATAAGACTTTCTTCAAAATATCTTGATCTATCATGCGTAATGCCATGATAGTATCCAATAGATTCTGAATTCTGTAAATATGATTTATCTATTTTGAATCGCTTCATATCTTGTTCCAAATATGTATCTCCCAATATTCCATAATATGATGGATCATAGAAAATGATTTTAAAATAAATTTCAAATACAGGTTTGCCACCATCCATATAACATGGTAAGCTGTTTAATTCTGAATCACTATTTCGCCTTATGAATGAATTGTTAGGCTCATAGTTATAATCTTCTTGGGTATCAAGATTCGTTTGTTCCTTTTGTGGCATAGGAACTGAAAATAGCCATGATAAGGTTGATAATTTATTCACCAATATAATGATCGGATCAAAATTATCATATTTATATGATTTATTTCTTTCTACTAGAATTTTCCTAGTTAAATCTGAAAATGATATATATGTATCCCGAGTTGCATCTGAAAGATCTCTTGAGTATTGTGCACTACAAATGTATTCTTCATCGAATTTTGGATACGGATTTTCTGGAGTTATAATATGAAAATTATTAAGTAAGTAAGTTAACCTTTCTCTATTACGCCTTAATAAATTATCTGGACCATTGTAATCTTGTTGTTTATGAATTAACTGATTCCAACCATGATCAAATTGTTGCTTTTCTTGAGGATCATTGAAATAATTATATTTTGGCTCATCGAGTAGATGATTGACCACAAATCTCGTTGAGTTTTCAAGTATATCACTATCATTAATTGAATTAACCATTTTAATTATTTGAATTAAGAAATAAGATATTTTTAGTATGAAAAGAAGATTATTTTGGCTCGACTTTATCCTGTTAGATTAATATGTATTATATAGAAAGGAGTAGAGAGGTATCGCAAATGTCTAGCTACCATGCTGAATGCCACTTGGGATTGCTAAAACCAAACAAGATATTGCATTATATAACACTACATAACTTTACTGTTCAACAATAACTATTATAACCACTCATCATAATAATACTCAAAATCCCAAGAGTCACTCATTTCCTTAATTGGCTGCAAGTGCTCACTAGTAATGGTTTTGAAATATTCAGTAGTTAAATATAATAATAAAAATGATATGCTATATTCTGATGAAGATTGCTTAAAACAATTTAATATAGGCTGGAATTTAATTGCATTGCGATTTCCCATTTTAACGCGTTCTGGTTTTAGTTCAAGATCGATACCAAATAAACAATCGAAATCAATAGCAAGACCTACTTCAGATTGATAATATACAGTTTGATACACAATTTGATTTAAGAATCGATTGAAGTCATGGTTATTACAATCATCCTTCAGTTTTTCAATTAAGTCACAAATACCTCTTACTTTAAATTCAATTGGTATTGAGAATTCACTTCCTAGTTTGTTAATCAGAAGAGAACAGGTTGGAATAATGGTCTCTACTCTATCATAATTTTTCTCCAATACAACTTCTTGAAATAGTCCCTTTAATAATTTCTGAACTGGTTGTACAAGGCATTGCTCAAAATAGATTGATTTATTATGGGTAATGCCTTTATAATATCCAATACATTCTGAGTCCATTAAATACAATTTATCAATCTTAAATTGATGCAAATCTATTTCAGAAGATATCATGTCTTGAAAATTTGATTTGTCAACATATCTAAAACGAGTTTCAAATACAGGTTGACCACCATCCATATAACATGGCAAACCTTTTGATTGAGAATCATCATCTCTTGTTACGAATGAATTATCGTATTTAAAATGATGTTCATCTTTGGAATCAAAATCCTCCACTTTTCCTCTTTGCGGCATAGGAACTGAGAAAAACCATGATAAGCTTGATAATTTTCTGACCAAGTCAACGATAAAATCTTTCGAACTAGGGATATATTCTTCATTTCCTTCCTTTAGAATTGTCCTAGTCAAACTTGAAATATTAAAATATATATCTTGAGTTGCTGCAAAAAGATCTCTTGGATAATGTTCATCAAAAATATATTCTTCATCAAATTTTGGATATGGATTTTCAGGAGTTATAATATGGAAGTTATTAAGGAGGTAAGTCAATCTTTCTCTATTACGCTTTAATAAATCATCTGGACCATTGTAATCTTGTTGCTTTTGAATCAATTGATTCCAACCATGATCAAATTGTTGCTTTTGCTGAGGATCATTATAATAGTTATAGTTTGGTTCATCCTTTAAATGGTTAATGATGAATCTAGTTGAATTTTCAAGTATATTAATATCATTAATTACACATAACATTTTAGATATTGAATTGATGAGTGGAATAACATATCTAATTTTAATAATTTGATTTATTTAACCTTTATATAGTGGACGTTATATGTAATATGTTGTTAAAATACGTAAATATATGTAAAGGATCTACAGAAGTAAAAAGACGTATTTTGAGAACAATGAACAGAATAGGGATACTGGGATATACATTAATTATGAAACTAGGTTAAAATAGGTTAAGGATAGTCCTAAATAGGGGTTGTTAAACAGGGGTTGTTAAACAGCTTCTAAAATTAGACGCTCAAGGTATCATATATTCTGACCGAAATTACTTTGTTTGAATTTCCGGTTCGAGGGGTACATTAATAAATATTTAGTTAGAACTAAAAAGAAGTAGGGATCGTCGCTGTCAGTTGATCTTTTAGATAAAAAATGAAAAAAAAAAGAAACTAAAAGAGGAGACATTTGTCGTAACAATTTTGACAATTGTCGTCATTGGTTACGATGTTTGGTGGAGGGGCAGTGGAGGAGAAGGAAGTCGTGTGAAATGGTCAGCGAAGAAAGAGGGTCGTGCGAAATTGTTGAAATTATTGCAACCATAATATATATGATTACTAGCATCCATTGAATAGTTAAATATAGAAGATTAATCTTCATAGGAACTATTGAAATGGATATATTGAAATATAACTAATTAGTGAGGCCAAAGAAGCCTTTTAATTTTACTAATTTTATGATGTCATTGACCATAATGATCAATATATAACACGTTATTCTATCATTTCCAATTAAACAAAACTCTTTTAATCAGTGGATATTGTCAATCAATCTATTTACTATAATGTTATATACTTCTACCTTACTTATCATATTATAATTTATCATTTATATCATATTAAATTAAATCATCATAGTTAACTTCCCTGCATATAAGCCAACCAATCAATTAATTTAAAAAAGTGAAAAAGTAAGCACAGCAGAAAAAAAAAATTTAGAGACAGAGAAATCAAAAAAAAAGTCTTTGAAAATAACATTAAACAACGAAAAGGTGTTTATAATTCAATATATTATTCAATTCAGATAAAGGATCTATTCATTGATTGATTATATATAGATTTCAATAGTCTTCTGATACATTTATCACTTTTTAAAGTTTGAAACCATAGTTAATTACCAAAAGGAATAGACACAATCTTAATCTATCCTACCCAAAACTCATTTTTGCATTATATCATTCATTATCCTTTACTTCCATCATAATTGATTCATTTCATTTAATTTAAAACCCTCCCATTCATACATTTCGTCATAGCATTTTTTTCATATCGCTCCCCTCTTCATATACATAAAAGTTCACAATGTTATCCAGATTCATTACTAAACCAATAACATCTACTTTATCTAGATCTACTAGAATTACATCAATTAGAAATTCAGCTATTATTTCAGTTCATAGAGATACTACTGAAGATAATCAAAATATGCCATTTGAATTTAATTCTGAAAATTTAAAAAGAGCTAAAGAAATCATTGCTAAATATCCTCCTCAATATCAAAAGGGAGCTGTTATGCCATTATTAGATTTAGGTCAACGTCAATTAGGGTTTACATCCATTAGTGTGATGAATTATGTAGCTAAATTCTTAAATATGCCACCAATGAGAGTTTATGAAGTTGCTACTTTCTATACTATGTATAATAGAAAACCAATGGGGAAATATTATTTACAAGTTTGTACTACTACTCCATGTCAATTATGTGGTAGTGATGGTGTATTACATGCTATTGAAAAACATTTAAATATAAAACCAGGTCAAACTACTCCTGATAAATTATTTACTTTACAAGAAGTTGAATGTTTAGGTGCTTGTGTTAATGCTCCAATGATTGGAATTAATGATGATTATTATGAAGATTTAACTCCTGAAAAAACAGTTGAATTATTAAAACAATTACAAGCTGGTAAAGAATTAAAAGTTGGACCTGTAAGTGGTAGAGAAAGTTGTGAACCATTTAGTGGACCAAAAGTTTTAAAGAGTAAAGAACCAACTGATATTAGAAAGCTTACTAGAGCTGACCTTTAGGAGGTTTATTAGTTATTTAAATAGAAATAAAGTTTAATCACATTTAAAAAAGAATCATTTGTATATTATATTATATATTCCCATAGTTAATTGAAGTGTTGTAGATATATATCTATAGTTAATATGGTGAACATTAAAATCTAAAAGTTCCACACCGCAGTACATAACAAAACAACATCCATACCACAATACATAACCACCATTCAACAGCGTTATCGGAGGGGAAATATCCTGTATATAAACCGGTATCACTTTAAATGATGCAATTTAAAAAAATTTGACTCACTCACCCGCATCCATAACCAAAAAGAAATTTATGCCATCAAATTCAACTTTAATAAGATTATTCATCTTGATCATCATTATTGTTATTCAATACTATAAAGTTCATATAAACTGAAGATGGCTCCTAAGAAATCGTATAGTTTAGAGACGGAATTGGTCTTTTCCAAAAGTGCCGATCAATATAATGCATCGGTTCCACCATTATATCAATCAGCCACATTTAAACAAGATTCATTATCAAATATGGGAGAATATGATTATACAAGATCTGGGAACCCAACTAGAACTTATTTACAAAATCATTTAGCTAAGATCATGAAGGCTAAAACCACATTCGCTGTCTCATCTGGTATGGGATGTCTTGATGTTATCACTAGATTATTAAAGCCTGGTGATGAAGTGATTGCTGGTGATGATTTATATGGTGGTACTAATCGTTTATTAACTTATCTTCATAATAAAGGAGATATTATTGCTCAACATTTCGATACTACCAATACTGAATTGATTAAATCTAAAATCAATTCTAAAACTAGAATGATCTTTTTAGAATCTCCTACAAATCCATTAATTAAAGTGGTGGATGTAAAATCAATTGCTAATGCTGCTCATGAAATTAATCCAAATGTCATTGTCGTGTTCGATAATACTATGATGTCTCCAATTTTCATGACTCCCTTGGATTTAGGAGTTGATATTCAATATGAATCAGCTACAAAATATCTTAATGGTCATCATGATATTATGGCAGGTGTGATCGCTACCAGATCCGACTCCTTAGCTGAACAAGTTTATAATGTGATAAATTCTACTGGATGTGGATTATCGCCATTTGATTGTTGGTTATTAAGTAGAGGATTAAGAACTTTAGCCATTAGAGTTGAAAGACAACAACAAAATTGTATTAAGATTGCTGAATTCTTAAAGAATATTGGTTTCAAAGTAAGATATCCTGGTTTAAAGGATCATCCTCAATTTGAATTACATAATTCTATGTGTAAAGGTTATGGAGCAGTATTAAGTTTTGAAACTGGTAGTATCAAATTATCTGAACGTATTGTGGAAAATACTGAAATTTTCGGTATAGCTGTATCATTTGGATGTGTGAATTCCTTAATTTCAATGCCATGTAAGATGTCTCATGCTTCAATTGATGCAAAGACTAGAGAAGAACGTGACTTCCCTGAAGATTTGATTCGTTTATGTATTGGGATTGAAAATGTTGATGATTTAATTGATGATTTAACTAAAGCTTTATTAAGAAGTGGAGCTGTCAGAGTTAATGAAAGAGATGAATTATTCAATGTTATTGGTGTTCAACCAAAGTTATAGATCCTCTCGTCATCATCACAGTTTTCATTCTCCTATTTATCTATTCATTCAATTCATATTATGTACATTAAATACTCAGCATTCTTCTAATATAAATATATACTTTTATACACTATAAATTGTCTTAACTATGTAAACTGAAGAAAAACGCGTGTACCAAACTCAAAAACTGACACGGATCGCGTTAAAAATAAAACAAAAATATTTATCATCAATCAAATCAATATTTACAACCAACAGTTCTTCTTCCAAATACATACTAATTACTTAGAGATGCCTAGTGTTGATTCATTCAACCTTTCCAGAGGATCCTTGAAAGATGCCTTCTCGTTGGCTAACCACGATAAAGTGGAAGCACCTTTGACTTTCTTAGTCACCAATATCAAACCTGTTATGGTTGATAATGAAGTTAAAAGATATAGATTGATTGTTACTGATGGAATATATTCTTGTCAAGGGTTGATTGAAGAAGTCGCCATGCCTTATGTGATTCAAAACTCATTAAGTAGATTCGCCATTATTAAAGTATTGGGATTCAATGTGTTTGCAACTCAAAGAAAATTATTATTTTTAATTAATGAATTGGTTATAGTTGGTCAAGCCGATACTTATCCTGAATCAAATGGTTTAATCACCATTGATAATTATTTTAAAGATCATCCTGAAGATGATTATTTAGTCATCACTAAAAATAATCAACCAAACGCGTCTAATGATAATCTTTCTGATGATGTTCATGGAACTACATCTCCTGCTCCTCCTGCTCAACAACAAAGTAATTTTAATACTCCACCTGTTTCAGCTGGCACTGAAAGACAACAACAACAACAAGCACCACAACAACAATCTTATCAACAACCTCCAAGTTCTGGTAATGATGAAAAAGTGGTTCCTATTGATAATATCTCTCCTTATAGAAATTTCTGGACTATTAAAGCAAGAGTATCATATAAGGGAGATCTTAGAACTTGGCAAAATAAAAATAATGAAGGAAAATTATTCTCAGTTAATTTCTTAGATGAATCAGATGAAATTAAAGCTTCAGCTTTTAATGATGATGCTGAAAATGCATTTAAACTTTTAGAAGAAGGTAAAGTTTATTTCATTAGTAATGCTAAAGTTAAAGCTAAGAATCCAAAATTCAATCATTTAGCTAATCCTTATGAATTAGTCATTGACAAAGGGACCAAGATTGCTGAATGTTATGATAATTCAAATGTTCCAAAATTATCCTTCAAATTTGTTAAATTAGATAAAATTGAAAAATTAGATCCAAATTCAATCATTGATGTTATTGGAGCTTTGAAAACTGTCAATGAACCATTCCAAATCACAGCCAGATCAACGGGGAAACCATTTGATAGAAGAAATGTCACTATTGTTGATGAAACTGGTTATGCTATTGATGTAGGATTATGGAATGCCACTGCTGTTGGGTTTAATATTCCTGAAGGATCAGTTATTGCATTCAAGAGTTGTAAAGTTCAAGATTTCAATGGTAGATCGTTAACTTTAACTCAATCAGGATCAATAATTCCAAATCCAGATGTGTCGGAAGCTTATACTTTAAAAGGTTGGTATGATAATGAAGGTATTAAAGAATCATTTACGACTTTAAAAGTTGAATCAACTGCTTCTTCAAGTTCATTCAGTAAAAGAATCACCATTAAGGATGCTGAATCAGGTCTTTTAGGTCAATCCGATAAACCAGATTATTTCACCGTGAAAGCTTCTATTAGTTATACTAAACATGATACATTCTGTTATCCTGCTTGTAGTCAAAAAGTTCAATATTCAGCTGATACCAATAGACCTGCATCTGAATGTAATAGAAAATTAATTGAACAACAACATGATGGAACTTGGAGATGTGAAAGATGTGATATCAATGTCAATGAACCAACATACAGATATATTTTCAATTGTGCTATTTTAGATTCAACAAGTCAAATTTGGATAACTTTATTCGATGCTGAAGCTAAAAAATTATTAGGTATGCCAGCTAGTGAATTATTAAAATTAAAACAAAAGAAAGATTATGATGAAAGTAATACTGAATTCCTTGATACTTTTGCTAATGTTACTTTCAAGCAATTTAATTTCAGAATTAAAGCAAAACAAGATACTTATAATGATGCAGTTAGAGTAAGGTATCAATGTGTTGGAGTTGATTTCCTTGATTTCAATGCTGAAGCTGATTATTTATCTCAACAATTGGATTTATTACTTAAATAGTTCTACTTCCAACTTTCCATCCATCCATGTTTGTAGTTTTATGTTAGTTACTTTTTTATTAAATCTTGTGATGATTTATCTTTTCTGTTTAGTACTTCTTTTTTTTATATATAGGTTTTAAATAATAATGTTAACTTTTGCTTTTTATTATATATACATGACACACTATGATTTATACTCTACTAAATTATTACAATCTAACCAAAACGACTTTAACACATCATTAGCTTGTCGTTGACCTCTCGTTAGCATTAATTTACTTACAAATGTATCCACAAATGCATTATTAAACTTATCATTAGTTGAATTATCCACAAGTTTATGAATTAAGATAACTCTTAGCCAATTCTTAATGTATAAGGGATATTTCGCCACAAGAACTCGGAATAATTGATAAAAGTATTCTGTATTTGATCTTGGATTATCAATGAATGACGTGATTAAACTTAATACTAATGAATAACCCAATGGATGAGATGGATCAATGATATGTTCTTTCACGATCAAATCTTGGATTAATTGTTGTTCACTTGATTGACCTCGTTTTAAAGTGATAAGAGTATTCCAGAACTTTATGACTGACCTGATGATATATGATTCTTTGAATTTAAAACTTGAAATTGCGAATTTTAATACCACATTTTGAAACAGCGGAAGATTAACGATCAACGAAGGATGTTTTTCTAAAACGGTAGAGAATAAATCCAAGCTAGATTTAATTAAATCAACATCTTGTTCAATGAATGTTAGTTTGTTTAAGAATGCCAGGGATAGGAATGACTCAAAAATAGGAATCAGAACATGCTTACCATTAGTGATTATAATCGACTCCACTAATTTATACACCAATGACATTGACCCAGAATTACAGTTTTGAACTTTAACCATTAAGTATTGGAAAATTATGGCAAGTTCAAATTTAAATGGTCCATTGATTGGTTCATTCAATCCACATTTAAAAATATTACAACATTTCTCCGTTGGCAAGGTCTTTAAACTTAAAGGTGGATAATTTAATGATAATTGATTTATACTTTGTAATATAGCTTGTTTCACACCTAAGGTATCTTCATTCCAATATGATTCCGTTTGATATTTCTGTTCCACTGTTAAGTAATCTTCTAATTCTTCTGGTAATTTGGTGGCATTTCCAATCTCATTTATACATCCCAATAAACTAACTGTATAATCCTCCATTTTTTGATCATTTTCTTCTTTCGTACTATCAGGAGAAGTTAATAATTGATTGGGATTATGAACAACTAATTCTATTTGCTGATTGATTTGATTCAAAAGATGAATAACGACCTCTCCTAATTTTAACGGATCCTTTAATGATTGTGCAATAGACATGAATGAATTAACTAATCTCTCTCTGATTAAACTATCGAATTCAATGTTTCGAATCATTTCCACAACGATATTTTCCAACTGAGGTAAGAATTGAGTTAATTTACTTCGAGAATTTTGACATATCTTTAAGATTGTCTTGGATGATATTAATGATACTCCTGTTTGTTGTTTTTGTGGTTGCTGTTGTTGTTCTATGATGATTGAAAATAAGTAATTGAATGTGGTGGTTATGTACTGTTCTCCACTTCGACTTTTGAAGAAGAATGGTAATGATGATAATAAATTCAATAATGTTATATTGATTTGATTATTTTTAAAATTCTCATCAATAGTTTCAATAACTTTATGTTGGAAAATCTCTTCAAGATACGGTATTAAGATTTGAGTAGACTCATCATCATAAAAGGTTAAATCATCCGTAACTTTAAACAATAAGAATAATGATGCTTCAATATCAAGGGATAATTCTTGATTTGGAGTATTCTGAAATGCAACTAATGTATCTATCACATTCTTACATAATGTTGAATATATCGATGTGTTCAACAAGGAATAAAGTAATTGAAACACTTCGGCAACTTTCAGACGATAATGTCTGAATTCAGGAACTATCTTATCACTGAATATATGACACTTTTTCCAATATATAATACTTATATTGATTAAAATTTCATTTCTTATTTCGAAATATTTCTGCTTCGACACCGTATCTTCCTTGAAGATTTCATTTATAACGTCTGTATCCTCAATAAACATATTAATGAACTCTTCCCAAAACACTAAAAATTGATCACTTAATTTTTCATCTTCAATCGGACGACCAGGAAAGTTAGTTAAGGTAACTGCTATATCCAATATTCTTAAAACTTGAGGATTAGTTAAATTTCGGATAATGTACACCAAATTCAAATTCAAATAGGCAATGATTAAATCAGTGAAGTTTTCAATTTCTTGTTGATAGATATCGATTAAATCTTTATTCAGTAAAATTGCGTGTAAAAATTTTGATCCAAATGAATTCTCTTCAAAGAGGATTTGTGCAAGTAATGTTTTGTATGGATTAAGGATTAAAGGATGTTCTTCTAAGATTTGTGATAACACGGTACAGGTCTTACTTACTATTGCTATTCTATTTTCCAAATCATCGAATTTTAAATTATAGAAAGTATATTGGATTAATGGTTGTAAAATCTGTGGATCAACTGTATAAGACACTTTTGAACCATGTTCAGCAATACCAATATAAGTAAACCAGGCAAATAAACAATCTAATGCCAATTCATGTATTTCCTGTTGTTGGTGTTGATTCGAATCAAGTAAACCAAATATATGTTTTAAATTAGGGAATAAGTACTTATAAATGATTTCATGAGTTTGAGATAGTTTGGAATTATCCCGTTTTCTAATATCTTCTACTATGATGGTATGGAAATAAATTAATAATTTCAATTGAGAATCATTTAACTCTGATATGATGATATTAGGATTTCCCAATTTATAAAAGTATCTCTGTATGGGATTGATCAAAACATCATTATCAATACCTGTTTGATTATGATCAATGAACAACAAAGACAAAGTACTTAATAACTTCTTAATAATGAATAGATTTGATTCCAAACTTTCTTGACTTAAGGAGATCACATAATCCAAAAGTTCATCAAAGATGGAGGTGATTTGATCTGAAGTTATTGAATCTTGATAAGTATTTAAGAACACAGTGAATGTAAGTGCACCAAAGTAACGACAATACTTAGACGGTTGCTTGATCAACACTTGTCCCAATTGATACCCTGTAGATGATTTTTGAATGGATTGTAAGTACTCCTGTACTTGTTTGATCTTGTCTGTATCATTAGTGGAATATACAAGTTCAATCGACTAAGTTAGAAAGTTAGTAATTCAGACGTTAACTTTTTAGGTTGAATCCTAACCACATGATTATCTCCCTATACATACCAGAACCACAGTCTCTATATTCCAATCATTGTTCATAGTTTGAGTTGATATTTACAACAAATTATAGTTGATGATAATTTACAGTAATAAAAAAAATGGTCGTACCCAAAGTTCAAAATGGCTTTTTGCTTTTTCTTCAATATGGGAGCTCTACCATATATCAACCAACAGTTAGCATCACAAGCAACTTATATTTATGTATATATAAAGCAACTGTTATGTATTCTTTACGAAGAGGGTTAAAAGGTAATGGGTATGTATGCGAATTATGTTCAATATATGACTACATACATTGAGCTATTTAACTTTACTTATTACGAGGAATTCTCAAGTTCAAATGTATCGTAAGAAGGTACAATTTCAAGATGTATCAATTGATCGATTGATTGAAGTAACATCAAAGATTGATTTAATTGAGACAGAAGACTTTTAAAAACATGATTCAACTAAAAATAGATTCTCTAGCATCGTCGTTTTTAGTATAATTGGGATCGGAATAGATCGGTTATGAAATGGATTATTTAAAGTTAACCTTTCAAACCCTATTAATACTTCTTTCATATACTGGTGGAGCTTCAATTTTTTCCAGTAGCCTTTTGAGCTTCTCATTACGAAGAATACATTTTCCTAGTAATTGGAAATATTTATGGGTAATATTGTCCATAAAACCTGTTAATTCCCTGATTTTAGCCCGGTGATTTCTACTTATTTGCCGTTGATCATTTCTAGATTGGCATATTCTATTAAGTAGGTGTTCTTGTAAATGTATAGTCTCTATTAAATCGTTTATGGTCGCTGTCAGCATATTTAATCCCAATTATAATGACAATACCGTTGAACTTAAACAATGCAAAGTTTATAAAATATTTTAATATCCATTTGAATGGTAATATATTTATTTGTTATGCCAATCTTTACGCATATCTGATGCAGCAATAAGCAATTAAAAGTGTTTTAAGCTAACAACAGCAAACAATCATTCTTCGAAAAAGCTTTTATAATGTTATCATTGTATTAAGTTTGGAACTTGGTCAGTATTTATAACCATAAGTTATTTTTAGAATTGGTTATTCAAGTGTATCAGTATTGTTCAATGAAGATAGTTTCATCCATCCTAAATGATGTCATCATACTTTGGTGGAGCTTGACTTAGGTATTTAAAGATTGATATCTGATTGGAACGATCGACATCAATTTGAAGCAAAGAATTAAATTTATATTCAATATTTGCCAGTTCCCTTTTTAAGCGTCGTATTTCATGAGAATTATTCTTAACAGACAGACTTGACATCCGGAACAACAGTTTTTCATACAGAATTCTTTCTTGAAGGCAATAAGAATTCCATTTTAATTTGTCTGTCATTGATAAAGGTGGTTGGGACATTGTATTTAGAAGATTTTGAAGAATAAAATGAACTAATGAATGAATTAACTATTGAAGAAACTAAATAAGTGAATTTATAAAGTTTATGTTATGCTTATTTGGTTCCACAAAAATGGTAATCTGATATGACAGAAAAAGGGCAGCAACAGAAATTAAGAAAGGGCAATAAACCAAAATCTTAAACACATTAAAAGAGGAAACAGTAGTATAAATAAGTATTTTGGTAAGTAGTCAACTTGTTTCAAGCGATGAATATTCTAAATACTACTTTATAAAGCAAGTTAATTATCACAAAGTACGTCTTATATCGTAAGTACAATTGTATATTGCACTCCTGTGGAGTAGTGCATTCTACGACATTTTGAGGCGATAACTTTTTTCCCCCTTTTGGCGATAGATGAAATTACAAACGGTCAAAATTATTAACATATAGTTGTAATCTCTTTAAGATATTAAACCTCATCACAATGGACCAATATAGTATCAGTGAACCAAAACCAAAGGAATCAGCTAACTATGGTCGGTTTCAATCCAAAAATTCAATATTATTCTATACTGTGCTTTCAATTTTATATGTCTTTACATTTGGATTAATTTTGAATAAGAATTTTTCTACATTGTCAATTACTTTCATTATTGCCTTCATAATTCTTTTAATGTTCCTTTTTGGACTTTCCACAGAGCAACTGGATCGATGTAAACATCCAGGATACCTCAGTGATAATATATTTGAATTAAAGAATTTAGGATGTGCGTGTATTAAAAGTTTTATACTTTTGTTTGCACTTGTTATATTATTTGTAGCATTCATTGTTAGTGCTTTTAGAACAGAAGCTGCTGGTTCAAAAGTCAAATTGCGAAAATCTTAATTATCTTATCAATGTGATTAATGAATGGTTATATTCTGTATTGCCAAATAGGTTTTCGGTTTCAATAATTATATTGGTATTCTTTCCTCCATTATTAATTGATATAAATATGACAGAAAGACACTCAAAAAGGTCTGTAGTTTCGAATTTATTTTACCAAGTACGAAATAAAGATGATAGTAACTAAAATTCGAAAAGATCTTATGCTAGAGTATTTTCCCAATGAAAGAGATAGAAATTGTATGAATAGTCTATTTGATCTCATACTTTTATTCTTTCATGGTTTCAATGCATATATTATTGCCCAACCTAAATCATCCAGGATTTATGTTTCCATTAGCTTAGTTATTTTAACCTTTGATTTGTTCGGTGAGACAACGTGAAACTTGTGATCACCCAAGATCTATATTAGACACAACACATTATTGTGGATGTCTTAAAGGTTCACTGGTCATTGATAATTTTGCGGCTACCATAGGGTTCTTGGTTCTAACTCAAAAATAGTCATTTGATTAGTTATATAGTATATTAAAGCGTAAGCTTGTTACTGCTAATATGAATCAATATATGTACTTATATATTGTTTAGCTAATAAATGTGAATTTAAACGCTAGAACCTGCTAAACCTTTACAAAACTTATTATAAAATATCTAGTCTTGGACTTGTATAGAATTAAGGTTAGATTGTAATATAAGAATCAAACTAGCCTTAGTTTAAAATAAAATATTTAGCAGACTAAAATTTATCCGAATATGTTATGCTAATTTAGACTTTAGGGTGTTGGTATAAATAAAACAGAAATATTAACAATTAATTAGTAGTTCTCTTGTATTTCAAGTATCATTATCAAGTTAATTAAAAATGACCTTTATGAATATTCGAAAAGATATCATGCTACATGGTTATCCCGACGAAGAGGATCGACACTACGTTGAAACCGTGTTTGATATTTTACTTATGATGATTCATGTACTCACTATGTATTTAATTCTGTCTCCTGATTCATCCAATGAAATGATTCTAATCGGTTTAGCCATTTTTGTTTTAGATTTCATTGGTTCGGTTAGACAACTTGAAACTTGTGACCATCCTAGTAATCTTTTGGATAATGCTCTTAGTGCAACTAACTTATGCGGATGTGTAAAAAGCTACTTAGTTGTTTGTTCATTTATCGTATCATTATGGGGATTAGTTGTTTTTCGAAAACATTCCTTTAATTACTAAGGTTATTTTGTTTATCAACAGTTGAGTTATATGCTTAAGTTTCAATTTATGATATAATATTTAAAGAATTAAACATGAATTACATTAGACTTGACCTGTTGAAAAGAAGTTTTCAACCCACCTTATAATAGAAAGTCTTTCAATCAACATTTATTGAATAAAATCCATTCAATTGAATACCTTAAAATAGGCTATTATACAACAATTCATATTTATTTTTATAGTTTATTAGTATTTGTAGTTTTCGTGTGTTATTTTTCCCCCTTTTTGGCTGTAAAAAATAATGACGGTCAAAGGATTGATTAATTTATGACGGTCAAAGATTTTTAAAATTACTTGTAACAACTTTTCCCTTTTTACTTATCTTTTCTTTTCAATATATTAATCATTTTTAAAATGAATCAATCTAGAGGTAATGAGATGATGTCAACTGAATCATCTAATAATAGTTCAACTGTTTTTTGTGTTGGTCTTTCAATATGCTACACTGTTGCCATAGCATTAATTTTGAATAAAGAATTTTCTATATTATCCATTTCTTTTATGGTTAGTTTATGGATCCTATTAATGTTCCTTTTTGTACTTTCATGTGAACAGCTGGAACTGTGTGATCATCCCGAGTGGCTCATTGATAACATTTTTGGTTTAAAAAATTTGGGATGTAGTTGTATTAGGCCATTGCCATGCTATTATTAATATTTATTGTTACTATTTGTACATCGAGTTGAAGATCCAAATTGAAATTAATCTGATTAACATCAATGTACTTAACAGTTAATAATATTTTGTTATTCTAATGAATGATCTATTTACACAATGTTCAATATTCTACATTCTACATTCTATGTTACCCAGTATTACTAGTTTCTAGTTCAGTGATAATGTTTTTCAGTTTAAGAACTTGGATTGTGCTTGTACCAGAAGTCTTTATATGCTTCGTCTCTTGTTATCTTATTTGTGATATTCATTGCTATTTGAAATAATAACTGATAAGTAGGATTATAATTATCTTGACTATTTTGTATTAAACAACTACTAAAACGTTTTTATTTTTATGAAAAATCTATTTACACAAATATGAACAATTAAATATACTATATACTACCAATAACTCAGTAATAATCGATTTAACCAAGCTTGATTAGTAAAATATCGGTTTATATCCATCTGTATTGTTCAACTTTATAGTAAAGTATCCAACGCCTCTCATATATATCTTTATTGGAGTTTATATTCAATATTCTCTGAATGAAACACTAGTAACATATATTACACCATAATATATTCTGGGTAAATCCTTTAGATTCAGTTGTATAGTCCTCTACATCCCTTGTGTATTTTATTGGTATAAGCATTTTTATGTACATTATTTGTTCCCCCCCCTTAAATGACAGTCAAGGGAATTTGTATAAATAATGACAGTCAAAATTTAAAAAAATCACTTTTACCATCTTTTCTTTCTTTCACTTTGTTCATTAATATCTCAAGCTTTATTAAAATGAGTGCTGAAGAGTTATCATCAGATGATTCATCTTACAATGGTTCAAAGGCTTTCAATATTATCCTTTCACTTAGTTACATTGTTACCTTTGGATTGATTATGTATGGTATATTCTCCACATTATCAATTGCATTCATTATTAGCATGTTTATGCTCTTAATATACCTTTTTGTCCTTTCTGTGATTGAAATGGAACATTGTCAACATCCTGGAAGTCTCAGTGATAATGTCTTTCACTTGAAAAACTTGGGATGCAGTTGCATTAGAAGTTTTATAATTTTCTGGGCCTTTGTTATGTTAGTTGTGGTATTATGTATCTCTCCTAAAAAGGGCTAAATCTGTTGACAGAACCAGAATGATTATCTTTACAATGTGTTGTTTTGTTGAATAATCCAATCCACAATCTGAATGGTTCAATATTGTATATTCTTATTTGCTCATCAATTTAAGGTTCTTGCTCATTAATAAATGAATTAAATATGTTTTATTAATAATTTATACTATATCTATATAGATTCTTTAGTTCTCTGTAGTTGGGTTTTTAATAAAATATCCAATCCTTCTAATTAATTAATTTAACTGATCTGATTGTGCAGTGATGTATTTGACTTCTTTTCCTATCATACTTGTTGTTGTATTATAACCGTCATACATTAGTATGAACTCACTAAGGAGTAAGCTACCACTATATAGTTATTTATTGTCCTTTCATTCCTTAACTTCCAGGTGAATTACATTTGTACAACTATTTTTATGTGTGATATTTTTTTTTCCCTTTTTGGCTGTAAAAAATTATGACGGTCAAGGGGGAGTTGGATAAATTATGACGGTCAAAAGTTTTAGAAATTACTTATCACAACTTTTGTTAATTTCATTTCAATATATTAACTTAAATCACAATGAATCAATCTATGGTTAGTGGATTCTTCTCAGGATTATCCAACAATGAATTCTTTCAGCTCAATCGTTCAACTGTTTCCTATGTTATTCTTTCAATTGCTTACGCATTTACCATTAGATTAATTTTGAATGAACAATTTTCTACATTGTCGATTGCTTTCATTGCTAATATGATGATGATTTTGTTATTTGTTATTTTGACTTCCGTACCAGAAGTAGAAGGTTGCCAACATCCAGGAAAGCTCAGTGATAATATTCTTCAATTCAAAAATTTAGATTGTGCTTGTATTAGAACTTTGATATTTATCTGGGCACTTCTGATGTTATATTTGATATTAGTAGTTCAAATAATTAAAGGAGTATTTGCTGATAAAAGAGAAGGATTTGAAGAAGAAGAACTCATAAGAGAATCCCGTTTAGAAAGAGAAGCCGAATATCGTAGACACATATATGAATCACTTTATCAAGTAAATCTTGACTGAATCAATTGATTACAAAATTCTATTCCAAATGCTATTTTTTAATATTTTGCTAAATTAATACTAAAGCAAAGTTCGATTAGTTATATGTTTATAAATCATATTTATCATTGTATAGTTACCATTCAAATAAAGCAGCTGTTAATCATATTTTTATACATTTTGTTATAGTTGCCAGAGAACGTTTTGTGAAAATATGATATTCTCATTAAATAAACTTGACCGTTAAGTTTCCCTTTTAGGAGCATAAGCATCATATCTAGTCATTTGGACTTTCCTTCTTATTTTAGCACTATTAAGAAAGCAGTTTAGTGGAAAATGTTAGTTTATCTTTAATTTTTATATAAATATAACAGTAAAGTAAATAATTAGCTGTCTTTTTCAAGTTCATTTGTAAACTCAACTAAAAATGAAGATTACGAATTTAAGAAGAACCGTTGTTCTAAAGCATTTTCCTAATGAACAGGATAGCATTTATGTTGAGACTATACTTGATATCGTTCTTTTAATCCTTAACCTTTCAACTTGTTATTTAATTACCCAACCTGGTTCATCTAAAACATTCATTATGCTTGGTTTTCTTATTTTATCTTTAGATGCCTTTGGTTCCATTAGACATATGGAGAGTTGTGCTCTTCCAGGAAATTTCTTGGATAAAGTCTTTGATGTTACTCACTTTTGTGGATGTCTTAAAAGCCTTATAGTTGTAGATTCGTTTGTGGCGTCACTATGGGTATTGGTTTTAATCCGAAAGGAATCCTTTACTTGATTCGTATATATGTTTAATCTCTGCTAAACGGGTTAATATACTTATATACATTCTATTTAGTTTATAATATACTATGGTGTATAATAATAAACGAAGTAATTAGCAAAAGAATACATTATAGTTGACCATTTGAGATGATGGCTGAAACCTTAGAGTTATTACTACGTTGAAATCTGAAATCTTTATTGAATTGAAGACATTCAGATAGGATAGTTAGATTATAAGATACCGTCATATGTATAAATATGTGATGTGTATAATGTGTAATATTTTTTTACCACATTCAAAACAATTTATGACGGTCGAAATTAAAAAAATCCACTTGTAACAAACTCTTCTTTTCAATTCCAATTCCAATTCATTTCATTCTAATATATTAAAATTCATATAAAATGACTCGTTTGTTAGCTAATGAAAACAAAGAAGAGAATTCATCTTTTAATGGTGGTTCGACGGTTTTTAACACTTGTCTTTCAATTAATTATGCTGTTACAATGGGATTAATATTAAACAACAAATTTTCTGTTTTATCTATTACTTACATTATTGGCATGATGATACTCTTGGCTTTCCTTTGTATACTTTCCTTAGAACCAGTTTATTATTGTCAACATCCAGGTCGTTTCAGTGATAATCTTTTTGAATTAAGAAATTTCACTTGCAGCTGCACTAAAAGTCTTATGTTATTCTTTGGACTTCTTATGTTAATAATCCTTGTGATTGTTAATAGAAGAAGTGGAAATTAATATCTCTGATAGAAACTGATTAGAATCATCTGGATTATTCTTGATGGAGTTTTATCAAATAACTGATATTTTGCTATGTTTTATGAAGAAGCTTTTTACAATGTCCATATATCAACATTCAGTTTTAGTTTTTGTTACATGTTTAATAAGAAAAGATTTAAATTATATTGATAGATTATATATATTAACTTTAGTGTTGTTTAGTTATAATAGAGTATCTCATCTTTAATTTAATTGGAATTTAGATCTGTTGATAAGAAGGATTAGATTTCAGTATTATTACAACTTCATATTGTATAATCTCCCATTTGAGTTTTGATAATTAAATCCATTCGAATAGTTGGCATTGACCTAATATGAGGCTATTGTATAACGATATATACTTGTTGTTATAGTTTATTAGTATGTTAATTTGTGTGTGTTATTTTTTCACCCCTTATGACTGTAAAAATATAAAAATTATGACGGTCAAGGGGGAGTTGGATAAAATTATGACAGTCAAAAATTTAAAAAATTACTTATCACCACTCTTCTTCTCTTCTTCATTTATTCTCTTTTCAATCTAATGATCATTATTATTATGAATCAAAAAAGGCCCATTGAAGATAAACCTAAGGATTCGGCCAGCAATGGTCTCTTTCAATCTTATCGTTCGACCCGTTTTCCATATTGTTGTTGCTAGTCTTTACGTTTTTGGCATTGGTTTAATTATGAATGACAATTTTTCTATCTTAGCAATTTGCTACATGATTAGTTTGTTTTTGTTGTTAGTTGGCCTTTTTATACTTTCGATGTCTGGGGTGGAAGATTGCCAACATCCAGGAAACCTCCGTGATAACGTATTTCAATTCCAAAATTTGCATTGTACTTGCATTAGAGGTGCTATATATGGTTGGTCTCTTATTATGTTATTCATAATATTTATTATTGCTGTTGCTCAGAATGCCGAGACTGCTCATAGAGCAAGAGTAGAATTACATGCAAATTGTTAAACTGCTAATGGTTCTAAGATGAATCTGTTTTATATGAATAAACCAATCCATTACTTATTTTATTCTATCTTTCATTTTTTTTATTAGTTTGATAATCTAATTTACTTAATTCATAGCAAATGGTTAAAATATTTTTCTATAATCAAACAGCTGTTTATATTTATATACAAATGTGGTTATGTATAATACCTTACATATCAGAATAGAATCTATTTCTTATCCTTATTATAATTTTTCTAATTCAAAATACAAATGAAATCAAATGAAAATATAAACCATGACCATGATTGGAATGTATGTTAAATATATGTATATGAAGAAGATAAATACTGTTTGCTCTTTTACATAAAGATATAATCCATTCATAGTGTGGGAGCATTCTTCAAGTCCTATAAAACGCTTGCAACTTCTATAATTAAGAAACAAAAAGATAACAATCTCAATATAAACATTCTATACTACACCATAGTCTTTCCAGTACTTTCTTTTGTCTGTTCTTTTATCATATCTGAGACAAATAACCAGATTTATTGAACTCTTCCATCATCTTTGTTGATTTGAAATTGTGATTGCAAAATTAACATGAAAATAATGTATCGACACACGACCTTTTTTTTTATTGTTGAGAGTATCAACACAAAAAAGGAAATCACCACCACCACTCCATAATTGAATATATAGTGATTGATCATTACCAGGTGCAAGACTTGCAAGCAATCAACTATCGAGGACAAGGAGTTGGATTGAATCATTTGTGTATTGCCTGTCATTTGCATATTTTTTTTTGGTTTCACTTTGCATAATGAATAATATCCCGAAAAAGATAGATATTCCAACCTCCATCAGAGGAGGGAGTAATAGCAACATGCTTGAAACTCCAAAATCTCCATCAAGATCTACTAGAAGTTTGGATCCACCTAAATTGAACGAAGCCCCTAATCTCACATCAACATCTCCTAGAAGAAGAAATAATAAATCAGTGTTTAGTGATCGATATATCCCTACTCGAACTGGAATTGATCTTCAAGCTGCTTTTAGTTTATCTCATGAGGAAGTATTACCAGATCTAAGAAGTAATAAGAATATCGATAATGAAATTGAAATGAGAAAGGAAGAAGAAGCCAATCGTACTTTTTCAACTGTTCTTAAAGCTGAATTATTTGGTGATAATGTTCCGATGGCCACATCTGCTTTATCGACTAATACTTCCACATCTAATAATATCAGATCAAATATACCTAAATTCCCTTCCATACGACCAAATAGTACAGGAAGTATGTCTACTTCAAGAAATATTCCTGATCATCCCACTACTAGCATAACAGGAACACCTCCTCGTCCTTCTGTTCCTTCCACTCCTTATTTAAGTTCTATCATTCCTCCTCCTTCATCAGCTCATAGTAGTTCTATTATTGCTGGCAATAATGCTACATCTACTACTTCAAATAATAATTCCAACCCTATCTCCACTTCGAATAGCAACTCCAATAGTAATAACTCCAATAGCAATAATAACAACATAACTAGAGATTATGATGATAGTGTTACTAGTACCCCACGTCGTAAAACTAATCTTTTCACCTATCAATCACCTCAAAAGTCAAGACCAATATCTCGAGATTTACAACAAGAATTATATTCTTTATCACCAGTAAGGCAAGAATCACAAAAATTATTATTATCACCTCAAAAGAAACCTAGAAATATTTCAAAAGTACCTTATAGAGTATTAGATGCTCCTGAATTATCTGATGATTTCTATCTTAATCTCGTTGATTGGGGGGCTCAAGATATCTTAGCAGTAGGATTAGGTGATAGTGTTTATTTATGGGATGGAGCTACTCAGTCAGTAGATCGATTGTGTAACTTATCAAACAAGGATAAAGTGACAAGTTTGAATTGGATTGGGTCAGGTACTCATCTTGCTATTGGGACATCGAAGGGGTTAGTTGAAATATGGGATGCTACTAAAATCAAATGTGTTAGAACTATGTCAGGTCATAATTTAAGAGTAAGTTCATTAGCTTGGAATGAACATATATTATCGAGTGGATCTCGAGATCGAACTATTCTTAATCGTGATGTAAGAATTGAAAATCACTATGTAAATAAATTTGAAAGTCATAAACAAGAAGTTTGTGGGTTAAAATGGAATGTGGAAGAAAATAAATTAGCCAGTGGTGGAAATGATAATAATTTATTTGTATGGGATGGATTAAATCCAAAACCTTTACATCAATTCACTGATCATATTGCTGCCGTAAAAGCAATTGCATGGTCTCCTCATCAAAGAGGTATATTAGCCTCTGGTGGTGGTACGGCTGATAAAACCATCAAGACTTGGAATACGTTATCCGGAAATCTCGTTAATGATGTACATACTGGATCTCAAGTTTGTAATTTAATTTGGTCTAAGAATTCGAATGAAATTGTTTCTACTCATGGTTATTCACGTAATCAAATTATTGTTTGGAAATATCCTTCCATGCAGCAAATTGCGCAATTAACAGGTCATACTTATCGTGTATTATATTTATCATTATCTCCTGATGGAGAAACTATCGTTACAGGGGCGGGTGACGAAACTTTAAGATTTTGGAATGTATTTGAAAAGAACAAACATAATGAACCACCATCGTCTGTATTACTAGATGCCTTTCTGCAATTAAGATAATTAGTTACAATGTATAGAATATATTTATTTTATTGTATTTTATTTTTAAAAATTTATTTTATTTAATGCATCGTAATGTTACAGAGTTAATATACAAATGGAAGGAATGTGCTTTTTTGTCAATAAAAATAAATGTTAAATCAATAGGCAATCAGTTTTAATCATGCTTTTCTCTTGAAGTGGGTCTATATTATGTTCTTTACAGAAAATGTCTAAGTTTCCTAATAAAAGTGTCACATTACCATCTTGATCTTGCTGTAATAGTTTCATGTATTCTAAGGTAAGTAGGATATCTTCTTTTCTGAATCGTGTCCATTGTGATAAGTCACGTAGAGTGAAGGTTGAATTTTCATCTTTTAAATGAGAATGTATGACAGATACTAATTTTCGAGACCAATAAGTATAATAGGAGACTTTCCCAAATGGAGATAAGGGGAATTCAGGGCCACTATAGTATTGACCAGGAGTTTCTTTGGCTAATTCATACAGGAATTCAATCAATAATGATCCCAAATGTCGCCTTTGAAAAGGTGGGAATATACAAATGCAAGCTAAGTTATTATCATTATCGTATGCCAAACGTTCTTTGGAAAAGAATCCCATTGGTTTGCAATATCGTTCTTCATCTCCAATATCACTATAGTCATAACCATATATTATGTAGAAATTGAAATGATCAATGTTATAATAGACTGATTTATCATCTAAGAATAATTTTCCAAATAAACATAGATTTTGACAGAATAATGGTTGCATATACCCTTTTACCTCTCGTATATAGTATGGAGTCACATCATCTCGATAGACCAATTTCCCAACTTTAGGTTTTATCACATTATGAGTACATCCTATTCGATGTTTTTGAAAGTCATTATAAGTAGATGTGTATTTAAAGCAGAATTCACAAACGAATAAATGATCTAACCAGAAATTATCTTGTTGACTTTCATCACCATTAGTTGTGATTGAACCTCGAGATTTTCTTCTTAAAGTTGGATCAGCCGCTATCATGTTACTATATTCATATCCTAATGCTGAATGATTGAAATCTTGACTATTGAAATAAGCTGCATTTCCATACCACGTATTAAAAGTGTATTTTCCAAACGTAACTTCTTTGATATTGGGAGTATCTAACATCCCATAAAAGGCATTGGCATCCTTCTTATTCTTCCCTTTGCCATTTGGCTCGGATCCAGTAGACTTGGCATCACTCATGCAAGCCTTTTCCATGAATAAACCAGGATTTCTATCGTAAATAACTATCAATCCCATACAAAATTTGATCTGATAAATTTAAATTTTTGGGATTTTTACAGGTTTTGTGGTGACTCTCTCAAACTTTTTTACAGGTTATTACAGCTGGTGTGTTAAGTTTAATTTAAAGTAACCAATTTCTACTTCTAGTTTATATTTAAAGTGATAAATGTTATAAGATCAAGTAGAAAAATGACATGCCTTCATAAAACTTCCTAATAACTTCAAAATGTTACAATTATGTCATAATACTTGATACCTGTAATTAATGGTAGCGACCTCACTTCAAACGACGCGTTTAAAACACACTCCAATTTTTTTTTCAATATTTATACCCAAACAATTGCTGATATCAACCCAAGTCCAATCAACGAACCATACAACCATAATGCCACCAAAGGGATGGAGAAAGAACGCAGATGGTCAATACCCTCAACCTGCAAAAGATTCTGAATTGATCTCTATCGATGAGATATTATTCCCAAGAAGCACGGTTCTAAAACTAGCCAAGGGAATCATTAATGAAGAAGATGGAAGTAATAATATGATCATAGCCAAGGATGCATTGATAGCCATACAACGATCAGCTACTGTGTTTGTATCGCATGTGATGTTTCATGCTAATCAATCTTCTAAGGCTGAAAGTAGGAAAACCGTTAATACTCAAGATATTTTAACTGCTTTAGATAGAGCTGAATTTTCAGGTTTTATTCCTGAAGTTAAAGAGAATTTAGCTGTATATGAACATAATCAAGCTATTAAGAAGAAACAAAAGTTGGATATTAAGAATAAAGCTATTAAAGAGGGAGAGCATGCCACTGAATCACCTGAATCAAGTTCGAAGAAATTAAAAGATAATACTGAAAAAGCAGTTGCTGTAAATGGTAAGGCTGAAGATGATGAAGATGAAGTAGAAGATGACAGTGATGTCGAGATAGTGGAAGAAGAGGAAGAAGAAGAACAAGATGATGATGATGAAGTTGAGGATGATGAAGAAGAATCAGCTACAGCCAACCCTATTGCTCAACTTGGTAAAGAAGAAGCAGAATTAGGAGGTACAGAACCAGAAGCAGAACCTGAACAAGATTCTGACAATAGCGATGAAGAAGATGAATAATTATGTATATTAAATACTATTTTGGTCATTATAAATACAATACAGGCTAATTTTTTTTTTATAAATATATATATATCTAATTCTGTAGAAAGACTATCAATGCAAATTATGGATGGATGTTGTTGATCTAGAATAAAACTTTTAATTATGCAAACAACGACTGAAAAAGGGGAACCCACACAGTTGCCCAATGAATAAATATAAAATGACAAAAATAACAGCTGCAATAGCTAAGATGAATTTCATATTCCCAAACCACATTTTTCGTTTAATTTGTTGAGCTCTCTTTTGGAACACCAGTGATGATGTATTCAATCGATCAGTTTGATCCACAAGAAGATTGATCTTATCACCTCTGCTCAAGAGTTTATTGATATTGTCCAACATAAGTTGACGTACTTCATCTACTTCTTCATTGGCTAAGAGTAATTGATTTGGATTGATACTTTGAGATGATTCGCCATCAGTTCCTTCGATAGCACCATAGTTATATATTTGAGCATTTGAACTATATTCCAACTCATGAAACTTGATAATTTGATTCATCATAAGTTTGAATTCTCCTAACCTTGATTTGGTCTGACTTGGTGAATTATTGGCACTATTAATAGGATTGCTATTATTAATATTGTTGTTATTTATAGTGTCGGGGTCTGAATTCTCAGTCTCTTGTTTAAAATCTATGTATTTATCAATGATCTTTTTAAGCACTGTGATGATTAAAGCTCGATTAACTTCTGAATGAGCGATAGTGACCACTGTTATTAAATCTGTACTACCATCTTTATTGACCAACGCCTTTTTCATGAAATAAAGTACCAACTTTGTGGTAGTATAATTACTTGAAATCTGAATAGACCCAACTATAGTTTTAGATGAATTTATTAATCCCAACTCCTGAGAGATGATCTCAGAACAATTTAAATTGTTGATCAAAGGTATAAGTTGATGATTTTCATAAGTATATAAAGTAGTGGAATTCAAAGTTAAAGTCGTATGAATCACTATATTATCAATAGTTAGTATAATATTCCCCGTAAAAACATGTACCCAAAACAGGCAAAAACCTATCAGTACATACAATGACTATGGAGATCTGCATTACTCATATCATTAGGTTTAATCGTTGGTATGGTTTAAAGGAATCAGAATAGTTGTTGATATGGTCTTACTCCTCATTGTTTAAAATTTGTTAAAATCTGGAGTTCATCTTCCACAAAAATAATGCGGTATGGATGTGTGTCCTATTTTTGTAACCCTCATCTTGAAAAAGTATATAAATTTTATTTAATTTTATGTTAAGAAGAGATCATATCATTAATTAAGTGAATAGTTCAAGAATGGGGAAGTATAGGAAGAGGTTTAATGAAAAGGCTCGTTCTGGTATGCTTGCCAAACAAGCAACCTTGAAGAAAGCCAGACAAAAGCAGTTCCATAGAGACATTGATGGCGATGCAGCACCAGTATCAGAAGATGTTGCAACTGTTAAACCTATAGAGAATTCAAATGCAGAAATACTTCAACCTGTAACTGAAGAAGAGAAACAAGAAAGGAAAAGAAAGTTAGAAGAGACTTTATATTCGAATCAAAAAGAATCAAAAATATCCCGTACTAAGAAGAAAAGATTGGATAAATATATAGAGCATCAATTGAAAAGAGAAGAGAAGAAGACTCTTTTTGAAAAATTGGCCAAGACTAAAGTTGATACTAGTATGTTTGCTCCTTCTAAGGAATTAGGTAAAGGTAAGCAAACCAAAAAGGAAGAATTTGTGGAAGCTTTAGAATTGGAAAGACAAGGAAGAGGAGATGAAAGAACTAAAGATATTCTTTATGAAGAGAGACAAGTTCTCGATTGGTCAGATAGAGAAGATGGCAGTGGGGATGATGATGCCGAAGAAGATATATATGGAGACTTTGGACCAAGTGATAACATACCGAAATCCTCATTTGTTGATAATAGACCAGCAAAATTTGGTGGTAGTGGTCTGGGTTTTGGATTTGCCAATTTACCAAAAATTGAAAAAACTAAGACCGCTCCATCTCATAAGAAATATACTTGGAGGTTGAAAGTGGATCAAGAAGAAAGAAAACGTCATAAAATAGAAGATGAAAATGATTTCCTTAGTGATAGTGATGAAGAGGAAGAAGATGAAGATGACGATGAAGAACCTGGTACTGATGATGAAGTCGATAATGAAGAAGTTGACGTAGATGATGAAGAAATAGATGGTGATATAAACGTCGACGAAGCAAACGAAGCCGATGACAGTGATGACGAAGAAGAAGAAGAAGAAGAAGACGATGACGATGACGATGAAGATGAAGATGACGATGACGACGACGACGAAGAAGAAAGTGAAACTGAAGACGACGATGAAACACCACGTCTTATGCAACGTAAGCCCAAACATTCAGCTGTAGCAGAATCATTCAAGCAATGGGCCGAACAACAAGTTCGTAAGATGGAAGGTCGTGATGTCGAATATGTCATGCCAGAGTTATCAGAAAAAGCCAAAGAAGAATTAAAAGAAACTGTACATGAAGAAGATTTTGATCATTCATCTGATGAAGAAGGTTATATCGCGATTGACAAAACCTTACAAAGAGAAGCCTTCTACGTTGATGTTACTAGATCGGATGAAATACAGAAACAAAGAGTCAATTTACCGGTATTCGGTGAAGAACATAGAATTATGGAAGCTATTTATCATCATGATTGTATTATTATTTGTGGTGAAACTGGTTCCGGTAAAACCACCCAAGTTCCTCAATTTCTTTATGAAGCTGGGTTTGGTAATGTTGAAAACAAAACATATCCTGGTATGATTGGTATTACACAACCAAGAAGAGTTGCTGCTGTCTCTATGGCTGAAAGAGTTGGTAATGAATTGGGTGATCATGGTAAAAGAGTTGGTTATCAAATCAGATTCGATACTACTATAAAGAATGAAGGTACTGCCGATGGTACTGCTATGAAATTCATGACTGATGGGGTTCTTTTAAGAGAAATGATGACTGATTTCTTATTAAATAAATATTCATGTATCATAATTGATGAAGCCCATGAAAGAAATATTAATACTGATATCTTAATAGGTATGCTTAGTAGAATCTTGAAATTAAGAAGAAGCTATCATACTGAAAATCCAGATAAGTACAAACCTTTGAAACTTATAATTATGTCAGCTACTTTAAGAGTATCTGATTTTTCTGAAAATTCCCAATTATTTAAGATTCCACCTCCAATTATAAAAGTTGATGCAAGACAGTATCCGGTTAGTGTTCATTTCAATAAGAAAACTCATTTTGAATATCAAGATGAAGCATTCAGAAAAGCATCTAAGATTCATCGTAAATTACCTCCAGGCGGTATACTTATATTTTTAACAGGTCAAAATGAAATCACATCATTAGTTAAGAAATTAAGAGCTGAATTCCCATTTAAGAAGAAGTCAAGACAACCAATATATGATGCAAACTCAACCAATATAAAGAGTTCTAAACAGAATGATCTTGAAGCTGAAGAAATCGATTTCAGTGTTAAAGTTGAGATTCGTGAAAACAACGATAAATTTTATGAAGATTTAGAAATCAATTCCGGAGATGTGGATGAAGAAGAATTCGACGTCGAAGATGAAGAAGGGTTTGATGAACAAAGAGAATCCCATCAAACTGATAATGATCCATTATACGTATTACCACTTTACTCATTATTACCAACCAAACAACAAATGAAAGTATTTGAAGAACCTCCAGCTGGAAGTAGATTATGTGTGGTTGCTACCAATGTAGCCGAAACTTCATTGACTATTCCTGGTATAAGGTATGTAATAGATTGTGGTAGAGCCAAAGAAAGAAAATTCAATGAAGAAAATGGAGTTCAATCCTTTGAAATTGATTGGATTTCAAAAGCTTCATCTGATCAAAGAGCTGGTAGAGCTGGTAGAACTGGTCCAGGTCACTGTTATAGATTATTTTCATCTGCCATTTATGAAAGTTATTTCCCACAATTTTCAAGACCTGAAATTCTTAGAATGCCATTTGAAAGTATCGTATTATCTATGAAGAGTATGGGTATTGATCAAATTGCCAATTTCCCATTCCCAACTCCTCCTGATAGAAAATCTTTAAGCAATGCTGAAAGATTATTAACTATATTAGGAGCCTTGGATAATGAAAATAAGAATATCACTGAGTTAGGTAGAACCATGTCTCTTTTCCCATTAAGTCCAAGATTTGCTAAAATTTTAATCCTTGGTAATCAATTAGGTTGTCTTCCATATATCGTTGCCATTGTGTCAGCTTTATCTGTTGGAGATCCATTTATTGGTGAAAATGAACTTGGTCTCCGTGCTAATAATAGTGAGGATGCTGAAGAAGAAGAAAATAAAAGAGATACTGAAGAGGTTAGATTATTAAGAACTAAGTATAATCATTCCAGAGCTCAATTTGCTAGATTAGATAATTCTAGTGATGGATTAATGCTTTTATCAGCTGTTTGTGCTTTTGATCATGTTCCAACTGATAAGAGATCACAATTCTTAGGATCTAATTTCTTAAGAGGAAAAGTAATGGAAGAAATCATTAAATTGAGAAAACAAGTTAATTACATTGTCAAAATCTCCACTTCTACTGACTCTATTTCTCAACAGCTTACTGAAAAGGAAGTTAAGTTGGGCGTACCTGATAAAAAACAAATTTCTGCTATCAAGCAAATGTTAGCTGCCGGTTTCATCGATCAAGTTGCGATAAGAGGTGACTTGGTATCTTCCGATATTACTATTCCTAACAAATCACATATTTCAAACATTCCTTATAAGCCAGTGTTCCCTATCCATGGAGCCAATCATGAAACTGCTGAGTTTGCCTATATTCATGCTAATTCAGTTATTAACAGTTCAGGTACAATCCCTGGTAATTACTTGGTTTATCAAACTTTAAGTACTGGTAATAATACCAAAGAAGGCCAAGTTGCCAAGGTTAGAATGAAACCTTTAGTCGAAATAAAAGGTAAACAGTTGACCAGTATTTCAAGAGGTTCACCTCTTTTAACTTATTCCAAACCACTTGGACATCCATATGCTCCAAAGAATATCTCACCATCGAAACGTGAAGCATATGTTGTTCCTCGTTTTGGAGCTGCCATTGGTTCTGGAGGTACTGGTTGGGACTTACCTGCCATCAAAGTCATCCAAGAGAAGAAAGAAGGATCTTGGATAATAGAAAAGCACATTTTATAGATTTGTATATACACCACCCCCTGCATTTTTAATATAGCATTTACAATTAATATCGAAACAGTATAGACTTCTGTCTTTTTGCAATCATTTCTATACCAAAAATATCAATTTCCTGCATATACCTCTATTTACAAATTTTGCACATTTTTGTAAACAATCGTTTATAGAGTGAAAGAAAAAAAAAATAACAACAGAGATCAGAACTGGTGTTGTCAAACCAGATCTGTATCAGTTCAAAGGGGTATATATATAGGAGGAGTTGTCTAATACAGGGTCAATTGGATACACGATGCTGGATAATGTCAAGAATAAAGAAATAAGGAGGAAAAGGGCGGTGTCAGAGGTGCCACTGGAGTCGTTGATTCCATCACATATACTAGATCAAGCATCACAACGAATATTCATCATTTCATTGTTTATATTGATACAGAGTTGGAAACTCTATGATATTATACTATTGAAGTCTAACCTACTGGTGGATGTAGGACCAACCATTGGATCATTGAGTAATTTCTCATTGGTGTTGAAATATGCCATTATTGATGGTCTTTTCTTATGGATTCTTCCTATATTTAATATTCCTTATTTATCCTTTTCACCATTCATAACATTAATATTCACTATACTATTGAATGGATTCACTTTATTCCTTGTCAGTGACTTGGGGGTATTACTCATTAGTACTTTCATACTTCCAGTTTGGAATGCTATTTCTCGTGATAGTGAATTAACTATTGTGGGTGATAGAATCGATACTAATAGAGTCATAGACTTGGATTCTCATTTTAAAGGGAGGTTAACTATTAATTATCTTCCAGATTCATCAGCTAAGATGAATCCATTCCATTTGGATAAGATTTGTCTTGATAAAGGTACTCATACCATAGATATTCCAATCGAATTCAATACCACCACCAACATAGGACTTATTCAAATCCAACATACTAATCCTAAAAATGAAATCAAATACATCAACTATACTGGTAACTCATTATCAAAGCTTTTGAAAAAAGATTTAACCCATTTAACCCAATATAAAGATTATAAAAATTCTGATAATATCTTTTATTTAGAATTCCCAATCCATGAAGCAGGGCTCTATAAAATCAAACAAGTCACAGATGCAAAGAACATCAACATAAGGACATACAAATCGGAATTATTGATCCCTAATTGCCCATCAGCTCAATTTTTCTATCCAAAACTATATGATCAAGAAAAGAATTATCAATGTATATCAAAGAAATCATCCGATTTAAGAATTCAAGTTCCATTGGTTGAGTATCATGGTGTTACACCAGGTAATTTGAAATTAGTTTCTCGTATCAATGGTAAACCATATAAGAATTTCAATTTATCTATTGGAGAAAAGTATTCTGAGTTTAATAATAAAGATTTAAGTTGGTTGAATTCAGTTTCACTCATACGGAATAGTCTTGAACAAGAACTCTTAAAAGATAAAAGTATCATAAATAACGCAGGTGAAGGAATACTTGAATTCCAATTAATTCAAGCTTCTGATTCCTTGGGTCATACCAAAAGATATAATCCTGAATCTAAAGATAGAGATGTATGGTTTGATTTTACATTAAGGAAAGCATCAGTGTTTGGAATTCAAGATAGAAATCCTCATGCAGAATTAATCATTGGATCAAAGAAAGTATTACATTTCACCGGAATTGAATCCCTTAAAGAATCTGATTTTCCAGTTACAATTTCCGTTTCTTATAATAACAAGAATAATAATATATTATCAGCCGATATTTCAAAGACATTTTCAAAACTTCAAGATTTGGCATCTGGTATTGAAGTAGATAAAGAAGGAACTTATCAACTTGTGAATGCTAGTACAAGATTTTGTGAGGCTGAGATTGCTCAAACGAATACTGTTACCTTAAAATTGGCCCAACCACCAAATGTTGAAATTAATGCTACCCCATTAGTGGATAAATGTTTAGGTACAACAGGTTATGAATTCACCTTTGATTTAGTTGGTAAACCACCATTTTATATCCAATATCAAGTCTATCAAAACCAATCAAACGGTATACTTAGGCCAGTACATAATGAAAGAGGTTCTACCGTAAGAGTTATTGAGACAATGAATCCTAAACATGATTTCAAGTTCAGACCTCCTCAAGAAGGTAATTATGTTGTGGTGTTTAATAATCTTAAGGATACTAATTATCGTCAACATCCAGTTACTTTGGAAAAGAGTTATCTGACTTATTTCCAAAAAGTTTCAAAAGTATCATTGGGAGGATCAAGAGATTACAAGACTTGTTTTGGTGATTCGGTCAAGATTCCCTTAAAATTTGAAGGAAACGGTCCATTCTCATTCAATTATGATATAGTTGATGTACAATCAAGACAGAAATTAATCCCAACAGTTGAAATTAAAGATGTGAATGCTTATGAAATTGCCATTCCTGAATCACTTAGTGGTAAATCATATGAAATCAAATTAATCAAAGCTGAAGATAAATTCTCATGTCCTGCTACAGTAGATAGGAATGAGAGGGTTGTGGTTCATTCTCGTGCCTCAGTTCCTCATATTCAAATTGATAAAAGTGCCGAATCATATGTGATTGTCGAAGGCGATCACGTTGACATACCATTAGTATTACAATCATCGGCTGCTTCAAGAAATGATAAATTAGAATTCAAGGTTGTTCAAGATGGTAAAGTTAAAAAGAAGGTTACTTCAATTACCAAATCACTTTATGCTGATGAAGCCGGTGTTTACTCATTAGTATCATTCATCAATGATGGTTGTCCTGGTGTAGTCAGTGCCTTAGAGAAGACAGTTACGATCTCATACCATAACAAACCTAATTTAACCATGCATAGTGATAATGTTCTCAAACAACACCTGGATGAATCCACTCTTCATTTAGCCTCAGTATGTAAAGGATGTAAAAACCCATTAAAATTGAAATTAGAAGGGGTAAAACCATTTGTGGTTGATTATGAAATCAAACTTCCTAGTGGGAAAATCGAAGCTGGTTCAATGAATGTGGAAAATAATGAAGTAATAATTAATTTACCAACTAGAGAAGTTGGTAGATATGAACATACATTCATTGGAGTTTATGATAATTTATATACTAAACATAAGAGTGGTTCCAGAAAACAAAAACGTCAAGTTGTACTTTATGATACGAATCCATTACCCCAAGTTAAATTTGATGAAGATAATAGATCGGTTCAAGTATGTGAAAATAAACTTAATCAATTGGAAAAAGCTACTGCTAAGATTCCTATCATTACGTCAGGTCAGTATCCATTTACTGTCAATGCCGTATTAAAACATGAACAAACTGGTAGAGAAGAGAATATTGTATTTAAGGATGTTCAAGAGCCATTCCTTCATATTTATGGCAGTGGTGATTCATTTGGTCTTGGTGAACATGTGTTGACTATTAATTCAGTGGTTGATGGAAATGGATGTAAGTCTGAAGGTCAATTATCACTGAATTATTTTGTTATTGTTATCACCGAATTACCTTCTATCAATCATGCTGCCATTGAAAAAGTGGTTAAGAGAGATTATTGTGTGGGAGATCATATTTCGTATGAATTAACTGGGGTACCTCCATTTACTGTGTTTTATAATTTCAATGATAGACAACAAAAAGCTAATGTCGATCATCATTTCCTGAGATTAGCTTCCAAGCCTGGAATTCTCTCCATTGATTCAGTTCAAGATTCATCAGCTACTAAATGTGTAGCCAATTTCACTGGTACTGCGAAGGGAGAAGATTTAAAACTTATAGTTCATGAATTACCATCTGTTGAAGTGAATAAAGGTGATCATATTATTGAAGACTTACATGAGGGAGATCAAACTGAAATTATATTTACATTCATTGGAGTTCCACCATTCAGACTTACATATGTAAGAAAAGTTGATACTGAAGTATCCAGGGGTAAAAAGGTCACCTCATCAGATAATACCAAACAGAAGGTGGTTGAAAAACACGTTCTTGAAGATATTAATGATTATGAAGTTATCATAAAGGCTAGTCTTGAAGGTACCTATGAAGCTATTGAAGTTCAAGATGCATTCTGTACTGCCAAACGTCATAACTACTAGATACATAGAGTTCAAAAAAATAAAGTATGTTTAACTTTAGGTTAGACAGTGTAATATAAGTAAATCAAAAGTAATTATTTAGCTGGCTGATTTATCAAACTTTGTAGTATATATTTCTTCAATAGCCTTAGCTAACTCTAGATCTAACTCTGTGACGTGATTCTCCTCATCATGAGTAGTTAACTTGATATCGATTTTGTTATAGGTCGTTTCAATGGTGGGATGATGTCTGAGTTCATCAGCAGTTTTGGCTACTTCATTTAAGAACTTCCAAGTGGTCTTAAACGTTTTCAATTGATACTTTGCTGTAAGATAGCTAGACCCATTGTTGGTTGCCAACGGCTGTAGACTCCATCGATTGGTCTTTCCCAAACTATTTATCACCTTTAGTTGCTCCAACACAACCTTTGATCCTAATAACTTTGACATTAGATACAATAATCCACTCACTTGATATGACCTGATGGTGGTGGTTGATATTTTGGTGAAGATCAAAAAATAAATGCGCGGTACGATTTTTCCAAATTTTGTGTTTACACAAAAGTCACTGGCAAGTACCAACCAACAGAGGCTGGTGATATCTTAACCGGTAACTACAAACGACGTCAACCATTACTTCGATCGATTGATCCAACAAGTAGATAGATCTGTGGGTTGTATTACAAGAAGGTAGGTGGCTGATATGGTATCTGCACTTTATATCCTTCATTGGCCTGATTCGGATCTGGAGGTTCTTCATAGCGAGTTATTACTTCAACGAAGGTATCAGAATGATATACCGAATGATTCGAAAGTATTGAGTAACTTTGATACGTTGTATAAGAAGTTACAACCTCATGAAAGGACTCCATTCTTGTTTTATCATGGTATCAATTATGTTTATATACGAGGAGATCATGATATAATTCTATTGGTGGTTGCATCTAAGAACATTAATGCTATGCTGATAGTAGTGTTCTTAAAGAGATTCTACGAGGTTTTATTCAATTACTTATGTCAATCAACTACAGTTTCAAAGGATAAAGAAGAAGAAAAGATCTTACATTCTAAATTGGATAAGGATAAGATCTTAGATAATGTCAATTTGATCTTTGAATTATTAGATGAATGTTTGGATTTTGGGATTATTCAAATCACAGATTATAATATATTAAAAGAGTTTATCAAAGTTGAAGCCAATCTACCGAAATTATCATCATCGAATGTGGATGATTCTGATGAAGAAGAAGAATCATCTCATATCAACAAATCAAAATCAAAATCAACTAAAATCGTCAAATCACCATCAACAGCCAATAATAAAGATATAAAATCAACTCATAATCAAGCTATACGAACAGATGTGATAGAAGAACAACATGACGCAACCAGTCATATTAATAGTGCCATTCTAAGGACATATTCTCTGGCAATAAATTGGAGACCAAAAGGAATCTTTTATCCTAAAAATGAAGTTTATATCGATATCATTGAACATTGTGAATTCATGTATGATTTAGAAACTGATATCATCAGGCGAAATGATATTTATGGTACTTGTGAAGTTAAATCATACTTATCTGGAATGCCAGTTTGTAAATTAGGTTTCAATGAAAGAAATATGTCACGAATTCAGAATGATGAGTATGATGATGAACATGAGGAACAGGAAGAAATCCCAGAGAACCAGTTAAAACCAGAAAGGAACGAAGTTGATGATGACGAAGATGAGGAGGAGGAAGAAGAGGTTACCATCACAGAACCAGAGGAAGAACAAGAAAAATCGAAATCCAATGTTGTACAAGAAAAGAGATTTCATATACCGATTAGAGATATTCAATTCCATCAATGTATCGAATTAGCCACTATTTATCGAGATAGTTTAGTTACATTCATACCTCCAGATGATAAATTCACTTTAATGACATATCATGTTGAACAACAAAGACAAAAGAGAAAATTACCCTTAATCATGATTAAACCTACCTTTCGAATCATACAACATTCCAATAAATTACAAATTCTTTGTGTTTTAAATACAAATTTTAAAAGACGACTTGTTTGTAAAGATATTATAGTTAAAATTCCTATTGATCCTCATATTTTTGATATTAATACTGATTTTAAAACTGAATCATTGAAATTTAAAGCTGAAATGGGAGAAGTAAGTTATAAAATTGATTCATCCGAATTATGTTGGATGATTGATAATATTCATGGAAAGAAATCAGTTCGGATGATGGCTGAATTAGGTTTAATTGGTAGCGAAAGTATAACCATGCAATTAATAGAACAATTCATACAGAACAGACATACAACTATCAACGGAGAAAAGTCAAATGGTGGAGGTGGGGGAGACAAAGCGGTACCGGAGAATAATGATCATGATGATACCATCGAAGAATTAGATAAGTTTTATGGAGTTCATGGTCAGTCATCCACCGTGCTGGATGATATCAAACGATTATCTAAATTAAGATACGATTATAATGAAATCCAAGTTAATTTCAATATACCAATGCTAAGTTACTCCGGTTTAAAATTAACTTATCTAAGTATTGAAGAAGATCAATTGAAATATACTTGTTTCCCGTGGGTAAGATACCTCACAAAATCTCGAAAACGAAATTTAAATAACGCAGTAAATACGATAGAGAATGGAAAATCTGGGGATATTAATAAATTAAATAATAGTGTTAATGAAGACTATCGATTTAAACTTGGTAAGAGTTGTTTCCAATTATTGAAATAACCATTTATAGTTAAGTACACACAGCCATAACAAAATAGCATAATTACACATACCTTAATTTTTTTTTCTATTGTTGTTGGATAAACTTTCCTAATCGGGATGCGATTTCCTGCGTCGGTCTCTCCACCAAAATAATTGGCGGATCTTATCTTATCAAAGCAGAGATATTTTCACTATAAACTGAAAAGTTTTCAACCCTTTATTAAAATGGATTATTTTGCTGTTATTGGGTGGTTTTTTAAGTTAATTTATGGGTTGAAAATCAGTCGATACTTTGAATTACTTTGTCACCGTATTGGTTTAATTAGTGGTGTTTTATGAAAATGCCTCCAGCCAAACTGGAAGGTTCATCCCAACCTGCACCAAATGGTTCTAATGACAATAAATCAGTAGGTGATACTAATTCAACCAATAGTTCATCAGCTGGTCCAGCTATAGTCAAACAGAAAATCACCAAATCAAGAAACGGTTGCTTGACATGTAAAAAGAAAAGATTAAAGTGTGATGAAACTAAACCAGCTTGTTTGAATTGTCAAAAGAAGAATATCGAATGTGGTGGATATGCTACTAATTTCAAATGGCGATCATTCAATGATGCAGGTTCAGATTATTCAGGAGGAGGAGGAGGAGTGATGTTAATGAGTAATTCAAGTCAAAGTAGTTTGAATTCAATGACCCCTGTATCTTCATCAGCAAGTCCTGCTAATAATAAAATCATCAATTCAACATCATTAAATTCAAATAATGATAATGATTCAATAACTATGGAAAAGTCGTCTTCAACAACTTCATCAACATCATCACGAAAAAGAAAATATTCCACTACAGAAGAAGATAAATCATCTAAAGATTCATTCAGAAAACATTTAGAGCTTGCATCAATATCGATGACAGGAAAATCTATGAAGGACATTAAAATTGAAAACGATTTAATTTCAAAGGGCTTAAACCCTCAAAGTTATAAACGCAAAAGTATTACCAATTTAACCGAAAGAGAAGTTTGGAATAAGCCTACTAATGCAAAATTAAAAAGAAGTGGAAGTGACTCAAGACGTAAATCAGAAGATGAAAATAATTCCCAAAGATCATATAGTATAAATAGTTCAGGCATACCCCCGGAAGTTTTCACCATAAGAGAAGATGCAAAAGTTAACCGTTTAGAGTCATTAGCAGATGTGGCGGTGGATGAAATTAAACGCTCCCCCTCAGTAGTATCCAAGGAAATATATACAAGAGGTAATAATAATCTAAGCCCTTTCAATCAAATTCCATTTTCACCTAATTTTACTGACTTTATGAGACATGAAGATAATAAGACCAAAGAAGAATTCGATATAAATTTAACTCCATCCCTCTCTGCAATTATAAACTTTGCTGTTAATATGGATGAATCTGGTGCTATTGATTCTAAACTTATAAAATTTCCTATGGATGGTCCTTTAAGTCCTATGAATTTAAATAATCCTTCTCAATCAGATTCCAACTATCATCAAAATAATTTCCAAAATAATCCTAATCATATAACAAATAGTAATCATGATGCACAAACTCATTCTCAAACAAGAAGTGAAACTTCCGAACCATCATCATCAACCAGTGATTTCGATTCATTAACCAAGATATCGATGATGAGTGATTCAGGAACTCCATTTTCCTTACCTCAACAAACACCAGTACCTGATAGTGGACCATCTCATCGATCGTTAATGAAAACATCTGAACAAGAACAAATCATTCATCTTTATTCTCAATATACTTGTTCAATCATGTCGATTAAAAATGGAGCTCATGAGAATCCATGGAGAAGCATGATTGTACCGTTGGCATCCAAATATAATTGTCTTTTCAATTCCATAGCATGTATGACATTGTTTCATTTGGCTGGTAGTTCCCAATTCTCCGATACTATTGGTGATTTAAGAGCCAAGGGGTATATGTATATGAAACGATGTATTTTAGAATTAGCTAGTGGATTATCCCGCATGAATAGTAATGGCGATTCTGAATCAGTTTATGAATTACCAGCTGATATTGCATTGACAACATGTTTGAATTTAGCTGTTAGTGAATCATGGGATACTCATATTACTAGTGGTATTGCTCATTTAAAAGGGGCTAAAAGTATGATTCAAAAAGTATTAACATTATTAAGAGATCAACAACAAATGATCCATACTAAGAAACCGACTTCTAAAAAGATTGAAATGGATAGTCCTAATGGTGAAACTACTGATTTTGCTCATCTGGAATTAATTAAAAGTAAACGAATTGATTTAAAACGAAAATTAGTATTGGTAGAAGAAGCTGAATGGGATTCAATGTTTAATGAAAAGTCTGATTTTTCTAAAATGTTTGATAAAGGAACTACAAATAATTCAATTCCTATTCCTAAAAGTTTACAATTTTTATTCAATATTTGGATTTATTTTGAAGTTTTGGCTCAAATGACTACTGATACAAATTATGATGATAAAGGCATCGATTTAGTAGCTACCATCACCACCATGTTACAATCAGCGCAAAAGCAACGTGATGAAGAGAAATCCAATCAATTACAACATATTGCCAATGCTGCTGCTAATGCTAATGAAACTAGTGATTTACAAAGTGAATCTGCTTCTAGTGTTAAATCTGATGTACCAACTGAACTGAGTTTTGCCGCTAGTATGGGAGGAATTAATGATGCCAGATTTAATTTCTTTGATAATTTTGAAACTTTCAGTTATAATACCGATTATATTGATCCATTATTAGGATGTGGACAATCATTGTTTCTGATAATGGGGAAAGTTGCCAATTTAATTGCTAAGATTAGAAAAATCAAACGTAATGAGAAATGGAAAGGTAATGGTCGTAATTCATTAACTACCATCACATTAGCTACCGAATTAAAACGTCAATTGATCGAATGGAAACCCACCATCACGGCAGAAATGATTAATCAAGCAGGAATGTATGAAGATAATACCAATCGCAGTATGTGGGATATTCCCTCATGTATTGCTACGGCTGAAGCTTATAGATTTGCAACGTTACTTTATTTACATCAAGCTGTACCTGAAATCCCATCGAGTGGATCCCATCAATTAGCGGAAAAGATTTTCATTTTATTAGCTTCTATTCCTACCAATTCAGATTTACATACGATTCTTATCTTCCCGTTATTAGTAAGTTCATGTGAAGCCGAAGCGGGTGAGGAACGAGAATGGTGTGAAGATCGTTGGTCATTATTATCCCAAAAGTTATGGATTGGGAATATTGATAGAGCTTTTGAAGTTGTTAAAGAAGTTTGGAAACGTAAAAATGAATATATTCAAAAGATGAAATCAGATGTTCGTAATAATTCTGGTAATAATGCTGGTGGAAGTGGAAGTGGGAGATCAAAGGGTAATGAAGATGAAGAATTGAGAAATATCTCTGTTCAAATCAGCGGATTAATGGCCGTGATCAATAATGATCAAAATGCCACCCCGATAGATGATATTAAAGGAGGTATTACTTCGAGATTACATTGGAGTACAGTGATGAAAGAATGGGGATGGGAAGTGTTATTAGGATAACTAGTTGTAAGCTTGTTTATAAACCTTGTAATTTGTTCAAAAAAATAAAAATGAATCTTATAGAGTGTACAATTTATATTATAATCGATGTAGAACCATTGGTTAAGAAGCCGTTGGTCCTGTCATAATTTTTTTTTCTTTTTGCAATCTGAGTCAATTTCTGGATGAGCGGAATAATCAACGCGCAATACATAAATTGATAAGATCAAATTCAATTTCCAGTTGACACCAGTGCTTCTTCTTCTTCTTCTTCTTCTTCTTCTTGGCAAGAGTTATAGAAATGAATAGAGGAGTATTACAGACTTTCAGAAGTCTAAGATGTACTCCATGGACTCACATTAGACGAAACATATCCCATCAAACCAATCAAGACACATTAATGTCCAATCCATTTTCCATTCAAAATCTTCAAATGATAAGAGAATCAGAATCGAAATTTAGGATACCAAATTTCATATCATTTGATGGGTTTGATACGTTATATAGTCCTCGAGAATCTGTTCCTTTACAATATTTCAAAATCAGTCTGGAAGAATTCGGAATCCTGAAATCATTACAAAGTATTGAATCTGAATTTGGTACAGTTTACAAACAATTATCCCACCAATTTCCTAATTATGGAAAGGGAAGTGAAGAGATTCAAGATACGGGAGCATGGTGGCTGGAATTGATTATTCGATTATATGATCTTGATAGAAGTGATCCTAAGACAAAATTGATATGTGATCGATTACTTGAACATTTTAGTGGTAAAGAAGCTTATCAAGTATATGATGATGTTATACCTACGTTAACTAAATTGAAATTATTTGGGATTAAATTGGTATTATCAAGTAATTCCGATGAAAGAGTTCGATTAATCCTTGATAATTTAGGATTACTGAAATTTTTTGAACTGGATGATATTTTCTTATCATATGAATTAGAAACTAGTAAGCCGAATCGATTATTTTTTGATAAAGTAAGTGAACTGATATTTCAAGCTAATTATGAATTCTCGTTAAAGAGTAATAATGAAGTTAAGATTCAGTATTTAGAGAATTGTTGGCATGTTGGAGATAATTATGATGAAGATTTTCTTGGAGCCATTAGATCAGGATGGAATGGGATTCTATTAGATAGACACTATACTAGTGATTTCTTTAAACATAACCCAAATAAGAAGAAAAGTTATGATGGATGTTTTACAGAAAAGTCATTAGATGATCGAGATACTTCAAGTAATGATTATATGATTGTTGCTAATAATAGAATAGTACTTACAAGGTTAAGTCAATTATTAGATATATTTGAGCTTAGTTTAGAAACCAAATAAGGCTTTACAGGTAGATTAGTCATGAAGTAATATATATAAAGTAATGATCATAAATAGTGTTTTGTGGTGAAATTTATGGTTTATGCCTAGACTATGATATCATCATCATTATTGTCAAGGACGAGGCTAAGTACTATTTATGTTTACAGTTTCTTTATATAGTAGGGATTAGTTTTACTAATATTTTATAAAATATATCTCTATCCCACATTATCCCTTTCAATTCAATCTGACCATTTGAACACATTTCACTTACACATTCCCTCTTATCAATCCCAATTATCATCATTTACACATCTTTAACCAACAGTTCAGTTCGTAAATTTTAAATTGGGGTTCATACACCGAAAATAAATAATTAGAGATCGTGACGCCGTTGTATACAGGATCTGTTAACCATTACACAAAAACTAAAAAAAGAAAAAAGAAACAAACAAACAACACACCGCTCACTCACTCACTCACTTACACACCCCTCCTAGAAAAAAAAGTTTAACAGGGATCAAAAAGTCCATTACGGTGAAACTTCCATTAGATATAACAACTGTTTAACGAAAGGTTCATCCAATCAGAACAAGATTAGATAGCAGTTCATATAGCTAGTAAGTATATCATATCACTTCCATTCGTTGTTCAATCAATCAATCAATCAATTCCCCCAGGAACTAAACGTTACAGATCTGGCAATACTCATACTCATCATCAAATTGATCTGACTGTCTGCGCTGTGCCTATTTCATTTACAGCCAACCAACAAATAATCATCAATACATCAGACAATCTCCCTATATTCAATCAATCAATCAATTAAGTAAGTAGTACCTTAGTCTCATTCATATAGTCATATCATATCATATCATATCATATCATATACAATCAATCAATATGCTTCATCTAATAGTATATTTCCTTATTCAATGTTTAATCGTTGTTAATGGATTACTGTTGGATATCAATGATCGTGATTCCATCTGTGCTGCAGCCAAGGCCATCTCCGATGGTGAATGGAATTATTATGAAGGTCTTAAATACGGTGGTGTGGTTGGTATGTTTGCTGCTCCTAATTATTGGTGGAATGCTGGTGAAGCCTTTGGTGGTTTATTAGATTATTTCTCTTATTGTGATCCAACTAATGAAACTTTAGAATCTTTGATTTATGATGGTATGTATCATCAAGCTGGTGCTGGTTTCAATTATATTCCTTCAAATCAATCCATGACTGAAGGTAATGATGATCAAGGGGTTTGGGGTATGGCCATTATGCAAGCTGTAGAAAGAAATTTCACTAATCCTCCTGATCATTCTTGGTTATCCATGACTCAAGCCGTTTATAATACTATGAATGCAAGATGGGATAATACCACTTGTGATGGTGGATTAAGATGGCAAATTTTCACTTGGAATTCTGGTTATGATTATAAAAATTCCATTGCTAATGGTTGTCTTTTCCATCTTGCGGCAAGATTAGCAAGATATCTTGGTAATGATACTTATGTTGAAACTGCTGAAAAAGTTTGGGATTGGATGTATGGTGTTGGTTTCATGGTTAGTAAAGGTGATGAATTTATTCTTTATGATGGGGCTGATATTTCGGCTAATTGTACTGATTTAACTACTTATCAATGGTCTTATACTTATGGTATCATGTTATCGGGTTGTGCTTACTTATATGATTATACTGGTGATGATGTTTGGTTAGAAAGATCAAATGATTTATTAACTGCTTCTGGTCAATTCTTTAATAATAGTATCATGTATGAAATGCAATGTGCTCCATCCAACAATTGTAATAATGATCAAAGATCTTTCCGTTCATTATTTGCCAGATCATTAGGTTTAACTTCAGTATTGGTCAATTCTACTGCAGAAACTATAAGTGGTTGGATTGATACAAGTTCAGTAGCTGCTGCTCAATCATGTTCAGGTGGTTCCGATGGAATTACCTGTGGTTTCAATTGGGCCGTCAATGGTTGGGATGGTGTTTATGGTTTAGGTGAACAACAATCTGCTTTAGAAACCGTCTTGGCTTTATTAACTGAAATGCCATTAACTGCTTCAACTGGTGGTACATCTATAAGTGATGTTAATGCTGGTCTTAATACTGGTGATACTATTAATACAAATCTCATTACAATCTCAACCAGAGATAAAGCTGGTGCTGGTGTTTTAACAGCAGTGGTTCTTGGTGTAATCTTAGCTGCCGGTGTATGGATGGTACTATAGATTGTTAGTTTGTCCAGTACATGCTGACGTTTTCCCTTCCCCTTTCCTTTCCTTTCCTTACTTTTTTTATACACATATATATATTTATCCTATTCCTAACCTCCTATTTATAGTGGTGTTTCTTCTTCTATAACTATTACTTTAAAAAACATTATGTTTATGTACTTTTACCTTTTTTAAAAATATACTTCACAATACTTTTTTAACCGCGCTATCACTTCCACATTTAGAAAAAAAACCTCTAACCATCGCAATTAGATAACCCAATTAATTTCCAACTTTAATTATACAGACCTTATTAAACAACAACATTAACAAGAAGGAACTTCTACCATCATGGTGTTATTCCCAATCATAAATAAATTCGCTAACCCGAATAATCCTACTGGTTTACCCGGTGGGAAAAGAAGACGATTATTCATTCCTCCTTCAACTCAATTCCCATTATTCTTATATGGGGAAGGTGATGATCAAAGATCTTTCCTATCATTGATCGAGACTAGTTCAAGTGTCGCTGATGAAGAGGATGTGAGTGATGCTGCTAGTGTGAGTACGTCTCGATCGTTACCGTCTACGTTAAACTCAGTCCAGAATAATGATGATCAAGAATCATTTCATAGTTGGTTATTAGAAGAACATCAAAGACGATATCTGGCTTTATCAGGGGATGAAGATGAAGATGATGAAAATAATATCGTAAGAGCATTGGAGGAAAGACGAAAGAAGAAGAAATCAAGAAGAAGAAGTTCAGATAGACATAATAATCGTCGTCGTCATTCAGAAGTATCGGTATTATCATCATTATTAGAAGATGAACAAGAAGATTTCGCTACTTTAAAAACATCATATACTCAAGAATTCAAAACTATAGTAAGGTATTCCATTCCATTAGTGATAACGTTCTTATTGGAGCATTTCTTTTCTATTGTATGTTTATTAGTCGTGGGTCATTTAGGTAAGAATGAATTAGCAGCTGTTTCTTTAGCCACTATGACATCTACCATTACATTCGCCATATTCGAAGGTATAGCTACTTCATTGGATACATTATGTCCTCAAGCTTATGGAGCAGGTAATTATGAATTAATGAGTATTTATGTTCAAAGATGTACGGTATTCAGTCTTATGGTATATATCCCCTGTGGATTATTTTGGTGGAATTCATCAGTGGTTTTAAAATATGTCATTGAAAGTGAAATCGTATTGAAATTAACTAATCAATTCTTAAGAATCTTATGTTTTGGAGCTCCAGCTTATATATTTTTTGAAAATAGTAAACGATTCTTACAAGCCCAAGGTATTTTTGAAGCTGGAACTGGTATTTTATTCGTCAGTGCTCCAATCAATATCTTCTTATCATATTTCCTTGTTTGGAATCCTACTTATGGAATTGGTTTTAACGGTGCTCCCATCGCAACTGTAATTAATTTCTGGATGATGAGTATCTTATTAACCTTTTATGTTAAATTCATCGATGGTAATAAATGTTGGTTTGGATTAGCCACATTCAAAGATATTTTCCAAAAATGGGGTCAATTATCTCAATTAGCTATCCCTGGTATTGTCATGTTAGAATCGGAATACTTAGCTTATGAAATCATGACTTTATTCGCATCATATTTCGGAACTACGGAATTAGCTGCTCAAAGTACAGTTAGTAGTATTGCTTCATTAGCTTATATGGTTCCATTTTCTGTTGGTATTGCCTCATCCACGAGAATTGCTAATTTTATTGGTGGTCAAAATATCGAAGGTGGTATAAAAGCTACTAGAGTTGCATTATGTTTAGCAGTATGTGTGGCATGTCTTAATTGTATTACTTTATTCACATTCAAACGTCAAATTGCTAAATTATTCTCTCAAGATGAAGAAGTTATTAGTCTTGTGGTTAAATTATTTAATCCCTTAGTATCAATCATTCAAATTTTTGATGGTATAGCATGTGTTGCCAGTGGGATATTAAGAGCTCAAGGATCACAAAAGATCGGTGGTATTATTAATTTCGTAGCTTATTATGCATTCGCTATACCATTAGCTTTAGTATTAAGTAAAATGGGAGGCTTGAAATTGATTGGATTATGGATTGGTATTGGAAGTGGTATGATTGTGATTGGGATCACTGAGATTATGGTCATTTTATTCAGTGATTGGGAACAAATTATCATTAAGGCAGGATTATTGAATGAATTTGGTGAAGATGATGTGGATGATGAAGACGATGATGATGATCGTCGTGGAAGGTATAGAAATTAATGGCATCTTATGAACTAGACTAATTGTATAATATATATACTTTAATAAAACTGCATTGTATATCTATTCTTTTTGTATGGTGAGAACAAAGTTTTGAAAATGTGTGTTGCAAAAAGATGACGGTCAACGATCAATCAGTCCTAATAACCAACCATGAAGAGTTTAATCAAACAGTTACAAGGTAAGGATAAGTCCTTGGTAACTGCTACAAGTTCATTAAGTCTGCAAGTATCCATCCTTGAGAAATTGATTGATAATAGTATTGATGCTGGAGCCAATATCATCTCAATTGAACTTGATTCTAAGACTTGTGGATTGAAACATATTAAAGTAACAGATAATGGTATGGGGATTCCATCTATTAATTGGGATTTATTGGGATTGGTAGATCATATAAGTCTGAAGAGTTCATCCAATTTGTTATTTGAAGGGAAAGGATCGAATTTGTTTAATATTTGTCAATTAGTATCTGGGTCAATTAAATTTACATCTAAAGGTAAACAAGATCCATTTGGAAAGCTGTGGTATGTAAAGTCTAATGTTATAGAGGGGATTAATCTTAAATCGTTATTCCAATTCAACCTGGGAACGGAAATCACTTTGGATTCATTGTTTGGCGTATATCCAGTGAGATATAATTTCTTATCAAAGAGGACCAAACAGAGTACGACACTAATCAGGAATCTAATTCTTTGTTATGCACTATCATTCAGAGACATCAAGTTTATATTAAGATTTAAAGCAAGTACTGATTCTACTGTTTACCCTTCCAATTTAAATCAACTGGAGATTTTAAAAATTTGTTTTCCAAATTTATCAAAAATTAAAGCAAAATTTAAACAAAAGTCAAATATTCAATTAAATGAACAGATTAGCTTATCTTTCTTAGTTTGTGAAGATCAGATTCTATTAAGTTCAATTGGAGGGAATGTAAGTAAAATTTTATTAATAAATGGGAAACTGATTCATACTCATAATGAGTTATACGCTAAAATTAAAAATGAAGTTGAAACTTTAATTCAATCAATTCTACAATTTAAACCAATAGTTTGGAATCTTGTTCTCAGTGGAATACCCAAGTCTGAATTCGATTCAAAATTAAATTTAGAATATATTAGACTTAATGATAATGAATTTGAAAAGTGGTTAATTTCTCAGATCAAATATTGGGTGAAGGTTATTGTGAGGGACGAAGAAGAATTACTTAATGTGTCTCATTCCACCATGGAAATATCGGACTACATTGAAAACGATGTTTCCATTTTCAGTTTAAATGATGAAGAAGTTGACTTAACAAAAGATTCTTCTATACTGGAGCTGTTTATGTTGGATGGAAAATTGGACTTAGAAGTAGAGCAAGGGTCAGAATTGAAGGAAAATGTTCAGCAATTAGAGATATTTGAAGAGAGTGGCTGTAAACTGCTGGAAAAGGTTCAAGAAATATTAAATGTACAAGAAAATGATTCAAATGATTGGAGTTTCTCCATGCTTGATTGTGATTTTGATTTAGAAAAAGTTGAGGAAGTAAAAGATAACGTAGCGGAAGATTCTCAAATTGTTGCAAAAGAATTTCCTAAAATACAACCAGCTATAATATATGATAGAACCACATCAGTAACAAGAAGACTAAGTATTCCCACAAAGAGAAAAGATCCACTGATTGAAATGTCTGATGTTAAGCAAAAGAGATTAGACCATTTCTACGAAACTATTAAGATTGATAAATTTAAAAGTGCTAGAATTGAAAATGTCAAACGTATGATAGACCCTTCAACTTCATTCCATTCTAATAATTTATTTTGGCAAGATATCGAAGAATGGACAAAGAGAAGAGGAAATCCTAGTGAATATATTTTAGAAGGACTCCAATCTACTTTAATCAAACACGATTTACCATATGAAATCCAACAATGTATCGAAATTCAATTCAAGTAGTAGAGAGTTTCATTTTATTCCACGCTATAAATTTCTCGTAGGTTTCATAACTTTCAGAGCATGTTGACTCTGGTGAACATATTATATATCTAGATGAAATGGAGTCAAATAAAATTATCAATTACACTCCGATATTCCCACATGGAAGCACTTCAACCAGTTATTCTACCCATTCTTGATAACAATTCATGTCATAAGGTTGATATTGATAAGACTCCTTTATAATGCAAATAATTAAACTGTAAACCCTTTCAAAACTGTAAAAGGCTTATAAACTGTAAATTACTCTAAACTGTAAAAGAGGTTTTTTTTTTCGCGACGAAATTTAAAAATTGAGAGGAACAAAATGGAAACAAACAGACAAGACCAAATTGATTTTTGAGTTGATGATAGTAAATATCAAGAGTTTCATTTGAATTATCATATAATATGACTAAGGGGAAGGAAAGGAAGAATAGTAACGCTGAAGGTATGTATCGTGTGATTGATGAAAGTGAGAGTAATACCAACAAGATGGAATATACTGACAATAATCTAGCGTTCTTTCCAACCGTTTTACCTGATTTATTCACTGTTTATGAACAGGCAGATAAGGACCATAGAATACTAAAGACCAATGTCATTCCTAGTGATTTCCATGAAAAGGATTCCGAATTGATCCTTTCTTCGTATATAGCGTATCTTAAGAAGAAATCTGGTAGTGGTAAAACCACCAGTATATGGGATAAATATGAAAATAATGAATATGAGAAATCTCCTTATAAATTATATCATGATATTAAAATAGCATCTTCAATTGAGATTTCAAAGTATGCTGTGGGTTCTAAAGAGTATAATGATGTTGATTTCTTTTATAAGTTTTCTACTGAGTTATTATTACGTGAATTAAGTAGATTTCATTTCATATTACATGATCATCCTCATCATGAAACTGAGTCTGAATTAGAAACTCAATTAAATGAAGATTTCGATAAGATATCAACTACTTATAACTTAACCAATGGTGAAGTCATCGCTTATATATCCACTACCGAAGAACCAGAACCTCAACAATCATCCTCATTTGGTCCTTATTATAATCAACATCATCAAAATCAACCTCCAGCCAAACAAACTATTCAACCATTATTTTCATCTTTAATTGGAAGATCAGAATTAGATACTAATTTATTAGTGGTTCCAGATCAATATTCTGTATCAAAAATCATTCCCGCTAATAAAGATTCTACCAGAAATATATCAACTTTTGATAGTTTATCCCCTGTCAATAATAAAATCCCAACTCCATTAGAACAAACATCTCATGAAATCCTTAGTGATTTCTTTCATCCAATGTGGTATACTTTACCCGTTCCTACATGGATTAATTATTCTACTCATATTGCTAAACCACCTAATCTGTTATTTAAACAACAAGTATCGAATACTAAAGAACCATCGGCATCAAATCAATCTAGTAATGCTAATGAAAAACCAACTTTAACTTTACTTCAAAATAGGGGAGTTGATTCTGAACCATTGACTACTACTGTGACTTATGTTCCAAGTTCAGGTGATAGTTTTAAAAGTTTTGGACCTCAGATTGATCTGAAAGATTCGATTATATCGGAAGAGTTTAAAGGTAGAATTTGGTTGAATCATATTGGATTTGATGAGATTAAAAAGATTAAATTGAATTATTTGAAATCAAAATTGATTCCTGAAGAAGCTGAGAAATTGGAAAAGAAAGAAGAAGTGAAGGAAGTGGAGAAAGGTGAAAAGGATAACGCTGATGAAGAAAATAAAGATGAAAAACCACTTAATGGTGTTGAAGATAAAGAGGGAGAAGAACCAACCACTGAACCAATCGATATAGATAAATTAGGTGGTAAAGAAATCAATATTGCTAATCTTGTACAATGGGATCCCGAAAGACAAGCTGAATTCGAATCAATCAAACAATCGAAATCCGACTTGGTTAAATCTCCCAAAGCCCTTCAAAAATTAATTTCCGCTAATTTATTAAAATTAAATAAATTAAGACAAGAAAGATATTTTTCAAGTGATCCTAGAAATATCTTACCTCCCACCAATGAAGAAATTAGACTTTATAATAAAATTACCAAATTAATCAGTTTAGGAATCCAAGTTTATAAAATCAATCCTCAAGACTTAACTTCAAAATTACAATTCAGTGATAAACTTCCCGTATTGGTATCTGAATATAATGGGGTTTTACCAGGTGTACCACCTACAAGACTTGGTGGTATAAATAGTTCTATTAGAGATCCATCTACTTCTTCTTCCAGATTACCTAATTTGAAACATAATACTTACAAAAGAAAGAGGTATTAGTTTTTTAATAGAATGTATGTGTGTAATATTATATATATGTATAATAACGTTGTTAATTTGTAGTAATTAGTTTAGTCTAAATATCAGCTCCATTAGCAAATGCAATAATTAAATAAATGTTTAAGAATGTAATTATAATCCAAGATATAATACTGGCAATTTTTAAAAACCAACCATTTTCAAACGTGATCTTTTTAACTTCAAATCCATCATTATTAGGTCTTGATTGTCCCGCACTATTCAATAATAGACTTGTTTCATCATTAGATGGGATTAATTCCGATGTATCATATACTGTCATATATTTCTTAGTGGAGGTGAAATAAATCAAAGGTGCACTGACAATAGGTAAGATGAAACTAAGTACCACTTGACTTGAATTCATAATTTTAGATACTCCTTCTCTACCTAAAATACTTATGACGATCACGACGGGGATAATGGCAAGGATTCTAGTTACGATTCTTCTCACCCATGGTTTTAAACTCCAATTGATGAATCCTTCACTAATGATTTGTCCTGCCATAGTACATACTATCCCTGCACTTTGACCTGATAATAACATTGATAAAGCGAATAATAATCCGGCAGCAGGTGAGATATAGAATGATAACATTTCATAAATTGATAATAAATCAGCATCTTCGGCATCTGGTTTACCATAAAGGGTCGAACCTGCCACGATTAAAATGGATGAATTGACAAACACCGCGATTATGAATAAGGAAAACACTAATTCAGCATAGGAATAGTTTAAACAGTATTTGATGGCTTTATAAGATGGTCTATATTTGTTTAATAATTTGGCTCCATCGGAAATACTTCTTATTTTATGAAGGGTATAAGTTAACACTTCATCATCATGTTGTTCATCATGAATAAGGGCTTGATGATCTTCTGAATTGATTGATACATTATCATCATTGGTATATTCGACATGAGAAATTTCTGGGATTGACTCATCATCTTCATTGTCAAGATCTTCACCATTGACAAGACCATTTTTAATATCATATTCCTTTAATCTAGCTTGAACTAAAGCTGAACCTAAGAATAATGAATGAGGCATGACGGTACTTCCCACAATTCCACAACTTAAAAACAAAGCAGTTTGTTCTTTAAAGATTTCTTTATTAACTGGTAAGAATCCTTGTAAGATTTCTTTCATAGCACCTGGTTCAAAATCACATTTGAACAATTCAAGAATGAAACATACACATGTTCCAAGTACTAAAATAGATACTAAGATTTCAAAGAATCTTGTTTGTTTCATAGATCCATCTTTCTTATACGCCACTAATATAATAAGGACATCAATGACAGTAATGAAGACCCCATAAATCAAAGGAATCCCAAAAAGGATTTCCAAAGCTATGGCAGCTCCTATAACTTCAGCTAAATCAGTTGCAATGATGGCTAATTCAGCGCAAATATATAATAATAAATTCCAATGGAAAGGTAAATGAGCACGACACATTTCAGCCAAATCTAATCCTGTGATGGTACCAAGCTTGATACATAATGATTGTAGGATGACGGCAAAGATATTAGCCATGAAGATAACGAAACAAAGTTTATATTTATACATTGATCCTGAACTAACTGATGTCAGATAATTTCCGGGGTCCATATATGCCACACTGACCACCAAACCTGGTCCAATGAAGCTATAGTACTTCTTGAGTACTCTTAATGGCTTCAGCACATAGCTGTTACTGAATAAAGACATATTGTAGCTATGTCGAACTATTCTATCTGGGGTATTACTGGTTTCAAACTTGAGATGAACCAGCCAGTTATGTTTACTTATTTTCAGTTCTGTTACTCGTAAAATCTCACCTATTTTTTCTGGCGTTATCAAAACCATCAGTTGCGAATTTAGTGATGTAACACTAAATTGTATCAGCCCATCTCATTATGTATCCAACCCAACAAATATATGTACTTTATGTATATATGATCTTATATCTGTTAGGATGTCTTAGTAATTTGGTATTTATTTCTATATATTTCTATAATGGAAGGAAGCTCTATTGAGCTAGCTGTTAAATCTCTCTTTGTATCAACAACAATTTACATTAATGAACATATTAGAGAAATATATTTTAAGGAAACTATAAATTCAGTTGTTATAATTTCCCATATTTATTTAAAATGAAGCATAAGAAATAATTCAACCCTTCCAGTTGATCTTGAAGTTGGTATCTTTTATAAAGACGAAGCTGTATTTGAAGATATTTATCATTATGCTAAAATTAGTAAGAAATATGAAAATATTAATGAAGCAACAGAACTGATATCAAATTTACAAGAAACTTTGAAACTAGCTAAATTTAATAGTGGGTCTAGCTCAGAAATTGCAGAAGCTATTGTTGCAACTATAACAGTTCTTGCAATTTTTAGTTTTTTCATTTATACAGCCTTTGTATACTTAACTAAGTAGTTATTTATAGAACCATCTAACATATACCAAATATAAATTCTATTATAAAAAAGCTTCACTTTATAATATACTGTATTATCATATTTCAAAATATATGAAGGCACTGAAACATTTCGTTTGAGATATGTTTCAGAATGGTGCTTGGAAAGGTATAAAGACTACCATTTTATGGTTTCTTTTTTTGTTAATCTTTTAAATTCATTTACTTTTTCCATTCATATTGAGTTTTATTCAATCTAGTTCCATCTAATTAATCATAATCGGTGTTTGTCAGTGTTTAGCTGTTAATAAAAAAGGTAAAATATACAGAAGCTTGAGTCATAACTTTCACAATGTCAGATTCATCAGAATATAAAAGAAACCAAGCGAATTGGAACCAAGAATCGTTCAAAAGATTACAAGACATTTCTAGAGACATTAATGAATTAAGTATTAGGTTTAGTCAATTTCAACAGACATATATAAGAGAAATGGAAGAATTACGTGATATTCAACCAAGTATCGCACCAGTACTCTTGTTGTTGATATTTTATGGATTTGTTTACTATATGAGAAATATAGCTGATTTAGAGTAGATTGAAATTCACCGTTGCTTGACTTAATGGTTTATTCCTTCTTCGATATATTTCACTTGCTGCTAATATATCTTTATATATGTTCTGCTTTATTGCTACCATCTCTTATATACTGAGGTTGAATTTTAAATAAATATCTCCTTTACCTACATACAATTCGTTCGTGACATGACTTGATGTAGACTTAACATATCTAACGGTTAAATAATCCTAGTTTTAGGTATAATTGCAGCAATTTAAAATTTACATAGTAAAAAGGGTAAGGCTTTTTCTTACATTTTAGTCTCCGACACGACTTTATCATTACAATCAATTTCACCCCAGACTTAATTTCAATTGATTAGACATTGTTTACATTTCATAACTGTCTTCATTCTTACCATTCAAACCCATTATTACAATGTCTAAATTAACTGAAAAGCAAGCCTTTCAAATTATTAATAATAAATTACCTGCTAAAGCAAATGTATCTAGAACAGCTACCCCACCAAATGCTAAAACTGCCAAAACAACTAAACAATCAAAAGATGAATCAATCGATGTTTCAGAAATAGTTAAAAGTATTAAAGAAGTGAATGATACTCTTAAAGAGTTAAAGTCAATCTATTTAAGTGAAATAGCTAAAAGAAATGATTCTACTCCTGATCCTGTTTCGTTAGAAAGGATTAGGTTTGTGTCACTGATAGCTAATTACTTTTCCCTTGTTGTCGTTTCGATATTGGGTGTATGTTTATTGATAACATTCTTTCCACAGTTATTGCCATTCATTATTCATAAATCAGAGGAAGTTTGGACCCAATTGATTAAGTATTGGAAGGAATCTAACATACTGTATGCTCTTATCAGAGATACAAGTGTTAATTTTAGAGACACAAGTCTTAAATTTAAAGATACTGGTCTTAAGTTTATAAACACAAGTCTTAGTCATGGATCAAAGATCGTGACTCAATTAGACAAAGATATCAGACAATTATTAAGTAAAGTTTAGCTTAGTTTAATTTAATGTATTATAATTAACTGTGAATGGCAATCTATTGCATACTACCAGGTCGCACACGACTATAAAATTCCATCCCCCAACCTTTTTCTCCTAATTATTTAAATTTACAATTATATCTTAACCAAGTTAGTTTCTATCAATTCAGTTGTGTTAACTATCAATTGTATAGTATAATGACTAAATCATCAGAAAATAAAAGCGATGACTTCTACACAAGCTTACCCACAGAAGAAACCATTCCGGAGTATGAAACTTATACCGAGAAGATTCCTAATGATAACCAACTTCATACACCAATTGATATTACTGATTTAGCTAAAACTCTCAATGAGATACATACTACCCTTAATGAATTCAAGTCTTTATATGCTGCTGAAAGAGCTAAAAAAGATGAAGGTATTGATGTGTGGCTGGTGCTTGCAAGTATGACAGTATTTTTTTTGGGTATTGGGTTTATGGCATTAACTATGATCTATTTATTAAAGTAGTTAAATTACTTCTTTTAGTAAGTATAAGAAATTAAAAATTAACTGTGTCGCTTTAATATGTACCAATTGGCATAAGAGTGCTTACACCAGCGTCTCAATGCTGCGATTATCAAAGTCAATGGTTATAAAAATGACAGTTTATCCTTAGAAATATTTCCTTTAATTTAATTTACTTGATTTATATCGATACATTAAGAATGCTGAATATCTACAACCAACAAGAACCCCAATACAGTAGTATAGAACTTTGTAATCAAAGCAAGGGATTACCAGAATATAGTTCTTCCCTTTCTCCAGATCTCGAAGCTGGCACTTCGTCTTCAACCGCAGAACGTCTAGATGATTTGGATTATGCAATTTATGAAAAAGTTGATCAAATAATTGATCGTTTGATTCAACAAAGGAAGAAGGAACTTAAATCAAATCGAAGGATTGTATTTACTGAATTAGAACGGGCAAAATTCATAAACACTGGAATTGCCATAGTAATCATCATTGGTGTTCTGTTTGCTATATGGGCTATGGTATCGATAATGATTTGGTATCAAAGATCTATTCAAGATTTATCCTAAATATGCCTACGTTATTATTAGTACTACAATATAAAGTATAGTTTACAATTCTTTTCTATGACGCACAATATACACTTTTGCAACCTTTTAACTGCTCAAACAATGATCATACAATGATAATGATAATTTAGTATCTGTAAAGGCATATACCATGGTGAATTTATTCAAGGCACTTCTATCATCTACTATAACCCAACTTGACTGATTATATTGGATCAAGTATAAAACCATTTAAACTAGACCTTATTTAAAATAATATTGCAGATCGTTATTTACACGACTTTTGTAAATACTTTTAAAATCCCCTTTCTCCTTTACGATATGGATATCTTTACATAAACCACTTCTTTCCATTTAATCTACCAATTCAATAATACCTTATTCATAATGCCATCAAAGGATAGTAGTGGTCACGCTTACACGAGTTTACCTCTTGAAGATATTTTTTCAACATCTGAAGACGAATTTAATCGATTACCCTCAACTCCTCCACCTCACTTTGATGAAGGTACATCATTTGAAAATAATCCTACGAATCATAATATGACTTCAGATGAGTTCTCTGAAATTAAAAGAAATATAGAGGAGATTAATAACATGCTTTCATTGTTGAACACTAGAACAGGGGGATTTGATCCAGAACGATTGTCTTCAAAAGCTGAACAAGATAAACGTTGCGAGAGGACATGTTTCAAAGTATTCTTGTCGTTCGTGGTGGTAATCATTTGTATTATGCTTGTTGTTTGGTTCCTGGTATATCTAAGTATTTGGTACGTCCGTTCTACTCACAATATATCATGATACTTTATTACAAAACTGTTTTATAGTTCCATTATACGATTTACAATATACATTTTCGCAACCCTTTACATGAATGACTTATGCTCACTATAAGTTACAAATTTGATTTAGCTTATTGTATCGGCGACACTTCTAACATCCTTCGCAACTAAAATCAACATAACTTGCTGGTTATATCATGTTTAAAATAAGTGACTTATACTTAATTAAGGGCAAGTCTTTGCATATATTTGTTTTTGTGCACGACTTTTTATAATTCGCTTTTTAAAAATCCCTTCTTGTTTAAACTAGAAACAATCAGTAAGTAAACCACTTTCATTTTCATATAATCTTTCAACTGGATTCATATACAATCTCTCAACTCATAATGTCATTAAAGGATAATAGCGGCCATGCGTATACTAGTATACCCTTAGAAGATGTTTTTTCAGCATCAGATAATGATAGTAATAGATTACCCTCAACTCCTCCACCTAACTTTGAAGAAGGTACATCTTTTAAACATAATCATAACAATCAAACCACAGTTTCAGACGAGTTAGCAGAGATTAAAAGGAATATAGCAGAGATGAATAATACTCTTGCAATGTTAAAGGCAAGTACTGGAGGATTTGATCCTGAAAGTTTAACTGCAACGCCTAATAAACCAGTCGAGTGTGTTTGTTGGAAAGTAGTATTGGGATTCGTAGTGGTTATACTTTTTTTGATGTTTTTTGTATGGTTTGCGGTATACCTAAACATTTGGTATGAACGTTCAACTCATAATTTATCATGAATATTTACAGCAGGCTGTTTATAGCTTATACAATTTACAATGTACAATTTTGCAACTTTTTTAACTACCCAAACTATAATTATCATAACTTGATTAGCTTATTTGATGCCAAGTAAGGCGACATCGATGCCTTGACAAGATATCTTTGATGAAATATACGAAATCAAATTTGTGTAAGTGATTGCAACAATTTTTAAGCTTTTTTTTTTAGCAAATCGATTTGTATTTTTTCTTAACTAAGAGAATTTTAAATATGAAGTGACTTTTGGTGATTTGGACAATTATTGTAAAATTGTACTGAATCATGTTTAAAAATAGAAACAAGTAGTATTTAAACCATTCTCTTTCTATTTTATTTAATCTATTGTATCATATCTCTATTCAAAATGTCATCAGAGGATAGTAGTAGTCATGCTTATATGAGTTTACCCCAGGAAGACGTTCCTTCAACCCTAGAGAAGAAATTGCCTTCAATTCCTCAACCTCACCTTGAAGATGGATTCTTTCAAACGTATCATACAATCACTGCAGAAGAGTTATCTAAAATAAAAAGAAACATGGCAGAGATCAATAATATTCTTGCTCTGTTAAAATTAAGTACTGGAGGAATTGATCCAGAAAATTTTATTACAAGAGATGGTCAAAAGAAACCATTAGAGTTTAATTGGTGGCAATTATCATTGGCATTAGTGATCTTTATATTGATTGTATTGTTTTTCATATGGTTCATCGTATACCTAAATATTTGGTATGAAAATTCAACTGAAGTTGATTATACACCTCCATTTATCTATTATTATCAGACCGCTTATAGTTCTGATTATAGTTCTGATTATACTACTTATACATGATTTATAACTTCCAATATACACAACCCTTTAACAGAATACAATGGTTTACAATATAATTTAGGATGTTATGTAGTAAGTTATTAGGAATAACATTTGGTGGAGTGTACATCCTTGTTTGTTAATGTATAATGTAAGGACAATAATTCTATAGATCAATTTTACCGCTGATGTCTATTTAGATTTATATTGATGTGCTTTTTTTACTTTAAGCAATTGAATCCATCAATCCATTAGATCATCATGGGTTTAAATTATAAAAATGATCCTCCTTACAGTAGTATCCCCCTTAGAGACTTTTTTACCTCTTCTGAGTCTGATTTCAAGAATAAATCATCAAATCCTCCACCACCTAAATTTGAAGAAACAACAACAGAATATGAATTGTCAAAACTTAGAAATGATATCACAGAGATCAATAAGAAACTTGAATTATTAACAACTAATGCTAGTGATATGGACCCTGAAAGCTTACAACACAAAAGAAGGATCGAAGTTGATAAAAATTGGGTTAATAATGCTTTGAAATTATTCTTTGGAGTTTTGATTTCTCTTCTGATTTTTATATGGGTTATTGTTTGGTTAAAAATTTGGTATAATAATTCAACTCATGTCGAAATTTCTATTTGATTCCATACAAATTATGACCAAGGGTTGGTACACCCAAAAAATATAATGTTTACCAGAAGGATTTATCTACAATTTGAAGGTTACTTTCCAAAATCTGTGTGTTTTAAGTTTGGTAAACAAATGAAATTATAGCTGCTAAAATTTGTTCGTCATACAGTTTACTTGCAAAATGTTTTTATTCTGCTAATGTTTATGGTGATACCAATCATAAAGTGAAAGAAATTAATATCTCCTTACATTTTTCATTTGTTCAATCATCACTCAATTTACAAATAGATTATATTATGATGAATGATAAATATAAATCAAAAAGAAGTGGTGGTCAAATCCAAACTAGCATTCCTCTTCAAGACTTAACTAGTACTATTCAAAATTTTACTTCAACTTCCTCATCTAATTCAGAAACTGCAGAAACTGATTTCTCAAATTCCCAGTTCTTACAACTTTCACAGGGATATTCTAAAATTGCTAATGATATTAATGAGCTTAATAAGAATGTTTCATCCTTAAAAACCAAAGATGGAAGAATTGATCCTGAAAGTTTGATAATTACTCATAAAGTAGGTTGTCTCCTGGCTTGTGGAGTTTGTATTCTTTTTACAATTCTGATTCTTATTATTACATCTTTAGTATTGGTTATATTAGGTATTTTAATTGATGTTATAAAGATAAGATAAAATAAAAGAACGACATGAAACAAATTAATAACGAATAAATATATTCATTCTAATAATAATTATTAATTCCGCTTCCCTAATGTGGTGTGCGGAATAATTTATTTGCAACTAAAATTATTCCAATCAAATTGGATTTCACATACATAATAGTTTTAAAATCTTATAGAACGTATCCAGAAGTGTTTTACATTAGTGTAGCATGATTAATATATATTTATAAACTTGGTAAAATTATAATTAAAATAAATTTTAAAGTTGGTTAGTAAACTCTAGAAGGCAGTACTTTGCATATTGACAGGAGTACACGACTTTGTGGTCATTTAGTGTATAAATTAAGATTTAGAGCCATTCGATGTTTTTTATTTACAATCTTACATCAATAGGCTTCTTCTTGCTTACCAAGACTAACAATGGCATCAGGTAAAGATTCCCATGCTTACTCAAGTATTCCACTTGAAGATATATTTACAGCACCAGATAGAGAATCAAATGGAGTTCCTTCTACCCCACCTCCAGAATTTGAAGCAGGGAGGTCAAATTTGAATCCCACAAGACTTCCTTATTCAGACCATCAAATTGAGATATCTAATATCTATAGACGTATTAATGAGATTCATGAAGTTCTTGCATCATTAAAATCGAGTACTGGTGGAGTTGACCCAGAAAGTTTAGTTCAAACTCCAGTCAGAACAAGTGATATAGAATGTACCCCACAATGCTTGAAGAACTTTGTCATAGTTTTCATAGTGATTTTACTTGGTTTAACGTTTTTTGTAACGTTTGCAACATTGTTATCACTTTGGTATCTGAAACATAGTAGTTAAATGACAGTTAAACTGAGGTAGAAAAATTATGATATGTTTACTAAATAAATATTTACAGTGGTTTACAATTAAGTTAGGAAGTTCAGTAGTAGATTATTAGATGTTGGGGTTTATTCAAGTTTGTTAATATATAGTTGTAATATATTTCTAATTCATGAAATACAATGTAGAGGAAATAATTTTATACGCGACGTATAAATAGTTCAATTTTACCGCTGTTGTCTATTTGAATTTGAATTGATCTGTTTCTTCTACAGTCAATTGAATCCATCAATATATTAGATCATCATGAGTTCAAATCATAAGAATCATCCTCCTTGTACCAGTATTCCCCTCAAAGTTGTTTTTAGTACTTCTAAGGAGGATTCCAAGAATAAGACATCAGATTCCACATCACCTTCACCACCACCTCAGTTTGAAGAAACAGACTCAATGTTGGAAGATGAATTATCTGAGATAAGAGAAGATATAGATGATATTTATGATCAACTTGAATTATTACAATCTAACACTCCTGGTAATATCGATCTTGAAAGTTTAAGACACAAGAGAAGTATTGAACTGGATAGAGAATTTGTTAAGAATTTCTTGAAAGCATTTACAGGGGTTGTACTTTTAACTATGCTTTTTGTTTGGTTCATGGTTTGGTTACATATTTGGAATAAGAATTCAACTCCAGCATGTACAGGTTCTAATTGATTCCATTCATATAAGGCCAAGGGTTGGGTACACCCAAAAATAAGTACCTGATATTTATTTGCTGACACTTCCCAATATAACTACCACAATGATTTACACTTCTACTTTAAAGTTTTGATGATTAGTTTAAGATCTGTGGTATGAAGGTAAAGTGACTTTAATTGGGCTTGGTAGTCAAATAAAGTTATAGCTGCTAAAATCATTTGTTGCTGCCACAAAAGTGATGAAAATATTGAAAGATGTTAAAGGTTGCTTTTTACAAGTAGAGTTATTATTATCATTTTATTTATAGAAAGAGTACTATGAAAGAAGTTACAACAAGTTATCAACACTACTACAAGCAAATATCATCACATTGGTTAGTCTAAATTTTTCAATCATATTTATTAATACCGCTTCCATATGGTGTGCGCAAAAATTTGTTTGCAAATATAATTATTCCAATCTAATTGGATTTCACATACATAATGGTTTTAAACTCTTATAGAATGTATTTCAAGATATTTTAAATTAAAATATAATATGATTAATATATATTTATAAACTTCTTATAATATGTAATTAGAAATTGTAGGTAAATAATTTAAGGCTATACTTTGCATATTGACAAGGGGTGCACGACTTTCTCATCACTGATATCAATTTAGATTTGAGCCATTCGAATTATATTTGACTATATAGATAATATTGATACAATCATTCTGCTTTATCACAACTATCAATGTCATCAGGAAAAGAATCTCACAACTATACCAGGATCCCTCTTGAAGACGTTTCCATAGATCCAGATAATACCACTAATGAAATACCATCAACACCACCTCCTGAATTTGAAGCAGTTGGGTCTAATTTGAATCCAGAAAGACGTCAAGCTTCAGATCTTGAAGTTGATATACTATATCTTTATAGAAGAATCAACGAGTTAACTGATACTCTTGCATCGGTAAGAGCTAATGCTGGTGGAGTTGATCCTGAAAATTTAACCCAGAATAGACCTAATCTAAAATTTCTATTTATGTATTTCAGCGGGTTATTAATTTTCGGGGTTGGTCTTTACTTTCTACTAATGTATCTTGTAAAGATGTAAGTGAGAATAAGCTAATAAGAATGGTCATTATATTTCTCCTGATATGTTTAATGTATAATGTATAATGTATAATTATAATTATAATTACTCGATTTAGATTTTTGTGTAGTATGCGCATGGTAAAAATATTTTGCAATCTTACTTGCCTTTTATTTTAGTTTCCTTAAAAGCAGCATAACATCGATATGGACTGATACCAGATCTCTTACAATGATCAAAGCTAAATATCCCATTTTATTTCTTCATTTTAAATTCAAAAGTTCACCACTTTTTCTTCTTGTTTCATTATCAATAAAGCTTAATCAATCAGGTTATTATGAGTAATAATCCATTTTTAAGTCCAATTATTGCCCAAGCCATGAATAACAATCCATTTTCAAATCGATTTGTTGAACCAGAACTTGAAAATGAAGAAAATCAATTAGGTCTTAGATTTTTCCCTATTAGACCAAGTTATGGAAGACAATCTACTACTCTTCAAACATTTTTAGATGAAAATACATTTGAAGAAAGTGAACTTAATGCTCGAAACTTAAGTTATGATTCCGATTTTGAAATTTCTGTTCAAAGAGATTTAGCAGCTCTTAATCGTATTTTTGCAAATGCTGATGATGATAATAATTCAGAAACACTGTCTTCTACTGAAATTGATACTGATTATATTGGTTCTGATGAAGAATCTTTTGAAGTTGGTGATGAATTGTCTTATGTTGACGAACATTATTTCAGCCTAGACTCTGAGTCTGAATCTCAATATGGTTCAGCAGAAGAAGAACAAGAAGAATATGTTGTTGTTGATGCAGAAGAAGAAGATGTTCTTGATGATATTTTTAGTGAAACCGGTGATACGATTGGTCTTTCTCGATTAGTCTATCAACTGAGAGGTTCAGAATCTCATCATTTGAATCGATTAAGAAACATTCCCTTCGAAACTGATATGAATGGATTTCTTTCATTTCTCTCTGATGGACAACCACAACTGCCACCAATTGTAAATGAAGAAAACCGTGATGAAAATGGAAATAGATCTAGAAATATAATTTCTAATTTTCCAAATTATGACTTTCCTCGTGTCGTTGATATCAATAGTGGTAGATCAATCAGTTCAATTCTTTCTCCACAAGCTTTAAGAGGTAGATCTGATATTTTAAATACTTTCCCATCTTCAGAAAATCCTCCAATTGAACGTCAGGTACCAAACCGTGACCATGTTCCTACCAATCAATTAGATTTAATGATGCAAGATATTGATGGTATGGCTAATGATATTTATACCAGTGGAAGAATTTCAGCAGGTCAAGAAAATAATAATACTTTGACATTAGGAGGTCTTCGTCAAGTATTCTCTAATACCAGAGTTTTCAATAATGAAACAGGGGTAAATGCTAATGATGAGAATGTTCCTACTCCTCCTGAAATACAAAATGTTGAACCAGAGGTTACTAGAAATGAAGTTCATTATGCAGACGATGAAGACATTGATTCTGATGATGGTATTACTATCGAAACAACTATTTCAAGATATGTGAATGGTAATCTCATCTATAGAATTCATCCTTTAGGTATTGAAGTCCAATCAATAGCACTTAATCACATTGATGTATTAGTAGAAGACTTGATGATTACTTTTGAAGATTATGCCAGAGAGAGAATTGCTAACCTTTCATTACGCCAAGTTATTATAATCCCAGTTTTAACGATTAATTATTTAATTGGTTCAGTTGTATTTGGAGCTAACAATGTATGGTTTACAATTTCTTGTGTTTCTTTACTTGCCAATTCTTTTTAATTTATCTTTTTATACCTTACTTTTTCATCCTTTTTTATGACTTTTACTTTATATATATAATTGGTTTATCATTAATAACTTGATTCGTAGATATGTAAATACTCTTTTCTTGGTAGTGCTATTTTTTTTTTGCAGCGAATCAAAGAGGAACCACAAACAAAAAGGAACCAATCGAAAAAATAAAATCAAAACTTAAAAATTGAAATATCAGACCAGATCTAACTAAGATTTAATAGTATTGATTTTATTAGTAATTACATCAAGTTTAAGGTGGTTTAAAGAGTTATACTGTGATACATGTTGCTTATCGGTATATAGACGTTGCCATTGATCCATAAACACGATATCATTCTCCCCAATTACAGCATAAGATAGCATCATAAACATAACAACAACAGCAACATACACGATCTCCATAGAATGATACTACCACGTCCTATATCCATACGACATGGGATTAATCGAATTAATCATAGACTAAGACTTCAATTAATCAATCATACACGTGTTAAATCCACCACTATAAATATAACACCTGGTTCAACTCCAACGACCGTAGAACCAATAGTGCCTGTTCAACAAGAGTTTAAATCGATAACTACGAGTTTAAGTTCTTATGTGCATCAATTCCCAAAGGAAATGGGGATAATTAATAAGATTGATTTATATAAAGATATCAAATCGAAAGAATATGCCATTCAAACGATTAAAATTGGAGTTTTCTATAATGATCATAATAAGAAGTCCAGATCTAAAGTCATAGATACGTTATTAGCTGATCCCTTAGCGAAGAATAATCAGGAATGGTATGATAAAGTTAAGGAAAGGAAAGTCGATAAAGTTAACGTGTTTAAGTTTGATGATTCCAAATTCGAAATCAAGGAAGATCCAAATCAAGATGTGTATGTTTTACCATCACCTGTTTTAAGTGCTGAACTTCGACAATCATTTAATGTGGAGTCAGTTAAGAATAATATTGAGATCGTGGAGTATCCATCCATTCCTCCTAATGATGATGAAGTTCATTATTATGTTCTAGTTACACCTGATTTATCCACCACTTTGAATTTATTCCCCCATCAAGATAAATTATTAATCACCATTGTGGATAATACTGAATACACCCCATCATCAACTGAATCCACCAAAGTGACAATCTCCCCCGGTGAAATATCCTCACATGTGGTTAAAATCAATTCACAATTGTTATATGATGGGATTGAGAATTTCTTAATTTATGATACGAAGGGTGCATCGACATATCTTGATTCGATCAAGCATAGTAATATTTATGAGTTAATGAAAGTATTGGAGAGGTTTAATGATTCGAAACAGTTATTGAATTGGATCTTGAATGATATAGTGAAAGATATTAATCTGACATTGGTGGATCCGGATGAACTTGTGAGAATTAGAGATGAGTCGGTACAAGATGTCAATAAATTTGGAAGTTTTGTTCATAATGAATTACAAAATGAATTTAAACCAAATGTGGAGAGATTATTCAAATCGAAATTAAGCTGGTGGAAATTGTATTTGAAGAATGATAATATTGAATACGAGATCAAGGATTTCTTCTTAAAGAGTTTCATGACAAAAAGCATTGAACAATATAACTACATCCATGGAAAAGTGGATTCGAAATATAATCATACTATCCAGACCGAACTCACTTCAAATCCATTACAAACATTAAAGAATGATATTATCAATGAAAGAATCACCAAAGAAATCCAACCCGTGGTGTATAAATCGATCGTATCATCTTTAACCCTCCAACAAATCCCCATTTCAATCATTGGATTCTTAAGTTATTATTATTTTGAATTCAGCGTCAATTCAGCAGTCGCTATTGTATTATTGGGATTAATCGTTGGATTTAATAATGTTTCAAAGACATGGGTTAAATTCTCTAACAATTGGTTGAATGAATTATTTGAAGAGATTCGATTATGTATTAGTCAACAATGTATTGAGAATGGATTATCGAAAAGAATCAATCAGAATTTCAGTCATGAATTAAATCAATCTCAGATTAAACGTGATATCTTACAAGATATAATCAATCTACAAAATAAGAAATAGATATAATAGAATCCGAATAAATAAAAGTATACATTAAAAAACCCATTAATTAACTAAAGACCTTATAAAGATGGAGGTGGAGGTGTAGGAGATGAACTTCTAGCTTGTAATTTTTGTTCTAATTTATCAAATTCTTGTAAAGCAATTTCTTCTTCAGGATCTAAGATTTGTACCACTTCTTTAACTTCTTCAATATAATGCATTAACATTTTTTCAATACCATGTTTTAAAGTATCTTCACTTGCAGAACATGATTTACATGCCCCTTGTAATTTCAAAAACACCGTACCCGTTTCTTCATCAAAAGCTTTATATTCAATATCACCTCCATCATCTTGAATGGCTGGTCTTATTCTAGTTTCGATTAATTCTTTAATCATAGATACAATTTCAGTATCATCTTCTTCAAGAGCAGCCAATTCTTCAGCTTCTCTTTCAGTCTTAGTGATTAATTCTCTGGTGATGACTGGTTCATTATTTGATTCTAAAAATTGATCTAATAATTCCACTACTTGAGGTCTTAAATGAGCCCAATTTACATAATCTTGTTTATTAATGGTTAAGAAATCAGATCCTAACATGACAGATCTCACACCTGGAAGTTTGAATAATTTGACGGCTAAGGGAGAATGAATCGATTGTAAAGTAGAATTGAATTCAAATGTCTTATTATCAATCGGTAGTATCCTACGATCTGGTGATACGAATTTTAAAGCATTTTCATTTGGGGTTGTTAACGTTTGAAAACTGAGGCATCTCTTTGATAATTGGTGTGATAACGAAGATGATGATGATGATGATGGGAACTGTATCAGTCTACGTAATGTTATGAATGACATGATGGTGGTAGTTGATGATATATGATATTAGTGTTGATGATATCAAATTGGATGTATCAACAGTATTATATATATTATAGATCAAAGATAAAGAGATGACAAATATTTATGACTTCGGAGGTCGGAACCGAATTTTGATCACAGCGTTTACCAGAAAATGAGGGGAATGATTACTTTAAATTAATTTAATTGGTCAGGTGAATAAGTCACGTGTGAGATCATGGGGTTTGGATCATGTGATTTAAATTATACCAAGTTAACTACTTACTACAATTATATATATATCAAATAGTTTGATATGGATATACACTATGATACAACAATTGATTTCAAATATGATTTATATTGATTGTTTTTGGTAATATATATGTATAAAAAAGGTTTAAGGATGATAAATAGTAAGCATAACTATAATTGAAGATGATGATATAATAACGATGAATGATCTATATTCTATATGATATTATCCATTATAATGATTACTACTATTAATCGATCCCTTTTATAGAAATCATCTCAACAAATAGTTAAACTATATTGCAAATGACTTCTTCTTTTAGGGTTATGACGTGACATTAAATTTGATTTTATTCTTCGTATAATATAATGAGATTTTTATTATTATTATTATGATGTTAATTCTATGATGATTGGGATATTACGAGATGAATATGTTTAATCTCTCTTTTCTAAATCAATGAATTTACCTCCACTTGAGAATCTTGGATGTCTTGGATCATTAATAAATTCATCAGAATTCATTGAAGCATTAGCAGCTTTATATATTAAATAGTAAGTGATGGTTGCTATAATGTTATTAGTTAGTATATTGTCTTGGGAGGTTGTTGGAACTGCAATGAACGGATGTGAATTGGAGTGAACATGATGATATATATTCCTAATCTGTGTATGATATCTCTGTCATCGTGTATATATTTCATTTAATGATGATTGGAAGGTAAATAAAACCATGATATCCAAATCAATTGGCTTTTCAATACTTTACTCGCCACATCAATCTAATAATCCATTGTCCTGCCCAATTCACAATAACTTATATCCACGTATACTATCATATTCATGTTGTCTCATTTCATTCACATTCAATTCCATTGCACTCATGGTTCATTCAAAATCAATTACATACCACCAGCAGCATATGGCCAGTAAACTTTAAAGACTGGAGTTGGAAATCTTGGAAGAGCCATTATTCTTATTCTTATTATTATTCAAAAGTAATATAAACCGTAACTTGAATGATACTTTAAAACTAACTAATTAATTAACTATAGACAGTTTTTCATCAACAAAATTTTTTGTGCTGTTTGGTTGTTCTCGGTTTAACAAAAAAAAAAGAAGTTGATGGAATTTAATTGGACGGTGTATATGCAGGAGGGGTTTCTATATGGTAGCGTAAACTATATTAGACTATGTATAGAGAGATGTAGGATTTATAATTTGATAGATTCTAATTTCAGGAGTTGTTTGTTTAAATTTAACTAAAGAATCTATATCACCAGGTTGTAAGGTTGAATGTTTGATTGACCAATTTCCATTGAACCATTTATTTAATTGTGATTCCCATTCAGTTATAGTATCTATATTTCGAATCGTGGCTGATATTAACGCTAATTGAGTATTACTAACCTTAAAGAAATCATCAATGGTTTGACATAATAAATCTAATACTCTTGAATCGTAAGTTATATCTGCCGCTACGATGATATCGATATTTTCTGGGGGAGCTTGAATGAATGAGTCTTCATGCTCTGGATTTGTTGTTCCCCAAAGTAATTGTTGACATTTTAATTTCTCTTGTGAGAGATGATTTATCTTTAAGGTTTCATGGAAATTATCAAATACTGATATAGATCCATCAGTAACTATCAATTTTTCAATCTCATCTCCATAGGTTTTTAATAATGAAAGACTTAATAATCCTGTCCCACTTCCTAATTCAAGTACTGATTTATGTTTGAAATCGTAAGTTGATAATGTCAGATCATTCAAATAATTAGCCAAGTATAATGCAGCTTCCCAAGTCCTCAAACCAGTGGTATTCAATCCTGATATGATCTTTGGAGTCTCTTTAATCGTTATAGTCTGATATGAATCAGTAATGGAAAATCCATTGATGGGATAAATTAATAAATCTGTATCAGTAGGTTGTAATTCTTGAGAGTTTAGTATAGTAGGATCACAATATAATTCATATAGATCTTCCCAGATCTCCACATTCTTCTTCTCAAGGATGGTTATATATGATTTTATGAATAATTTGATATAATATGGATTTAATTGAATGATAGTCGATGATTTGATATGATTTACGATTGATTCTTGAGTTGAAAGTTGACAAATAGTTGATAGAAGTGATTCTGATGATTCGAATATTTCATATATCGGTATTCGTTGATCTATCCTTGCCAATAATTTTATAATATCTGCCATGATGGTCCCTAGCACCTTCTTTCTATCTGTGGTTTATAGCGATATTTGGGATGAAAAAATTACAGTGAAATTTTTAAACTGCAGTGCGGTTATAGAAGGAACTTTTTTTATTTTATTTTCTCTATACAAATTCTATATCTAAGCAATACTACCAAATACTCTAACTCTTTTAACACCACCATCTGGAATAATAGTTAATAACACATGAGAATAAACCTTACTATCATCGTTAATTTCAAATTCATGTTCAAAATCAGCTTTGGTTTTGGAATCAGGTACTAAAGTAGTCCATCCTGATGGATCATTAAATTGAGGTAATTCTGATTCTTTTTCAACTTTAATAGCTTTAATATTAACCTTTTGTGGATAATTACCTCTGAAATGAGCTGTATCAACCATAATCGATTTAATCTTAGTTAAAGCTCCTAATCTAATAATAACCCAATCTACATGACGGGGAGTTCTTGATCTGGTGGTTTCCCAACCATCTGACATATCATGTCCTCTACCGGGTAATAATAAATTATCAGCAGATCCAAAATGTTGATCACTAACTTTAATAGCTACTCCACCATTATTGACTGATGCAAGATCTAAAATTGCATCTTTAGAAGATAAATCATGAATTGGAATAACTGACCCATATAATCTAAAACGAGCAATTCCTCCATCAGGATACATTCTTAATCTTACATGAGTATAATTCTTTTCAGTGATTTGATCTCGTATGAAGAAATGTCTTTGAGATGGTCCACATTCAACTTTGGAAATGATAGTATCCCATTCAACTTTATCAAAATCAATTTCATCATCATCTTCACCATCAAACTTTTGAAAAGCTTCAACTGAAATAAATGGAGCATGATTCCCATTGAAGAATGCAGTATCAACTTCAGCACCAATCAATTTGGCAGTGGCAACTCCTAATCTAAACACAACCCAATCAGCTTCCGCTTCATTATGTCTTCTAGTTTCCCATCCATCATACCAAGCACCAGCGAATGTGAATCTCGTAGCGTCTCTGATAGGAGCTTTTGGTTCAATTAAATTCGTGGCATCTGCAAACCATTGATCAGAGAATTTTAACACTTTCCCACCTACTTTCTTACCAATTACATCGGTATAATTCAAGACGATTTGGGATTTGAATTCTTGTTCAGAAACTTGTTGAATCAGGACCATTTTTATTGAAATTTGTATGTGATATGTATTTGTTATCGATAATCTATAAATGGGGTACTTTCCTTGTCTTTATATAGGGAAAAGTCTTTAACTTCAATTATTATTAGAAATAACTAATATTAAATAAAACGAAATTGTGGTGAATAATTAGCTAAATTTTTCATTATTGAAATATAATTGGAGTTTAATAATAAACAAGGTTATGAGTTCATTTTGAATCAAATAAAAATTCGGGGTATGCCGAATTGAGTCAATCTTAACTTAAAAACGACCGAGTTATATACAGGTCATACCATCATCACGTGAATGGTCGTGTGACTTAAAACAAGAATTCTAGAACATTTTCTTAACCCACTTTCTATTAACTTTATAATGTATACATAAGGATTTGACAGGCATATTGAGGCTTATATATCATTATTCATTTTAAGCTTTTATCCTGCAATTGGTTTAAAAAAACAATATAAAAGTGGGGGCATGGAATATCTTAAATTAAAATGATAAGATGATTCATTGGACCACATTAAAACTAAGATAAAAAGTTGATTATATCGGGATTAAATGGATGGCTCAAAAAGGTTTACAAATATGTTAAATGTTAGGAAATGGAGAACTAAATAAGTTAAAATATATACGATGATGATGGGGGCTGGGCTGAATCTAGGGGTTTAAGCACATATTATAACTGGAAATATAGATTTCCAGTATGTAATATAACATGATAAAAAATAATTTAAAATAAATTAGAATAAGAATGTGATGATGATGGGTGATGATTGGCATTAACATCATTCTTCTTAATTCTTATCTTATTAAAAATATTTAATTAAATTATTATAATCTTTCACATTGATTTAAGATTAATGATATTAGAGATAGATAGTTAAGATAATGAAAGTTAGTCGATGTATATGTAAATCTAATAAGTTGAATCATAATAAGATCTACTGTATATCTATATATATATAATACAAAGACAATCACTAAACATAAACGGTTTTATGACATTAATATATACGAGTATAAAACATTACTTAATTAGGATCAATGTTCCTCTTGTACTGGGTTTCTGTTCCTGAAGGGGAATGTTAGGCTGTGTGCAGGAACATAGTAATAGCCATTTTTTTTAGCAGGCAATTGGACAAAATGTCGAGAGAAATAAAAAAAATGTCATGTTTTTTTGGGGAGTTCTGGTTTTCTTGACTTAATTTGGACAATAATTTATCCTGAGTTACATACAGGAACAGACAATTTTAATTAACTATTCCAGACACGGAAAAATTTCTTTTTTTTTTTTTTTTTTTTTTTTGGCGTTTTAGTTTATAGCTACCGTTAGCGATAAAAAAGAAATAGTTACCATATTAAGTAGTTTGATTCATTAGCGGTGTTGGTTCCTAATTCTTTCATCTTATTTGATAAGATTATGGAATTGATTGGATGAAATGATTTTGATTTATTTCATCATTTGCTTTCAGTCTCTTGGATATATAACCTCGTGTGTTGATATCGACAATGAATGATTAAAATCTAACTAATCTAACATTGCTGTAACGGTTAAACTCTTACTGGTCTCTAATTTACTGATCTCTCAGTGGGTCTGTCGCTGTTTTTCTTAACCTGTTTCGCTGAGACCTCAGAATTTTGATTTTTCTTATCAGTAGCGGCAACAAACTGTAAAAATAAAAATAAAAAAGATTATTGATGCATTTTGTGACCATTTGATTTAGATTTCTTTTTTGTAAAATTACTTTAAAATTACTATAATCAATAGATAATAGATAATAGATAATAATCGATAATAATATTAATTATACCATTGTAGATGATTTTGTTTAGTGAAATATTTTTACTTTTTTATTTAAACACCTCTTGATCTTCTTAAATTTATATTTTTCACTTTTCTATATTTCTACTTTATATCAATCCAACAACCCTTTATCCATATAACTACTTAAGTCTCACAATATGTCAAACGATTCAGATAAAGGTAGTACTGGTAAAGTTGAAGTTCATCCTGTAACTAGTGTTGCATATGGTGAAATTCAAGATTTTATTTCAAACACTCAACAACATAATCAACATCATAATTTAGATTCTCTTGCTTTAACTGATGAAAAAAAGGCTCATAGATTATTAGAAGTTGCTAAAGCAAATTTAGAATTAGCTCAAGAAACTGGTTATACTCCTGAATTAAAAAGAAATTTTGGAGTTCTTTCATTATTAGGTGTTGGGTTTGGATTAACTAATTCATGGTTTGGTATTTCTGCTTCTTTAATTACTTCTATTAGTAGTGGGGGTCCAATGATGGTGGTTTATGGTATTATCATTGTTGCTTTTATTTCCATGTTTATTGCTATTACATTATCTGAATTAGTTAGTTCAATGCCAAATGCTGGTGGTCAATATTATTGGACTATGAAATTAGCTCCAAAAAAATATGCTCCTTTTGCTTCTTATATGTGTGGTGCTTTTGCTTGGGCTGGATCTGTTTTCACTTCTGCTTCAGTTACTCTTTCTATTGCTTCTTCAGTTGTGGGTATGTATATGTTATATCATCCTGAAGAAGAAGTTAAAACTTGGCAAGTGTTTGTAGCTTATGAAATTGCTAATGTTTTATTAGTATTTTTTAATATCTGGGAAAGACCATTACCTGCTATTTCTCAAACTTCATTATATGTTTCATTAGCATCATTTTTCATTATTACCGTGGTTGTATTAGCTAAATCCCTGGGTGATTTCCAATCGGCGCATTTTGTATTTGTTGAATTCACCAATGGTACTGGTTGGTCATCAAGTGGTATTGCTTTTATTGTCGGTTTAATTAATCCAAATTGGTCATTCTCATGTTTAGATGCTGCTACTCATTTAGCTGAAGAATTATTAGAACCAAGAAAACAAATTCCAATTGCTATTATCGGTACTGTTATCATTGGTTTCATTACTTCTTTCACTTATTCTATTGCTATTTTCTTTTCCATTAAAGATTTAGATAGTCTTTATGTTTCCAACACTGGTGTTCCGATCATGGATATTTTCCATCAAGTTTGTGGTTCAAAAGCAGGTGCCATCGGTTTAGAATTATTAATCTTGTTAACTGCCATTGGATGTAATATTGCTTCTCATACATGGCAAGCAAGATTATGTTGGTCATTTGCTAGAGATAATGGGTTACCAGGTTCAAAATATTGGTCTCAAATTAATACTAGAACTGGTCAACCAGTCAATGCTCATATTATGTCATGTGCTTGGTGTGCTGTTATTGGATGTATTTATATGGGTTCAAGTACTGCTTATAATGCCATGGTTATTGGATGTATTATCTTTTTATTAATGTCTTATGCTGTTCCAGTTACATTTTTATTAATTAAAGGTAGAGATAACATTCCTCATGGTCCTTTCTGGTTAGGTAAACTTGGTTTAGTATCAAATTATGTTACTTTATTCTGGGCTATTTTCACCACTATTTTCTATAGTTTCCCACCTGTTATGCCTGTAACTGCTGGTAATATGAATTATGTATCAGCTGTGGTTGGTGTTTTCGGTGTTTACTGTGTTATCTATTGGTTTGCCAGAGGTAAATATAAGTTTACTACCATTGATGAAAGAGAAGGTCAAATTGATGAATTAACTCATCAATTATCTAATCAATTATCCGAATTAGAAGTTATCTTATCCCATAAAAGGGAAGCTTAAATGTCTGAATTAAGTCATTTGGTATTATTCAGTCACTCTCTATCCTATCTATTCAATTCTTGTTCTTACTTTCCCTTTCGTTCCATTCAATTAGTATTGTAAAGTTTTATCTAACTATTCATTTACTTCTTTGTTTTTACATTTACATTAATATTATTCTTCTGAGAAGTTTACGTTTAAAGTGTTTTTATCGATCTTATCGTCTTTCCGTTTAGTCATAGATTAGAAATATATATAAATAGTATCGTTTTAAAAAGATTTAATTGAGGTACAGTAGCCCCTTTTTTAAACCTCCTCCTCCACAAGATGCATAATTCGGACCTTGTCAGAAAAAAAGGAGACATTGTCACTTTTTTTTTTTTGCAGTATTCAAATTTTGCATATGACTTTAAAAGTATCATCAACTTTTTGTCATTAAGGAATTTATTTCACTTTAATTATAGATCCTTTCTCTTTTGTTGGAAATCGTAATTATTAATTCATACCATGAATACCCATTCTATAGACGAATTCGTGTTCAATACATCAGTACGGGAAACCACTACTGAGAAAGTCTCTGTTCCCCACAAAGAACTCTCCAAGGATAGCGATGATGACGATGAAAAAAGAACGCCTCTAAATATCACTACTAAGAAATACTATGAAAGCAATGCTGGAGATGGAACTATCGCTACTGATCATCATTTACAAGGTACTCAACTATGGTTAACTCTAGCCTCATGTTTCATAACTTTATTTGTTTCAGCCTTAGATCAAACTATCGTGGTAACTATTTTCAGTACAGTTGGTAATGAATTCAACGCATTTGATAGAATTGATTGGTTAACTTCAGGTTATTTATTACCCATGTGTGTATTAAGTCCAACCTATGGGAAAATCTCCATTGCATTTGGAAGGAAATCAACTCTTATAGCTGGTATTTCCGTGTTTGAAATTGGTTCAATTATATCAGCTCTTGCTACTAGTATGGATATGTTAATTGCCGGAAGAGTGGTACAAGGATTAGGAGCTGGTTGTATAGCTACACTTATTTCAATTATTGTTACTGAATCAGTTCCCATTTCATACCGAAGTTATTCATTAAGTATGTTGGCTATTGCTTATGCCTTCGCCAGTGTGGCAGGTCCATTCATTGGTGGAGCATTTACAACTCATGTAACTTGGAGATGGAATTTTTATTTAAATTTACCTACTGGAGGCATATCACTTTTGATTTTAATTTTCAGTTATCATCCACCAAAAATAAGAGGAAGATTCATTGATAATGTGAAAAAGATTGACTATTTGGGAAATATACTCTTAATATTAGGATTGGTTCTTTTCCTTTTGGGGTTAACGTTTGGAGGATCACTGTTTGCGTGGTTTTCAGCTCCCGTTTTGATATGTCTTATCTTTGGAGTGTTCTTTATCGTGGCATTTGCATTTGAAAACTTTTTTGTTTCAAAATCTCCTATATTTTATAAAGAATTCTTTCAAATTCCTCAAATTTTATTTTCTGGTTTAAGTGGATTTTTCAATTATGCATTCTTTCTTGGAAATATTACGTATTTAACCGTATATTTCCAAATCATACTTAATCATTCTGCATTTCAATCAGGTATTGATTTGTTACCTTTGATTATTAGTGTAACTATTGCAGCTTTTATAAATGGAGTCTTAATCAAAAAGACAAGATTTGTTAAGCCTTACTATATATTGTCTGGAGTGTTTGGAGCCATCGGAGGAGGATTGTTATTAATGTTGGGACGTGAAACTCCTTTCCACAAACGTATGGGATACTTGATTGCCATGGGTTGCTCTGTTGGACTTCAAATTCAAAGTACAATTATCTCATGTCAATTGAAAGCACCCAATGATTTAACTGGCTCATTGATCTTAGTGACTACTTGGGCTAATTTCTCCCGGTTCTTAGGAGGTACGATGGGAATTATTCTTGCAACTGTCATATTCCAAGCTTCTAGTACATCATCAATTACGAAAATCATTGAAGCATTACCTTATGAGACTAAAAAGCAATTTGCAAATATATCAGCTCAAGCATTTTTAAGTTCACCTAAAGAGATTCAAAAATTACCCGTAGATGTACAACAACAAATCTTCGATAAATTAATGGAAGCCATTCACAATACGTTTATATTTGGATTAGCTAGTGCTTCAACTGGTCTTGTTTGTTCAATCTTTGCTACCAATAAGAGAATCCCAAAAGATGAAGATATCCTTCATAAGGGAGATGAAACTGAAGCTTTAGTACCATCTTCAGAAGCATAGTTTCTCTCTTTATTTATGACAATTTTAACGATATTATTTCTATGTATTTATCACTGTAGAATTTGCAACTCTTCATTTCCCTTCTTTGAGTTTATATATTCCCGCACGTGACCATTTTATTTCCTGGTTTGGAAGGCAAACTGACCTCAAGTGAAAAAAAAAAGTTCATGAAAGAACTCCATGTATGGTCCAGGGTATATTCAAGAAGTCATACAATAATAGTTATCCACAAGTATAATTCAACTCAATGAGTATACGGATTAGTAGGAGGCCAATAGGTCTTCAGACTTTACGTCAAAGTTTTAAACAAAAAATCCCATCATCAATAGGTTTCATAAGGTCATTACAACAAAGTTCTCGAGCTTTAAAAGAAGGTCCAGACTATAAGAAGCTTAATAATGAATTCAAAAAACTTCAAGAATTAAAGGAAAGTTATAAGAATGCTAATGGCTTGCTTGCTAAGCTTCAGATCAGAAGTCAGATTGTTGATCAAGAAATGAAATTACAAAGTGATCAACTTTCTCTTTTGAAAGATGATGTAAGTCATCCAACTTTAAAACTTACTTTTGATGCCACTAATATTGAAAAGATTGAAGAATACAAGATATGGTCAGAGTTCATGCTTGGGTCATTCTTGGCTGAATGTAAGAAATACGAACTTAAAAAGTATGGTAATCCTGATGAAATCATTGAAAATATCATAAATACATTTAAAGAAGAATATTCTCAAGTAACAGCTCCAACTAAAGATGATGTGCTTTACTTTTTCAAATTATATTACTGTTTACTGAATAATATCATTTATCTTGATGAATTGAAGATTGATAATGATCAAGTATCCCAATTATTAAATTTTTATACTGATTTAGATCCAAGTTCAGAAAGAGATACTAATATTGAAACTGTGTCTAAGAAATTCGATATTTCCCAACAAGTGGCTCAGGAATGGTTTGAAATCTTTGATATCTTCGCTACAGTTCCATTTGCTAGTGTAGGTGAAAAATTCAATAATGCATTATGTCCTAAAGAATATTCCAGTTTTGTGGAGTTACAAGATACTATGACTGATTTACGTGAAAAATTTAAAGATCTTTATACCAGTAAACCAAAATCAGGTAGTACTGATACTGGATTTGGTGATTTCATGTTTAATACTACCTCAAATGAAAAGAAATCCAATAACTCGAATAAGAAATCCAACAATACTGACAAGAAGAAAGATAAAAAAGATGACGATAAAGCCACTCTTGATTTCACCATCAACCTTAATAGTCCAAATATGAGATATTTCCAAACTGGTATGTTATTTGGTTTACTTTCCTATATTCTTTATAGTGTAAATCAAGAAGATGATGGTGAAGTTAGTTTCCAACAATTTACCGCTGATTATTTAAGTAAAAATTTGGTTGATAGACTTGTGGTCGTTAATGGTCGTACTGCTTATATTGAACTTAATCAAAACGGTAAAGCTCAATATGGTCAACAACATAGATTATATTTCAACATTGGATCCATGGAAGCCTTTGAAAGAAGTTTAAAGGAAGCTCAAGATCAATATAATGTGGCTGATTCAATGAGACTTCCAGTTATTTATGCTAATGAAGGAAGCACCGGAAAGATGATTATCAATTTCCTTCCAACTGTTCTTTTCCTTGGTGCTATATATTATATGACTAGAAAAGCCACCATGGGTGGATTAGGTGGTCCAATGGGATTTGGAAAATCAACTGCTAAGAAATTTAATCAAGAAACTGATGTTAAAATTAGATTTAAAGATGTGGCTGGTATGTCTGAAGCCAAAGAAGAAGTTATGGAATTTGTTAAATTTTTACAAAACCCTGAAAAATATGAAAAACTTGGTGCTAAAATCCCAAGAGGTGCTATTCTTTCAGGTCCACCAGGTACAGGTAAAACTTTAATTGCCAAAGCTACTGCTGGTGAAGCCGGTGTTCCTTTCTATTCTGTTTCCGGTTCTGAATTCGTCGAAATGTTCGTTGGGGTAGGTGCTTCAAGAGTTCGTGATTTATTTAAAACTGCTCGTGAAAATGCTCCTTCTATTGTTTTCGTCGATGAAATTGATGCTATTGGTAAACAACGTTCAAAGGGTAATGCCAGTGGTGCAAATGATGAACGTGAAACTACTTTAAATCAATTATTAGTTGAAATGGATGGGTTTGATACTTCTGACCATGTCGTCGTCTTGGCCGGTACAAATAGAGCTGATATTTTGGATAGAGCTTTAATGAGACCAGGTAGATTCGATAGACATATCACTATTGATAATCCTGAATTACTGGGCCGTAAAGAAATTTTCGAAGTTCATTTAAGAAAAATCACTTTAGCTGAAGATATTGATAGTGATTTACTGGGACGTTTGGCTGCTTTAACTCCTGGATTCTCTGGTGCTGATATTGCTAATGTTTGTAATGAAGCTGCTTTAATCGGTGCTAGATTTAATGCTAAGGCTGTTACTTTAAGACATTTTGAATTAGCGATCGAAAGAGTGATTGGAGGCATTGAAAAGAAATCCAAGCTTTTAAATCCAGAAGAACAAAGAATTGTGGCTTATCATGAAGCTGGTCATGCTATTTGTGGTTGGTATTTAAGATATGCTCATCCATTATTGAAAGTTTCAATCATTCCAAGAGGTCAAGGTGCATTAGGATATGCTCAATACTTACCACCTGATCAATATTTAATGAATACATTCCAATTGTACGATAGAATGATTATGACTCTTGGTGGTAGAGTTTCAGAAGAACTTCATTTTTCTTCAGTTACTAGTGGAGCTCATGATGATTTTAAGAAGGTTACTAATATTGCTCAATCTATGGTATTAAGATTTGGTATGTCTAAGGCTATTGGTATGGTTAATTATGCTGATACTCAATCTCAAGATAATTTAACTAAACCTTTCAGTGATGAAACCAATAGAACTATTGATCAAGAAGTGCAAAGAATCGTTAGTGAATGTTATGAGAAATGTAAGACTTTATTAAAAGAACGTTCTCATGAAGTTGAATTAGTTGCTGAAGAATTATTAAAGAAAGAATTCATTACTAGAGAAGATATGATTAGATTATTAGGTAAAAGACCATTCCCAGAAACCAATGATGCATTCGATAAGTATCTTGATGGTAAAGATGCTTTCAAGAATGAAAAGCCTTCTGAAGAGAAAAAAGATGATGAATTATAAATGAAATATGGTATTATATATAATTAAAAACAAAAACATTAAATAACCCTCCATTCTTGTACATATAGATATATAAATGATAAAATTTATAATATAAAAATACATATATAAATAAATTAAAAACTAGACGCTACCATTTTGAGTTTGTACACGACTTGTGGTGAAAAAACCATAAACAGAGAACGCGAACAGTTTAATAAAATTCAAAATTCAATTCAGATGTAAATATATGTTAGAAATAGCTAAACTACAAGTCAATATCAATTAACCATGAGTAGATCAAGATCAAGGCGAGGAGTAGACTCGGTATCATCAGAAGATTCAGCAAGACCACAACGAAGTTCCAGAGCTCGTAGGCAGAATTTGGCAGGCTTAGATATTGATCCAGATGATGATGAAGATTTCGATGTATCGAATGTGAAAGATGAAAACAATGAAGAAGATGATGACGAAATACCAGAAGATGATGATGCTGAAGAAGTAGTTAGAAAGAGAGGAAGAAAAAGAAAGGCACAAGTTGATGATGATGCTGATGCGGAGGAAGAAAATGGTGAAGATGCAGATGATAAAGAAGAAGGAGGAGAAGGAGAAAATGATGAAGATAATGGGGAAGAAGAAGATGAAGAGGAAGAGGATGAAGAGGATGAGAATGGTGAAGGCGAAGGCGAAGGCAACACACCAAAGACTGAAGAAGAAAAAAGAGTTCCTAAAAAGAGAGGAAGAAAGAAGTTAAAGATTACTATTTTGGAAGAAGGTGTATTTGATGAAGAAGGAAATCCATTGAATATTGCTAATGATGAAGTTGTTATTGGCCATGAAGATGAAAAAGGTAAAGAAAAGATTGATGAATTGGGTAATTTACAAGGAGGTAGAGAATTCCGTATGAAAACTTTCAAAGTATATGGACAAGGGGATAGATTATATATGATTTCCACCGAACCAGCCAGATTAGTGGGATTTAGAGATTCATACTTATTATTCAAAACTCATAGATCCTTATTTAAAAAAGTATGTGACAATGATGAAAAGATGGATTTGATAGATCGTGGTATAATTCCCAATTCGTATAAAGGTAGATCAGTTAATTTAGTTACTGCCAGATCAATATTTCGTGAATTTGGAGCTAAGATGATAAATGGTGGTAAAAAAGTAATTGACGATTTTTGGGAACAAAGAGCTATCGATAATGGTGACATTCCTGGTGAATATGCTGATCCAAATGAATTTATAAGAACTAATAGATTAACCAATATCCTTGGTGATTCCAATACAAATGGTGGTTCAACTCCCTTAACTGCCACCCCATTAGTCAATTATGAAACTGATCCTGCTTGGATGTATAAAGTTGCATCTCAAACTAGTGAGTTCAATACCAAGATCTTAGAACAAAGAAATCAAGCATTCACAAGAGGAGTTAAAGACATTTTCACTAATTTAACATTTTATCCATCAAGTACACAACCATCTAAATCAAAATCAGAATTTATAGCGGATCTGAAAGATTCTTTAGTATATACTACGAAGATTGTCATAAATGATTTAAGAAAGAAAGTAACAGGTCTTAAGAATGTACCTAAAGAGATTTTTGCTGATATCGAAGATGAAGAAATCAAACAAGCTATATTAGATCAACAAAAGTTTGAAAAAGAAAATTACTAAAATTTCTTACGTATAATATGTATGTGTATCTTATTTAAATAGAAAAAATGTATTATTAAATAAAATTGTAACAAAAGAAAACAGAGATAAGTATATACCAAAAAAAAAGGAATTTGATTATGTAAATATTTTTAGTTTTGTAGATATGTGTAAAAATTGAAGTAAAAAGGGTAAAAAATCATATATATAGGACTTGCCTTGATTTAAATTTTAAGCGGTATTATTAATAAAAGTATATTCAGCTCTCTTTGGAGGTGGAGGTGGTGGAGGTGGTTGTTGATGTTGTGGGGGTGGAGGAGGTTGAGAAGATGTAAGACTTATTTCTTCTTCGTCGTCTTCATCACCTGAATCAATATCACTATCAAGATAACCTGATTCATCACCATCAATCATACCATTCTTCTTCTTCTCCATATGAGCTCTTAATTCAAAATCAACTTTGGTCTTTCTTCTACCAACATGAACAGTTATATCACCTTCTTCAACTACTTCAGCATGTTTCTTAGAATAAGCAACTTCAGCTTTAGCTTCCTTACCAGAAATCTTATGATTGACCCGAATATGTTTAGCTAAAGTATCATGACGAGTGAAAATTCTTGGTCCAACTCCAGGATGTTGTTTAACACAAACATAACATTTGAATAATTTTTTCTTTTTAGAATGAACTGTTTCTTGATGTCTTATTAATTCATATTTTCTGGAGAAACGACGTAAACAAAGTTTATGAGGTTCATCAGCAGAAGGTAATTGACATTCATGTACCACATCAGGATCATAATTTGAAGATTTATTAGATGGTTTATTAACGGTTGTTTTCTTAATTATTCTATGAGCGGCTAATTTAGCATCAACTCTTATTTTCTTCTTTTCCTTTGGAGTTAAACCTGCTAATGATGCAGAAACAAATTTATCATGATCAGCAGTATCAGGATTTAAGGAAAAGAATGAAGTTGTACCGGGAATTCCACTACTTTCTTCTTCATCAACATATGAATCTGAACCAGGAGATTGATTAAGTATACCATTCATTAATGTGCTAGTAGTGGATCTTCTATTCCGTTTATATCTATGAGGTCTTGGTAATGGATCAGGTTGAGATAATTTCTTATATTCATAATAAGAATAATCACGAATGAATTTTTTATAACATTCATTAATATCAAAATGAATCACAGAAAGGAAATGATAAATTACTGGTTTCCAAATTAATAAATTATAAATTTCCCAATAATTCAAACTCATAAGGATATTAGTTAAGAATCGAATAGTTTTAGTTGAAATATCAACATTAGCATGGTTAGTTGAAAGTTTTATAAATATATCGAAATTACCTTCCACCAATAAATAAAGTTTAGAATGAATTGGATCTTGATGATTAACATACTTTGGTAAATAATCCATTAGACTATAGAATTTTTCTCTTAATTCCAATTCCAATTTTGGATCTTCTTCAAATTCATCAGCATATAATAATACGGCAATTTTATGTAAATGAGCCGAATATTCTTCAATATCACCTGGAATCATTGAAGTTAAGATTTGAATTCTGTCAGCAAGAGTTAATGGTATACTTGGTGGTGTTGGTTCTCTCAAACTATATACTTTATTATCAGTAGGACTAGCAGATTTACCTGTATCAATGACACTTATTTCCATACCTGATTGTGAAGCTCTGGTTGAATCTGAATCTGGTTTTGAAACAGATTCTCTTTTAGGAGGTTGTTGTTGAGGTTGAGGTTGTTGTTGTTGTAACTGTGGCAGAAGGTGCATTTGTTGTATACTAGGTGGTGAAGATCCATTAATATGAAATGGTTGCAAATGACCTGGAGGAGGTAATTGATGACGTTGATATAATTCTGGATTATGAGGAACTGGAGGGCTTGATTGTAACTGGGATTGGTGTTGTGATTGAGATTGACTATCGGATGGAGGTTGAGGTTGTGAGGGAGGAATTGGATTATTTAACTGAAGGGGAGAATGTTGTTGTTGTTGTTGTTGAGTTATGGAAGGTAAGTGATGAGGAGAAGGTTGTAATGAGTTAGTGTTGATCGAAGGTAATTGTTGGGGTTGTTGGGGTTGTTGTTGTAGTTGCGGTGCTGGTGGTCGTGATTGTATTTGTGGCTGATCTTGTTGTTGTTGAGGTGGAGGTATATGCATGGGAGGAGGAGGTGGTTGGTTTGGTTGATTGTACGGACGCATTGGATATGGCTGCTGTTGGTTAGGAGGGGGAGGAGGAGGAGGAGGTTGAGGCGGTGATGATGAATTGCCATATGATTCTACTGGGTAGAAATATAATTTTGGTTGTGGATTTGGATTCTCATTCATTTTTGCTGCCAAATGGATACGGTGATTAAAATCACAAGTAATCAATCAAATAAAATGCAAATCAATCCCTGATTGGTCGATATGTATCAAGTTCTAACTATTCCACACCGTTCTATATCGTTCCTAGATAGATTAACCCTGATGAAACCCCACTAAATCGATGATATGGTTTGGTTGTTAAAAAGGGATTTTTTGGTAATCACGAAAAAAGGAAAAAGGAGATGTATAGATAACACACACCTTTTATGAGTAATAGTTGGAATTCAAATGAATTAAAAGCTGGAGTACGTATATCTCTGACTGTGTGATGAGATGTGATGGCAAAGGATAGCAAAAGTAAACGCTAACCTTGATTGGTTATTAATTTGATGTTTATTATATAATATGAATTGGGGTAAATTTAGAAAGTGGTTGTCTTTTTTTGAATTTTCCTGACTGCAATTTTATAAAAAAGTCCAAAAAAAAAAGAAAAAATGCAAATTTGTTAATCTGTACACGACCACCCATTTTTAACCTTTTTTGGGTCGGCGCCAGTTACCCGGATCAAATGTGGTTTAGTTGGAAAGGCAACCAACAGAGAGCACAGAAAAAGTTTTGCAACCAAACATCAGATATATTGTGTATATATAGTATATCAATTTACAAAAAGTGATCAATAAATTGGGGGAATAAATTATGATATGATTAAGAGTATATAATATATATAGGGTTCTATAAACAATAATAATGATATCGTATCATCATCTTTTTTCTTCATTGGGTTTAGAAGGAGGAGGATTGGGGAAATACGGTGGTCTTCTTTCTTCGGTGCGTGGTGATATATACTTTTGACTATGAATACCAAAACTATTCTTACTATCCAATTCATGGATCAGCGGAAGAACTGTACCAGACGTAACACCTGGAATACTTCCTCCTCTGGCAGGTGGAACCCCTAATAATGGTGGATTTGGCTGTTGTTGTTGTTGTTGTGGATATGGTGAAGATCCTGATATTTCAGCTTGTTGTTGTGGTGGTGAAGCTGATGATGCACTGCCAGGAGAAGGATTAAGTATTCTAAATTTTTGGAAAGATTCAGATGGCTTATACATATCTTGAGGAGACTGAGGTTGTGGTTGTGGTTGAGGTTGACTTGAAGAAGAGGCTTGAAATGGAGGAGGAACAGAATAATATTGACCTGATTTACTCTTATCCTTATCATCTGAAATAGAAGGCAATTCAATCACATCCACAATTCGATTCTTTGGTGGTGGACCAGGTATATACTTTGCATTTGAATCTCTAGCACTAAACAGTAAAAATTCAGCATATCCTGATTTTATAGTAAAATCATTATTCAAAAATTTAGGATGAGGTAAAGGCTCCACATTAAATTGACGACTAACAACTTGTTTTGGATCTTCAATAATTTCCACATTATCCTTAGCATAATTAACTGCCATTTTATTTTCTTTACCAGTAACACCATGTTTTCTTCGAATATGTCTAGCTAATGAATCATGTCTTGGATAACTTTGAACTTTAGATCCACTTCGAGAACAATATATACATTTATAGATCTTCTTTTTAGTAGCATGAACAAATTCCTGATGTCTTAATAATTCATTCTTACCATAAAAGATTTTTAAACATGTTCTCATGGTATTTGGATCAGTTAAATGACATTGATGAATCACCCCTGATTTACCCTTTTTAAACTTATCTTCAGCACTTTCATCATCAATTTCAATCGAACCAGCTGGAAGAGTGATAGATCCTGGTGGGGATGATGTCGAACTTCCTCCTGTCATTAATTTAGATTTACTCTTCTTAGGTGATTGATTAACAAATTTAAGTTGATTTTGAAAATGTCCCATGGGTCTTGTAATATGTGAAATTGATGAACCTTTCGTATAGGCATCAAATACTTGTTGAGCAGATTGAGGAATACCACCCGATGATGATCCTGAAGAATTGATAATTTGTTCTGATTGATAGGTTCTATAATCATTAGACAGAGATGGCATAGGTGATTTCGACTCATTATAATAACTCCGTCTTTCACTATCATCGTCGTCATCATCATCGTCGTCATCGTCGTCATCATCATCATCGTCTTCATCATTATCATCATCATCACTCGAACTTATTTCAGAACCTTTAGCGTATCGTTCTCTATTATATATACTTGATTCAGGTGGAGGTTGGATATTAATTTGGGGTATGGATTGAGATTGAGGGATAGTTATATAAGATGAAGTATTCATTGGTTCTGGAGGAACAGCAGCTGAAGGTCGTTCAAATTGATAAGTTCTGGATGATGGTTCACTAGTAGATTCTTTTTTGACCTCGACTAATTTTTCATTTTTAACAACGGTTTGTTTTGGACTAGATTCCATGTCTTGAGGAGTTTGACTATCATCTTCATCATCATCGTCATCATCGTCATCCTCATCTTCTCCATCCTCATCTTCGTCATCATCCTCATCCTCATCATCTTCATCAAATATACCTTCATCGTCTTCATCCTCTTCACGACGAACTCTTTCATCATCAGATACCATGGATCCAAAATCACTTTCAGTACCATTCTGACCATCAACCACACTATTACCTCGTGAAACCGTATTAAATGAATTAGTTCTACTTCTTGCCCCTTTTTTATCATCAATACTAAGACCATCTTTTGATTTAGGACGATGTTGAATGATTTGAAGAGGGAATGATTTAGCAGAAGGTCTTCTTGATAGTTGTCTTCTCCTAATGGGTGAACCGACATCTTTCAAACTTATGTCAGTATAAGGAGTTATATTAACTTTATTAAATTTCCTAGCATCCACATTTGGATCAAATGAATGATAAGAATAATTATAGAATGGATAAGGGAAAGGATATTGTAAACCTGATAACATGGCATTATTTAAATAATTTTGAGGAGGTTCAATGATGGGACCAAAACTGGTAGGAATTATTTTAAAATTGATTAAATTTAAAAAATAATCAAAATGAGGGATTAAAACAATTAAATGATAAACTTCCCAATATTGTAATGAATAAATTAAATCAACCATGAATCTTGTAACGTGGGATGATAATGATAAATTAAAATAAGTTGATGAGAATTTTAAAAGACTATCATAATTATCCACTAAGACTTTGGATAAAGTTCCATGAGGATATATTTGCAGAGGATGAATTTTTCTATCATTGGGAGGTAAATGTTGAAGTTTTGATTTAACTTGTTGTCTACCTCTTTTTGGAGGTGGTGGAGGAGGTTCAAAATCGGTCTTTTTTAATTTTTGGATAGGGAAATTCCATTTTGGATCAGGAGTTGGGATATATGATGTTAATTCAAATAATGAATTTTCAATATTCATTCGATTACTATCTTCAAGATTTTCTTCCTCTATAAGTAAATGTAAAAGTTCACTTAATTTGAATGAATATATATCTGTATTATCTTCTTCATATTTCCGTTTCCTCTTCCTTTGAATACTATCATTCCTTTCAGTAGTATTACTTATAGCATTATCATTATCAATATTAGCAATGGTTGCTGGACGTTTATGAGGATATAATTTCTTTAATTCTTTAACTATAGGATCAAAATCACTATCGGTGACATCAAGATTATCATAATATGGTAAGGCTCGAGGTATACTCCTTTTAATTCGCAGTATTAAAGCTAGAATTTGTAGTTAGTATGAGAAAATTGTCGATGGAAAAGTTATTAAACATAAAAGGGATATGGATTATCCGATACATACCATCTGGATGGAATAGCTTATTGGTATATAAGTCATTGGCCTATGGTAAAACGTTAGTATTTTGTTAAATGCAAAAAATGTAGATATGTGTATGATCAAAATGGTGGAATTCTGATATGAATCATCGAATACTTCAATTTGAATGGATGCAATAGATGATAAATGATATGATTGATTGATTCAACTATATTTAACTTAATTTAATCCATGTCCATTTAAATGGTGGATGATAAAGGTTAAAAATTGATTGCAACGATACTGTCTCCACCTCACCTCACCTCACTTGAGGCCTTGTTCCAACCATCAATCATCCACAACACATACACCACACTTTCAATCTGATAGATACATACACTTGACACAACCACCAAGCGCTCGCCTGACATGATTGGCTGTTATAGATATATGATACGATGGTACTGGGTGATGGATCCCCTTTAAAATACAAATTTAGCCTAAGAAAAAGTGACTTTACGGTTGTTGCCAATTACAAAAAAATTTAGCACTCAAAATTTCTTTTTTTGGTGTGAACTTTTTGATCCAAGGGACACGACCAATTATTTTAATCTGTTGCAATTTTAAAATTAGGAGAGGAGATAAGACCGGAAGGACACGACCTTTTTCGTCTCAATTAGTCAGTAAAATCGAGCTCCATTTCCTAATTGGGAAACAGACCATTACCAAATCACAAAACCAAAGAAGTGAAAGTTATATATATGTATATTAAGTTGATTAAATTAGATGTATCACAACATAGGAGACGAACTGAACAATAAATAAATAATTAGAGATAAAGAAAGAATATACGAAACTAAATTAAAAGTGACCCACCACTCGATGGTTGTCTGTGAGAAGGAACTATAGTAGGATTTAAAGCATTAGATCCTGTAACGGTTGCAACACTAACCGCTCCCTTTTTATTACTATGGTCTATGCTTGACTCATCATCATTATTAATCGACTCTAACGAAAGTTTAAGATACGATTGATGGACTATAGTATGGTTTGATAGTGTATTATCTTCACTATCTTCTGCTTCACCTTCTTCTTCTTCTTTAACTTCCTCTTCATCACCATCACCAATACCTTCATCTAAGATATCTTCGATTAATTTTTGACTCCCAGCAATATACTGATTATACACCACTCTTGAATCTTCTCCAAGATACTCTAATACATGTTTAAATACCTTTTCATAAACATCATGACCCCATAAATTATCCAAATGTTCATGATTGGCCACAGGCACAGCTGAAGTAGTTCCAGTAGGTAATTGATTCTTCATCACTTCAATATCAACCAATGAATCAATATCTCCATAAATCAAATGAATTGGAACTTTGATATTCTTTAATGGATAACTTATGGGAGTTAATCCTGAAATTTGATGATGAGTATCATGATACATTTGAAAATTCTTGGACGAAATAATTTGAAACCAATGAACTACCGTTTTAACGGAGGTTGTAGAATATAAATGAGCATAACTACTTAATTTTTGAATCTTGGGGATATTCAATGCTTTCCAATTAAACAAGATATAATTCGATACATCTATAAGACTATCAAATAATGGAGGATACATGATCTTTTGCCAGAATATAATTGAAGGCATTAATATTTTTCGAGAAAATAATAAAAAGAAGATTTGAGGTGATGATTTTAATAAAATATCAAGAAATTGAGAATAAAGTCCTTTTGGAGTTGCAGCGGGCGAAATAGCGATTAATTGATCGATTTTTTGATTTAAATCGGAATTTATTGAAACACTAGCAAATGCTTGAGCTGTACCTTGACTAAACCCAATATAAGTTAATTTTTCTGATTCAGTTGCTTTTAAAATATAATCAATTGAATTTGGAATATCAAATAAAGCAAATTCATCCAATGAGAAATCCCAAAACTTCTCACTTTGTAATTTATAATAAAGATGTTTTTGACTATATTTATTACCTCTATTATTCCCTAACCAAACATCATAACCTAATTCATATAATAAAAAGGGTAAATTGGAATATTTATCAATCATAGTAACCCAAATCTCACTACTCATTAATAATCCATGATGTAAATAAATCACTTTCCCATTTGGTTGACGTTCAATTAAACCCGGTTTAATGATTCTTTGAATGGTTAATAGATAATTATCTTTAGTTTGAACAATCCTACTTTCAACATCATATCCAAACAATTGACACATTTCTCGAATATTCTTAGCATTTAAAAGTCCAATCATTAAATCATACTTCTCCTTAGGAATTGGAGGTTGATTTGTAGCATTGATACTATATTGATATTTTGGACCATATTCTTCTTCATCAATTTCATCTAACATATCATTTTTAGCATGAGAATCATTGAATTGTCTTCTCATAAGATTGACGGGTGAAATGAATTTATAGATTAAAGAAGTAACCATGGTGAATGTACCAATCACAATAGTTGGTAATGAATTAGTTATTTTTGAAATGATATATTCTGACCATGCTAAAAGGAAAGAAACCACGATAATGGGCCAATCCAATAGACTTATTCTCCCAAAAAACGGAACGTACATGATGATTGATGATAATTGAAAAATTTTGAAATGACAACAGCAAAGGAACCTTAAACAGTTGATTAGCTGATAAGGCTTTGGATGATTAAAAGATTATGATTGCGGTCAGATGACCTACTTTCTTTCACTTCACTTCCAAGGGATGAAAGATGAGAAAGCGTTTGAAACTGAAGATTTAAAAATTGAAAATGGATCTGATTCAAATATAATTCAATTCATTTCCTAATTGGTTGTAAGGGGTTCCCTTGGTGATTGAATTTTATGGCAACTTCAATTACTGATTGTTCTTAGATTTAAACTTTTGTAATTTATCACTTTTGTTATGCTAAATTTGGACCTGTATAAAGATGAAATTCATTTTCACGTGCCCCCTTTAAATTTGAATTTAACCTTCTGGGCTGTTAATGCTAATGTTTATAGGACGTAGTTGAAGGTGTATAGGTTGTATGGGATGGGTAGATATTGAGTCAATGGTTAAGCTTGAAATATCATTGAATTGTTAGTGTGTAATTTACATAAATTCCTTTAATTGCTTGCTTAATTCTCGGTGCACATAAAGTGATTTCAACATCTACTAGCCCTTATCATTTTCGAATCGGATAATTTCCAATATTAAGAACCATTTTAGAAATAAATATGAATAAGAGGAAATTGACCAGTATATGGAGAACTAATTCAGCCATTAACCCTATCGATATATGTTTCCATTCTGTAACCTCATAGAGTTTATACCCGATTAAATTACCATTTTGGTAAACTGCGGACACTAGCCCGATTAGGATAATCGCCATATTATTAGCCCCAAAAAATTTGATTACCTCAACATTTGCTAACCCAACACAGAGTAATTTATGGTCTGTTTGATATGGTATTAAGACGGACGGGTGTAAGTAGTTATCTCCAACAAGTTGGAGGACGGAGAAAGGAGAAATACTTTGAACTTAATTAACATACTCTCAACAGTAGTGATTTTGAAGTTATCAATTTAAATGCGTTTATTGCCGGGATTTATTAATTATACTCTAATATTTGTCATATTCAAATAGACAGAGAGTATTTAAATGAGTGAAATATCCTATCATTGGTACTGTCAAATATATTAAATCAAATCAAATCAAATCAATTAACAACTATGACTTCATTTGATCATATTTTCGTCTCCGGTGCTACTGGATACATTGCTCAACATATTATTTCTCAATTATTATCTTCAGGAAAGACAGTTATTGGATCAGTTAGATCAATTGAAAAAGGTGAACATCTTGTTAAGGTTTTCCAAGATTCCAAATTCTCTTATGTGGTAGTTCCAATCTTAGAAAAGGAAGGTGCCTTTGATGAAGCTTTAAAATCACATCCTGAATTATCAATTTTCTTACATACTGCTTCACCTGTCCTGCGTCAAATTGATTGTAAAGATCCTGAAAAGGAAATCATGATCCCGGCTATTGATGGTACAAAATATGTTCTTAAATCAATCAAACAACATGCTCCTCAGATTAAAAGAGTGGTTTATACAAGTTCAATTGTTGCTTGTGCCAATCCTGAGAAATTTTTAGATCCAACTTTTGTATGTGGAGAATCTACATGGGGAGATATGACTTATGAACAAGCTAAAACTAATGGATTTACCGCTTATGTTGGATCAAAGACATTTGCTGAACGTGAAGCATGGAAATTTATTGAAACTGAATCACCAAATTTCACTCTTACTTCTATAAATCCATTATACGTTTTAGGACCTCAAATTGATCCAACCAAGACTAAAGATTTAAATTTATCAGCTCAAATTGTGGGTAATGTACTTAATTTGAAACCTGATGAACCAATTCCAGTTTTTGGAGGGGCAATGATTGATGTTAGAGATGTTGCTAAAGCTCATATTTTAGCATTTGAAAAGGATGAAGCTCAAGGAAAAAGATTTGTTCTTGCGGAAGCATATTTCACTAATCAAACATTACTTGATATTATTAGAAAGGAATTTCCTGAATTACATGATGTTTTACCAGTGGGTGTTCCTCATGATTATGATTTTTCAAATAGAGCTGCAGCTGATGATAAGAATGCTAGATCGATTTTGAAAATTGATTATATTTCTCTTGAAACATCAGTTAAGGATTCAATTAGACAAATTTTAGATAATTAAATAGCCCTAAAATAACTTTTAAATATACAAGAACGCTATGGTCTGGATATCGTACTTCAATAGTAAACCTCATATTATATAATTTCTCTATCAACCCCATTCTTTAAATACTTTATTGATGAAAAACAAATATATACTGATAAGTTGCGAAATTTTTCAAATTTTTCAAACCAATTTACGAACTTTTTCACATGATGAAACTATGATGTGAAAAAGCCGTTTGAATCAAAGGATATAAATAAAATATCAATGATCAGAGGCACAGTAATATATTTCAGATATAACATGAATAAAACCGAGTTCCCATACCCTAATCAAATAAATGACTGTCTATTTATATATGACAAGGCAGTGCTTTCTTTGTCTTCTCTCAATCTTCTCTCTCGCAAAATTTAACCGCTTACATAATCGACAAAAAATTTAAAAATATCTCGAGATTTTCAGACTTGATGTCAATTGATAAATTACGAGTTAATCAAAATAGATTTTAAAAGTGATTGTAGACCTAGGATCATGATTCTATAGAAGCAATCGGTTAATCATGATAGAATCGGCTAACATCAAAAAAATAAATGAAGTAAAATAATAATAATAATAATAATAATGATAATAAATCAATTGGTCTATCATTGTAGGAGAGAAGAGAAGAGAAACATGGGTAAGAGATTTGGATCGATTGATTATTTTTAAACCTTGAAATCAGGCAAGTACGTACGTACATACGTTTCCATGCTGCCAGTAGGTCTTGTCTCTTATCGGATTAATCATAATTGAGGCTGGTTAAATATGACTTAATGACTGATTTAGCTTGAAGGTTTTAAAGAAGCATAGAATGTTCTTCGATATAGTCATAGCAAAACTTGGGATAAAGTACACGACTCAATAAAAAAAAGAAAGTTTGCTTTTTTAGAAAATTATATAATCGCTTACATAATCGTTAGAAATTGATATTAAAAGAAAAAGGAAAGTTTACAATAATAGAGACAAAGGGGAGGAGGAGGAGGAGTAGGAGCACAAAAAAAGGGCAGCAGATCCATTCAGCCTTGTTTCTTAAACTTGAATTAAATTGAATTGAATTGAATAAGGCGTCTTTGAATAATGTAGGAATGATGATTATGATTATGATTATTGATAATTGATTGATAATTGATTGATAATTGATTTACGCGGCTCAGTTGTTAATGAAGGTCTAAGATTAAGTTTAAACCTTATTGGGAACTTATACCGTAAATAGAATTGTAATTGTATAAGAGCAAGGGTGAATAGATTGAAAAACAAGTTAGTTGAAGTACGGATTGGACTTGTCCAGATGACATAAAAAAATGTGTCATCCAGGTCAAGTCAGTAAGGGATATATTATTATAGAACCTTATTATTTTATTGAGATACGGAAATATGTGTTGTTGTATAGTTAACTTAAAGTGTGTAACCTTTAACGAGATTAAAAAGATCTGATATAGTTATAATTGGAAAAAAGGAAAGAGGAGAAGATTAACCGTTATAAGTCTTGTTCTACCACATTCACACATACCCATCCTTAAATAAATCTTAATTAGGCTTAGAATTTGACCTTATTGGTTGCTATTGACGTGTTAACCTTTTTCAAGGGGAGACAAATAATGGATATGAACCATGGAAGAATCACTTCCATAACTCAATCCAATATACGGTGGGTGGAAGTATATGTTAGATAGATAGTATTATCATACATATCGTATGATACCATTCCCAATAGACAGACAGACAGACAGACATGACAATTACAATTCCATGAATCTAACCTAATTGAATTGATTACTCCTTAAACAACAACAATTTAAACTTTAAAATCGATCATCTATTTTAATGGTTACAATGTAGAAATAAGGGCTATCTCTGTTAAGTTGAGTTTAACATTGACTTTGACTCTGCCACGCCGTATATCGTTCTCAGGCTTCTTTTGCTTTGTTCTGTTCTGTTCTGAGACAAAAATTCATTAAATTTGGCGCTTATGTAATCGCATATTTTTTAATAAAACATTTAAACTGTAAATTTTGGTAAACTGTAACTCAAATCAAAAATTATTTTTTTTGGTTTGTATTGTGCAGCCACTTCATTCTGCAAATTTCGATAGCCAAATCAGTTTAACCTGTCTCCTCAAAATTGTTTTCTATAAATACAATTGAACATCCCTGTAATTTTAATTCTTGTAAAACTTATTTATTTCTCTTCCTTCTTTAATTACTTCTTTAATTACCTACTCAATTCACTCAAACACCCACTCGCACATCACAATGTCAGGTCAATCAGTTAATCTTTCCGAGTTACCTTATTCTGAACAATGGAAAATCGTTGGTTATGTCCAAATCGCTTGGTTTGCTATTGTATTAGCTGCTGCCATTGCTTCTTATTTCAAAAGTTTCAGTATCGTTAAAAATCATTTTAAAGGTTTCGCTGTTTCTTTCACTATTTTCTCCACCTTTAAATTAGTAGGTGGAATTACTTCAACTATATTATTTAAAGGTTCTACTTTTAATTCTGGGGTTTATATCGCTACTTATATCTTTGATTCGATTTCATTAGGGGCTTTATTAAGATCGTTATTCCCTTTTATTCAAGTTATGCTTGATAATGGTTTTGAAAATCAAACTCCTCCATCTTATGTTGATAAAGATGGTTTATTATCTGGTACCGTTAATAATGTTAATCAAAGAGGTGGTTTAATAAGTGGTTTACTTACTAAAACTGATAAAAATGGAAAACCTCAAAATCCTGTATTTAGAGTTTTATTCCTTGTGGTATTGGCTGCTATTATTATTTCTATTATTGGTTCTTCTAAAATTAGTTTCACCACTCCAAGTTCAGAAGCAAATAGTTTATTAAGAGTTTCATCAATATTATTCATTGCTGCTATTGTATTATTATCTATCCTTCTTGGTTATATCTTTTTCACCAGAACTGAATACGCAAGATTTGCTGCTATAATCGCCTTGGCTATTCCATTTGTATTCATTAGATGTCTTTATTCGGTATTATCTTCATTCCATGGTGTAAGTTATACTTCTCCTTATCTTTTAGTATTTGGAGATTATAAATATTATGCATTCATGGCTTTAATGTGTGAAGGGATTGCTTCAATTATTTATTTACTCAGTTTAAATATTTTCATTAATCATTATAAATCATTAGGTTTATAAGGAGGTTAATCAATCCATCCTTTTCTTCTCATTCTTTCCCCCCACTGTTTGCATTGAAATAATTCTCTATATAACTCCCATTTCTTGTTTCCTTTTTTTATTGCTTTTACTTTTTACTTGTGCTTTACATAGACTAATAATATAGAGAATTAAATAAAAAAAATCTTGTTAATAATAATAATAATAATAATCTTTTACTTTTATTCAATATAATATATGTACACACAACTCTATTTATCTAACGCTTTCCACCCATTCTTCTTGACATTTCAGGTAATTTAAATGGAACTTTCAAAGATGCAATCTTATAAGTACTAGCAGCACTCTTGGCAATTCCAAATGCTTCAGCTTGACCAACAGTAGCTGATTTTATAATAGCTCCTAAAGCTTTAAATAATCCTAATAATCTCGTAGGTTTCATATTTAATTCATTTGCTAATGGTGGGATTTCAACCATGAAATTATCAATATGGAAAATTATCGCTAAAAGATAACATAATAATTTATCTTCATGATGAGGATCAATTAAATAAGATCTATCTTTAGATTTACCTACTGCTGATGATCTGGCAATAGTGAATCGTTCTAAAATCCCATCAATAAGAATTTCAGATGGTTTGTTTTGTAATTTTAACATTAACGATTGTTTATCTTTGATTCTTCTATTTTCATAAACTCCAAATAATAATGAAGCATAGAATAATAATTGTAATTTTTCAGTATTCTTTTGAGCAAGAATATTAGTTAAATGTTTATTAATATAATTTGAATTCGAATATGGTAATAATTCAATGGTTTTACTTTCATCACTTTCATTAAATAATGATGAAACTCTAAGGAATGACCATTCTTTCTTGGGTATTATATCATATAATCCATAAATATCTTCCACATTAGTAGCATCAACATTAGCCACTGGGGTTGGTCTATCATGAGTAACCATTTCTTCCATCTTAGCTCTAGTAGGTAAATCTTGAGTTGAAACTTTAACAGTATCAATAATATCTAATTCAATATCTTGTAATTTTTCAGAATCAATTCTATTTCTTTCTAAATTAGTAATAGCAGCCTTGGCTTTCTTAGTACCGAATGCTTCACCCAAGGCATTACGTTGAGTGATATTACGAACACCAGCTTGTCTAACGGATGGACCCTTGTATATACGTTTACTCTTAGCTTGAACTTTCCCCTGGATGAAAGGGGATTTATATAAATCTAATGATTTCTTAATAGGATCATATAAAGCCAAGACATAATCATTGGTTTCTTCAGGATTGGTCTCTCCATCATAATTCAAATGATCATTCTCACCATGAATGACATATTTATCACTTCTTTTCTTATGATGATATAAATCAAATTCAGTGGTATGTGGAACTTGTAAACCTTGAAAAAATGATCCTACAACAGCCACTGGTTCTTCAGTGAATGATGTCACTTTCAACTCTGTGGTATGTGATTTGGATGAGATGGTGGATGGTTCCTCTTCTCTTGATCTTTTGACTCCCCCTTTAGCCATCGTCGTTGGTTGGTGTATACTTTCGATCTATAATTGAATTGAATTAAATCTTGAAATGCTCATCTTAATTTTTTTATTTTTTTTTTTGATATATTCAATTTTTTTTTGCAACGCTGCACTAAAAAACATCAACAGCCTTTAACTACAATATCAACCATCAAAGATATCCATTCATCATCCCTAATGACATGTCATATATCGATGATAACGATATCAAAAAATCATACTATGATATCCTAGAAATATCCCCCTCATCAACAGATTCGGAAATCAAAATAGCATACCGTGAAAAACTCCTCTCTACCCATCCAGATAAACAATCCAATCCTACTTCCACAACCACTTCTTCTTCTTCTTCTGAAATTGAGGTGATTAAAGATGCATATAGAACATTGATAGACCCCATACTAAGGAAAACATACGATGAATCATTATTAAAGTCCATCCAGAGACAAGGATTCAACGTCACGGGCGAAGGCTTGGATATCTACGATTTAAATGATTTCGATATGAATGAACAATCAGATGACAGTTTGATTTGGTATAAAGATTGTCCAAGATGTCATTCCTTAAAAAGTATATGTTTGACTGAAACTGATTTAGAAGAACATGGTACTGAAGATGGTATTGGTGGTTACAATATAATCGTTCAATGTTCAAGTTGCAGTCTTTGGATAAAAGTTACTTACGAAGAATCTATCGACGAAGATGATTAGATACTTATATATATTGTACATTAGACTTGTTAATAATAATAATAATAATTAAATAATTAATGTTACTATCGTAGCTAATAAAACTCCTAACAATGTACTAACTGATTGTCCATTAGCTCCATCAATTATACTAGTCCAAGTTCTATTCCTAGTATAATTATCATCAGTAGAATTCAGAGTATCATTATCAGAACAATTACCATACTCATATATTATAAATTTAGGAGGTATAACTACTTCCTTTGCTTTTTCATCGTCCTCTTCTTCTGGTGAATTAAAAAAATTTAAGACTTTTGAAAATGAAAATACTTTACTAACATCTTCAAGTCTTTGCAGTGTCATATTAAAATTAGTTACTAATTGATCAGTACTAACAAATTTCTTAACATTAGTCTTAAAATTATCAACGGCATTAATTTTAGATTGAGCAAAATCAGCACCATTCTTAATTTTATCTTTAATAATCTCTTTAGCTTGAGGATCAGTTGTAAGAGTTTTAACAAAATTTTTAGGTCCAGAATCTAAAACAAGATTATAAAGGGTATACCATTTACTCATTTCTGTAATATTGGCATTATCAGTAGCTTTAGATAATCCTTTATATAATATATCATTTACACCTGAAACCATTTTCGTAAAACCTTTTGAATTCAATACTGTATCTGTAGCATTCTTAAAAACATTAATAATCTTTTGTTCATCCGGTTTTTTAATTTTAATTTCCAATGTACTATTAGCTTTACTAGTATTATTAAGTATAATAACTTGATGATGAAGTCTTCTTGCTTTTCTTGATCTATTAGCTGGTGGATTGGCCATTCCATGAAGTCTATAAAATTCAAAATCAAAATCATCATAGAATCCTTCATAATCATCAAATGATCCAATATCAGTATCTTCATCAGTATCATCGGTATCATCATTATCATGATGATCATCTTCATTAGCTTCAACTTCATCATCACTTTCTGTTTGAGCTTCTGCTTGACCATAATCATCATCGTCATCATCATCATCATCATTTTCACCTTCCACAAATACATCTTCATCAGATGATTCATTTTCCGCTATCATATCTTGTTCTGGTTCTGGTTCATGATCTGAATCGGATACAACATCATCTTCAAAATTATTTTCATAAGCGCCATCTTTAGATACATCATAATTATACTCATCTTCCATGGAATCACCTCTGAAATAATTTATAATACTTCTAAATGAGAATAAATTACCGCTTCTACCTCTAACTTCATCATCATCAGACAGCAGATATCCTGAATCACTATCGGTACAATTTGAAATGGAATATTGAGATACATATTTTCGAGTACTGGCGGCACTTATCTTCTTGGGATTATTCAAAAGTAGAAACCAATAAGCAATGATTATAATTGATTCTGATTTCATAGTTTATGATTTTAAGTTGGATATAAAAGTTATGGCTTTGAATTGATTGCAAAACTAGAAAGTGTAGACCTTTTTTGGGAGTATATAATTTCCCAACACCAATTTTATTGTGCGAAGGCTATCCATCTGTAGATGTAGTTCCACCAAATGATATGATGATTCATAAACCACCAGTAATTGTAGTTCCTTATAAGTGAATATTGAGTTGATTGAAAACTAAACTGATCAAAAGATCTATTCAATTGATCTCAAAAGTACATACCAAAAGTAAAGCAATGGAAATGAACATTTCTAACTATAAGTAGTATTCTTCACTTTACTTTCTAATTCTTTTGACCATTGATCCAACTCTTTAGTAATTGTTTCTATCTTACATACTTTCTTTTCAATTTCATTTAAAATACCTGAATATGCTGCAAATTCCTTTTCTATAAAGCAAAGTTAGTCAAATCTATCTCTAAATAATCCAAAGGACACTCATATACATACCCAAGCTTTCTAATCGCTTAGAACTCTTTTCAATGGTCCCAAGATTCTTCTCTAATTTGATATAATTTAATGATTGATTGGTATTAAGATTCTCCAATAAATTTAAATCAATAACTGCCACTTCTGTATCTGATTCAATCAACTTTGAAGTTGATTTAAGACCATGATTGATTAATTTAGGAGTTTCATTCAGCACTGACATACTACAATACTGATTCTTTTGATCAATTCAATCACAATTGGGCCGATATTGAAGAAGAAGTTGAAGTGTTGGTGTGTGCTGTAAATATGTTTTGGAGGTCAAATTTTATTTTCTCTCTGTACGCACTGACACCAAATTGCTTTACACTAGTTACCAGCACCAAGTTAAAGAATGAATGCTATTCTATATTAAATACATGACTTTATATATATACAAGAGTGGTAAATTGACCTATTTACGTCCACTATACAACTTATAGATTGGATCAGTTTTACTAGTTTGTAAGTTTGCCCATTTTTTAGTTGGAGTGGCATTCAACTTTTCCACATAATTGACCGATTCTGGCTTTTCTATTAAATGTGTCATACTAACTCTTACTTTTGTTCCTGGAGTTATTACTTCGAATAATCCTGGTAATTTATCAGCAGCTTTTCTTAATGCTTCTCTAGCAACTTTATCATGAATATCACCTCTGATTTCAAATAAAACCTTACCGGTAGGGAAACGACAAGCCCAATGATCAAAGGCTCCCTTACCTTTACCCATTCTTGTTTGATTACCTTTGACACAGACTGCGGTATTACATGTGAATCTTGTAAGTAATTGTGAACGAGTTGGTCTAAGTTCTCTCTTTAATACTTTATCAGCTGCAAGTAATTGATTAGCTGCCATTCTGATCCCCTTTGATTTCAATCTTAAACCAAGTTTACCGAATTCTAGACTATTACCTTTAACAGAACCTCCAGTTCTGACACTGACTCTACCTTTCATGGTTTTTCTAACGGCTTTATATCTTGGAGCATATTCATGTTTCAATCTCATAAAGATTGTATTGGAAATTGTGAGATTGGAATTGGTTAAAGAACCAACTGATGGAAAGATCAGAGGTCTAGCACCTAGAGACAACCCTGAGAATAAAGATCTCGACAATCCAAACATTGCTTCTATGGTGTTATCAATCCTTTTGCTGTTTAAATCAAACCTGTTCCAATAAGACGGTTAAATAAATTTTCATCAAAAATTATCAATTTTGAGTCAAACACGCATTTTTCAAAAATTTTGGTACAAACATCCTGACCGCAATAATTAGTGCTTCTATTTTGTATACAATATATATAGACTATTTACATGATTTTAATATAATTGTTTCTAACGTATTTCAACATCAAAGAATTTCTTTAAATCTTCTTCGACTCTACTATGTAATTCATTAATATGAACATTAGTTAAATTTCTATCCATAGATTGATAATTTAAACGATAAGTTTGTGATTTCTTACCAGTTTTTGGATGAATGAATTCATCAATATTGACCACACTTTCAGTTAAATCACCAGCATGAGATCTAACCACTTCCATAACTTCATTGTCATGAAGTGAGACTCCTTTAGGTAACCAGAATGAAATATCTCTCTTAATACCTGGATATTTAGAATATGGAACAAATGTACTGATATGGCCATTAGTGAATTGTTTACTGAATCTCTCATCTAAAGACCAGAATAATCTAATATCTGGAATTCCGAATAATAACATGGCAATTCTATCAAGACCAATTCCAAAGGCCCAACCAAGTTTATCTTCTCCTAAACCAGCATTCAATAAAACTTGTTGTCTTACTAAACCAGAACCACAACATTCTAACCATTCACCTTTCCACCATACTTCAATTTCCCAAGATGGTGCCGTCCAGGGGAAATAAGCTTCTACCCATCTGATTTTTAATGGTTCATTTAAATAAGGCTCCGTAGATCCTGCTAATTTAGCAGATTTACGAGCAGCTTCAAATACTTGATTAACAAGGTATTCAACAGTTTTCTTTAAATGAGTACTAACCAATTGAACTTCTTTATCAGTCATATAATCTTGTTTAGGATTTTCAGCACTAAAGCAATTTTCTCTGAATGGATCTTCAACAATAATATTTGTCTTTGGAATATCTTCAATATCCTTAGCTATGATTTCTTCAAGGTTTCCACTATTTTTAGACCATAATCTAGCTCCTTCCATTTGATGGAATGCAGGATAATGAGTACGATCGATTTCATCTTTACGATAAACATCAGCTGAAATAATATACCCTGGAGTTTTACATTCTCGGAAACATTCATGTTCATGAGCTGAAGTATGGGTTCTTAATAAGTTATCTTTATTAATATAATAAGTATCAGATCTTGATCTTCCCACATGATCTTGAGGAAATCCTAATACATCGAAATTTTGATATGTAGTAACACCAGGTTTGAAATCATTATAGAAAGTATATCCCATTCCTTTCATATTTTGTTCAACCAAATCACGTAATATACCAATAGGATGATCTGGATTCTGATGTAATCTTCGTTGAGTTAAGTCCAAGATATATGATGGTACATTTGTCCATTCATCAGTTTTGTAGGTCTTTCCATCAAGTGATATTTCATCAGGATAAGTTTGTCCATTTTGAGTGATTGACCTTATAGTTTGAACCCTAAGGAATTGACTGAAACGAGGTACTACCACCCTCAGTCTTGCAATCATAACTTGCTTCAACATGTTTGTTTTATGGACTCTCTCAGATCTAAGTTTATCCAAATGGTTTGATTTTGGGTTATACTGAAAAATTTCCCCAAAAAATTGACTGCATACAAAATACATCCAAAATTAAACGTGCATTGTCTATAATCTATCTACAAGAACTCTATTTACCATACTTCTTCTTTATACCTACCTTGATCTTCCATGTCTATTATATACTTCTGGGCTGTATTTTCAGGTATACCTTTATACTTTGTTAAAATCTCACTGAATGTAACTTTTACTTCTTTTGGCATTTTACCGCTGGAGCCACAAACAAAAATAATGGCATTCTTATTTAAGATCAAATCTCCTAAAAGCTCATATTCTTGGAATAATTTATCTTGAACATACTTTGATTTCGTACCTTCATCTCTTGAAAAACTGGGAAATAAATGTAATTTGTTTTGATTTTGTAATTGAGTCCATAATTCACCAAAGAGATAATCTTTTTCTTTAAATCTGAACCCAGTGAATAAATACAACTCTCTTGAATCTTGGCTTTGAACTGAGCTTTCAATTAATGATTTCATTGGAGCTATTCCTGTTCCTGGTCCAACCATGATCAACGGTGGAGTTTCAATACCAGGTAATAAGAATTTTAAATTACTGTTTTGAACCGAAAAGATTATTTCATCACCTTCTTGAAGTTGTTTCAACCATTTTGAACATAATCCACGTCTTATTCTTCTTATAATGGTTCTATATTCCACAATAGCCACTGCGATTTCAACACTAGTAGCACTTGGTTTCGATGCGATCAGAAAGTATCTTGGTTGAATTAATGGTATTAAATCAAAAATGTATTCCACTGGAATTCGCAAATTTTGTTGGAATTCAAGAATAGTCTCTAAGATCAGACGTCTTGGTCTATTAGCATAATCAAAAAGTAGTTCACTTTCTTCAAATGTACTGAATTCTCTTAATTTTTCTTTTTCTCGTTGACCATCTTCAGTCAGTTCATCACAAAAGTGCCATAATTTATAAAAGAATGATCTTCTAGGCACAGAAACGATATCAAGATGATGAATTAAAAGACTCCTTAACGTAAGACTGTCACTTTTTATATATCCACCATCAAGAGCAGGAAGATTACCTTTAATGTTGATAGCTGTATCTGCCACTTTCATCCAATGAGGTTGCAGTTGTAATAATAAATCAACACTTTGAGGATCATTAGCAGGATATAAGGCAATAGTATCTCCAGAAACGTATTTCAAATCTTCAGATTCAATGGTTACATGTCTGACATCTTGGAAATGATCAGTAGCAGTGATTCTTTTATTTTGCTTTATTTTACCAATTTTTAAATTTGGATCCGATTCTAGTCTTGTTAATGATAACTTTTCTGATTGATCATCTGAAACTATTGAATCTTCGACTATTTCAATGGCATTTTGAGGAGGTAGTATAATTTCAGGGTCAATTTCGACAAATGTGGGTATATGAGCATTCAATGATTTAAGTAATTGTTGTTCCCATTCTTGATAATAACCATCCACCCCTTCTGGTGATATTTCATCAGCCTCACATCTGGGAGATAATTCTTCACATCCTAACTGTAATAGTCTTGTATGTAATTTCCTCGAAGCATAGTTGAACTTGGAGTATGAAGAATCACCAACTCCAAACGTAGTCAATTTTATATGGTTTAACAAGTCAGATGGTAACTTTTTCTTAAGGAGGAACTTCATGAACTTCTTGGCATTTCTAGGTAAAGCCCCTTGACCCGTGGTAGAACATATTATGATCAAATATCGAGTATGGGTGGCTAGTTTCTTTATAGGATAATCATCTAAAGTAGATAAGGTTGGATTAATCAGGAAGTATTGGAGTCTTAATGAAAGAAATCTGGCATAATCTTCTGCATTACCAGTCTCTGATCCATATAGTATAGTGACTTCACTATTATCTGAATCATATTTAAGCATCTTTACGATGTACTTCTCTAACTCTATTCACTACTAGTTATAATTATCAATTTGATATTTGAAGAAAAATCTGATCGCGTTAAACTAAGCACCAAAATTTTTGTTCAGAGACAACAACGAAAAATCAAAAAATGAAAACAATATCAAAACCCAAAACTCACTCAGAGATCAATCACTGATAGAGATAAACATATATCATCAACAGAATGCCACCAAAAAGAAGAGGACTGTCAGCTTCGACACCTGTGAAGAAACAGAAGGCTGGTCCACCATCTCCTGAAGAATTCAGACAATTCTATTTATCCACTGTTAGTTTGGTTCTCAACATTAGAGATGAATCTTCAGATGATCAATTAGCATTCCCATTCATCAAATTGCCATCAAGAAAGTTGTACCCTGATTACTATGAATTGATTGAACAACCGTTGTGTATAACTGATATCCAAAAGAAAGCTTCAAAGGGGAAGTATTCTGACACTTCAGCTGATGAATTCTTAGCTGATTTCCAATTATTATTAGATAATGCAACCAAATACAACGATCCAGAATCATGGATTGTGACAAGTGCAGAGAAGATCTTTGAATTTGTTAGTGATCAAGTTAAAGAATTTGATGTTGCTAGACCAATAGCATCATCTAGTAGTGGCAAATCCCTTAAATTGAAACTTAAGGAACCAGAAGCTCCAAAACCATCAGGAGTTAGTTTCAGTAGTTTACCTGAACTTTGTTTAGAAGTGCTTAATTCAGTTATCAACCATGAATTCCCCGATGAAGGTATCTTAAGTACTCCATTCATGGATGATGTTGATGTTGATGAATATCCAGATTATCTCAATTACGTTACTACTCCAACTTCATTTAATTCAGTCATTGAACAAATAAATGGTAAGAAATTATTTTCCTCTAAATTATCAATTTTAGAAAATTTGGAAAAGTTTTATGAAGCAACCGATTTGATTTTTAGCAATGCTGATGCATATAATGATCCATCATCAGAAATTTATCAAGATGCTCAAAAATTAAAGGAAAATTTCATTGAGAAGTATGAAATACTAAAACTGTATGTTTCAGAACCTGAATCGAAAGGAGCCACCAAGTTGAAATTGAAATTAAATGCTAAACCAAAACTTAAGATTAAACTTCCACAAGCTGCTGTAGAAGAAGAAGAACCAAAGAAAAAGGGTAGAAAGAAGAAGGTGGTAAAGCCTGCAGTCAAACAAGAGGAAGAAGAAGACGCAGAAGAGGAAGAAGAACAAGAAGAAGAACCAGAAGCTGAGAAGGATGTCAAGGAAGAGGCAGAACCTGCGGATAAGAAAGATGTTAAATCAAAATCAGCAGTGACAGAAAAAACTGTTGCTAATACTTTAGGTAAATCACTTCCTACTTTATCTGCCAGTGAATGTATAATTCAAGAAAGTAGTATACTATCATCACCTTCGGTGGCAGGTAACTTACCTCAACATGTTCAACAAAAATATAATCAATTGAATATACCATTACTGAGACAACAAGATCTCAAGAAGGCGTTATTCCCTACTCATCCTGTCTTCAATACCGCATCTGTTATTGAATATAAAGTACCCAGTAATGGATACAGCTCACAATCATATTCATTTGCACTTGCTCCTGAAATACTGCCTTATATTTCTTTCAAAGTGGCATTACATAAAATTCTATACGATATAAAAAGTGATGATTTGGTTAACGGCCACGGGTACTTAAATCTGACTTCAGATGAAGATTTCCAATGTAAATTGTACGTGAATGATGAAGAAGTATCCAATGGAGGTGATTGTTTCGAAGAGAAGAGAGACAAACAAGAATTACTTGGACTTAAATACGATTTGAAATTAAATTACGGTTTGAATGTGATAAATTTCGAATGTAAAGTATCTCCAAGCTTAAGTAAAAAGATAAAGAAAGCCACTGTCCTTGATGTTGCTGAAGAAGCAAGTGGTAGACATACTAGACATCAACTTCAACAACTTAAGATGACTTGGGATGTTGAAACGATTAGCTTCTTTGTCATATGTAACGCTGTATAATAAGTCCCGTGTATAACTATGTATCTAATAAATAAATGAATACAATTTTTTTAATCTATGTACAATATTGATTTTACTTTCCAATACAAAAGCTAGAGAAAACAACTCCTAATATTTCTTCAATACCAACTGAATCTCCAGTTATTTTACCAATACCTTCAACTGATTGCTTCAAACTTTCTGAAGCGAGAACAACATCCTCTTGGTCCCTCCAATAATGAAATTGTTCAAATCCATTAAGAACATCCTTTTCCAAAATATCTTGAGCTCTTGATGATATAACAATAGGATCAGCGGAATCTGAAAGACTCAACATTTTGAATAAGTTGATAAGTTCATTGTTCAATTCCGGAATTCCATTCCCTGTAGAACATGATACTAATTGGAAATTTTCAACTGGTATATCGAGCATTTCAGAATGAGCCCTGATCAATTCTTCTTTCGATAAGGTTGGATCTCGAAGATCCTCCTTATTTAAAACTACAATTATAGTTTTATTGAGTTCCTTCAACTTATTAATATGTTTCACTAGATCAGATTCATCTTTTTCAAATAAGTTGACTGGTCTTACAATCACCACAATATCACTTGATAATGAATAATCTTTGGCTCTCCTTATACCTTCTTCTTCAATAACATCTGTAGCAGTTGACATGGCTCGTATTCCGGCTGTATCTCCCACAATTACTTTATATCCACTTATGTCAATAGGCACATCTATAATATCTCTTGTTGTACCTGCAATTTCACTCACAATGGCTGCATCTTTATTAGCCAATATATTAAGTAATGATGACTTTCCTGCATTAGGTGGACCTATTAATCCAAGTCGAATACCCTTTAATAAGATCTCAGAAGATTTAACTTTTCGTAAATAATCTTGGACTTCTGTTTGTAACTTGTCGATGTTTTCTGATACAGTTGAGAATAATTGTTCAACTTCTTCAATATCATGATCTTCTCCAAAGTCAATTAAAGTAGTAAGTAAAGCCACATTATTAACAATGTCTTCTCTCCATTTAAGAAAATGCAGTCTATTTTGACCTGTAAGAGAAGATAAAGATGCTATTCTTTGTGATTCAGTCTCAGCATCAATCATATCTCGTATACCTTCTATTTCAGTAAGATCAAATCGACCATTTATAAAAGCCCGTTTAGAGAATTCACCATTCTCGGCATATCGTATATGGATATCATTATTGACATCATGGAGATTTCCAATAGCTTTAAGCACTGATTTAATAATTGCTGTTCCTCCATGTAAGTGTAGCTCTAACAAATCTTCACCAGTATATGTTCTTGGAGACTTGAAAAAGATAGTAAGAGCTTCATCCAACAGTACATTCGTGTCAGGGGAATATAATTTGCGAACACTAGTTAGCTTTGCTTTAGGATCTTTGGTAGATTTGGTAAGTTGTTTGTAAATATATGATGATTGTGAACCTGTTATTCTTATCACTCCAATGGCGGACTTGGCGTATTTTGTGGATAAAGCATATATTGTAGGTGGATGAGATGTTTCAATGCTTATGAATGCCCGTGATATGATACTCCGACAACCATTATTCCTTAGTATCAATCGTGACGGTGACCTCCACATCAGGTTTGTTTTTAGTTTGAATCAAACAATAGTTTAACTGAAAAAAAAAGTTACAAAAAAATTTACAGTCAATTTGTTCTAAACCATTGAATAAAAGCATTGCTTCACACATATTCAGCATGCTATCAAAAGTGAGGTTGCTGAGAGCAATTGCATACACTAGAGTATCTTCATTCCACTCTTGTGCTTACCTTAAACACGAAAACCCTCTTGGTTTACCTAAAGTAGGTAAGGATGGGGATAACTTCATACCTCGTATGAGCAGAGGATTACCAATCAAACAAAGAATACCAGGAGTAGACAAGATACTATTGGTGGCATCAGGTAAAGGAGGTGTAGGTAAGTCCACTGTGTCTGTAAATTTAGCTGCATCATTGAATACATTGGGTAAAAGAGTAGGATTATTGGATGCAGATATATTTGGTCCTTCAGTGCCTAAATTATTAAATTTATCAGGAGAACCAAGATTAAATTCCCAAGGTAAACTTTTACCTCTTGAGAATTATGGAATTGAATCCATGTCAATGGGTTATTTAGTATCTCCTGAGAACCCTGTGGTTTGGAGAGGGTTAATGGTAATGAAAGCCTTACAACAACTATTATTTGAAGTTCAATGGTCAAATATAGATTATTTAATCATAGATATGCCTCCTGGTACAGGTGATACTCAATTAACTATAAGTCAACAATTAGTTGTTGATGGAGCTGTGATAGTTAGTACTCCTCAAGATATTGCGTTAATTGACGCCGTTAAAGGAATTGCCATGTTTGAAAAAGTTAATATCCCAATCTTAGGATTAGTTCAGAATATGAGTTTCTTCTGTTGTCCAAATTGTGGTCATGAATCTCATATATTTGGATCAGATGGGGTATTAAAAGAAGCCAAAAGAAAGAATTTTACAGTGTTAGGATCCATTCCACTTAATGAAGATATTTGTATACAATCAGATATTGGTAAACCTATAGTATTAGCAAAGCCAGATTCACCAGCTTCAATCTCGTATTTGGATATTGCAAAGAAAATAATATCAGATGTTGAAAAGGTCTAGATTTTCAAACCGAATTAATTTCGCAACATTATACAAGTTTTTTTGAAAGACTTCTGGCAAAAAATATAATCTATCACTTTTATTTATGATTTTGCAAGATTTGCAATTCATGGAGAGAATATAATTATAGTCAGTTACTATGAAGATAGAGGGTCATTATCAATATATATCAATGAAATTCATATGGCGGTTATTGATATGTCTGAATTTACTTTATTTAAAAATAGCCGCCGAAAGTATCAATATTCCAACCTCCAATCAAGTTTCAATCGTGGAAGGAAATCAATCTCAAAATGGTATTCAAGACAATTTGGAAAGATTAAGAGATCATCTAAATATTTTAAAATACGTTTTGCCGTTACGTGGAAATGCCACTAAAATTGAGGAATTAAAACATTTGATGGAAGATCGTGGAGTTAATAATAATAATACGGCATCAGCCAATTGGGACAATCATTTATTTAATAATAGGACCAAACCATTGAGATCTCCACTTTTCATTCAAAATCCATCGTTATTACAGATTGATTCTCACATTCCATTCATTCGTGTTTCAACTGATATCCAATCACTTTTTTTGAATTCCACTTCAACGTCAACAGCATCATCTTCTACATCATCCACCACTGAAGGTACTTCTTCACAGATATCATCAAGTTCAAATATGACTATAGAGACATTTACAACTAGTTTAGATATGGAACCATCCAATAGTCAAGAATTAGTCAACAACACTAGGATATTAAATAAAGTTACAGAGACAGAGACAATTACACATTATATTACAATGACCACTCAAGAGGTCTTAGCAACAATTGAATCGACTGAATTTATAACTACATCTGTACAGATTAAAACACCTACCAGTGGTATTGATGAGGCAACAGAGACAGATGAATCTAGTGTTTTAATAAATACTACAAGTTCAAGAGATGTAGAATTTGAAAGACTTGAGGTATTAATTCATGAACTTAGGAAAGAGATTTTGGATCAAAAGACTGCTTCTACTCAACTGGAATATATTACAACTAGTTCTTTTAGTTTAAGTCCCACTGAAGTTCATACTACAAGTTCAACTATGGGGATTCCCACTACATCTGAATCTACCTTGACTAGTACTACTGAATTTGTCTTGACCACATCAACTGACACATTAATAGTTCCATACTCTACTACAAGCACAACTTTGATAAGTGTTGAATCAATTCAAGTTCATAATAATTTGGAAAATATTCAAGGAAAATCAGGTAAAGATTTATTAAATATGAAATCTCCTTCTTATAAGGTTGATATTGCTCCTCAATTTCAATATCATGAAATGTCATCTAATCAATTACCACCATCAGTGCCATATTCTAAACCTAAGATTCCATTTCATATCCAACCTGTTCCAGCAAAGGAAGTTTCTGTCGAAGCAACTTATGATTATACAACGTTAAGCTCAACAGAAATTGTCCCGGATTTGATATCAACAAGTATAGAACCTACAACTACTACTATTATTATTTCCACGACTCCAACATTTTCTGGTGAAGTAGAGCAACTGGGATCAACTATTAATGTTGAGAACATAGCACAATTACCTTCAGAAGATTTAGATAGTTATCTCACCAGAATTTATCCAATATTAAAACAAGTTATGGAAAAAAAAGAGGAAAATAATAATGTTGATGAGACTGATATTGTCGAAGACATGACATCAGGGGATTTCGGTGATATTGATTATATAGATTTAGATGATGTTGATTTTGGTAATAGTTCATTTTCATTAGATGAAGAGATTAAAGAGATTAAGAAATTACCTCATAATGAACCATATAAGATATATCATGTTCCTAAAGAAATGCAACATGAAGTGATAAACAATGCATTCAAGACATTTACAGATCCAGACGATATTACTACATCCTATGAAAGAGGGAGTAGAAAGGATAAATTACTTGATTCTGATTATAAATCAAGTCCTAATAAGTCAACATTTAGGAATAAAAATAGTTATCAATCCAAAATTAATTTTGATGTATTTGGAGATGTTAAAGAAAATGGAGGATCTAATTTCATATTATTTTCGATGCCTTCATATACAGCTATTCTAACCATTATAGCCATAACTATATGTTGGATATAGATTAAATAGTTAAATATATTAACCACGTATATAAGAGTTGCAAAACTATTGATTGGATGATTTTGATTTGATCATATTCATCGTCTTGTGCGGCGCCACCTGCATATACCGACAGGATCACAAAATCGGGAATTCAAATTTTTTGTCTGCTTTAATTTAAATTTATTGTTGTTGTTATTTGATAGAACTGGTTTGATTATTGCTTTAGTTTAATTTACACTGGTTCAACAACAACGTTACAGATAACAGTGTAAGGTATATATAGTGGTTAACATTGATATAACACTTCAGAAATATCATGACTCGGTCTGTTCCAGGTACTCCTGTGAAATTTGCGAAGGGCACCCTTAATATATCCACACCTAAGAGCATCTCCAAACGTACCCTTGTGTCTTTGGATGAGAATGATTCATATCTCGAAGAAGAAGATGCTACGTATATGTATAATGAGACTACTACTGTGAGTGATGAAGAGGAGGATTTAGATTATGTGGAGGAAGAGGATGAAGATGAGGAAGAAGAAGGCGAAGGCGAAGATGATGATGAGTATGAGAAGATAGATAAGAAGAATATCATATCTATTGATGGTGATGATGATGTTAAAGAAGAGACTAAAGTAATTGATTCAGAGAATAGTTCCATTTCAAGTCTAATACCCGAACAAACAGAAAAATTTCGTCAATTTTTAGTTAAACATGAAATACCTCGAAAATTATTCCATTCTTCGATTGGATTTGTTACATTATGGTTATATACTTTAGGTTTCAACCATAAAGCATTAATTCCACCAATCGCTACTATACTGGCTGGTATATTCCTTAATGATATCATTCGTTTCCAATTCCCAGAAATAAATAAACTGGTGGTTAAATTCATGTGGTTTATAATCAGAGATAAAGAAGTTAATCAATTTAATGGTACACTTTGGTTTACTCTTGGAGTACTCATTGTATTTACATTCTTACCTAAGGATATTAGTGTCATGAGTGTTTTACTTTTAAGTTGGGCTGATACTGCTGCATCTACTTTTGGTAGACAATTTGGTAAATATACTCCTCAAATAACAAAGGGTAAATCCTTAGCAGGTTCAATTGCATGTTTTTTCGCTGGTATAATAAGTTGTTATGTGCTTTATGGATATTTCATACCGGCTTATTATACTATTGTTGATACTCCTGAAGAAATCTTTTGGAAACCTGAAACAAGTCATTTAAATTTATTTGTTTTTTCATTAGTTTGTGGATTTATCGCTAGTGTCTCTGAATTTATTAATTTATTTGAATTAGATGATAATTTCACTATTCCAGTATTAAGTGGATTCTTCATCTATGGAGTGGTTTACATCACCAACATTTAAATTGTTTTCTAAGATGAAAAATATAAAAACTAAAAACTAAAAAAAATCAGAAAATTTAAACTATCAAAAAAAGAGATCTAGTTTTTTTTATTGTTATGATGGAGATGTGTATTTAATCTATAGAGTTCATAAATTTCTCCATTAACATCTGAGAAGGGTTATGAATACATCCCTCTCAATTGACGTTATTGCTGTTTGCTACTTTTTATTCCTTTCTTTCTTTATTTCTTTTCGTAATTTTAATTTCAATTTTATTAATCTATATATTTATATATATACGTTTTTCTACATGGTATTATCATTCATTTTAATCTTCATTGGCAATTAAACCAGCATACCCTTGACCGGTAGAAGTACACATTGAAAGTACACCCAATTGTTTATTTTGACTCTTTAAACCATTAATCAAAGTGGCCACGATTCTACCTCCTGTAGCACCTAATGGATGACCTAAGGCTATAGCCCCACCATATGGATTTACTTTATCATAATCAAGACCTAATTTCTCAATACAATAGATTGATTGAGATGCAAATGCTTCATTTAATTCAAATATATCAATATCAGATGTCGATAATTTCAAACGATTTAATAATTGAGGAATAGCTTCTGATGGTCCAATACCCATAAATGCTGATGGAACACCTGCCACAGCTGATCCAATGAATCTAGCAATTGGTTTAATCCCTAATTTTGTTGCATTATCTCTAGTAGTTAAGAATACAGCTGATGCCCCATCTGAAATTTGTGATGAATTCCCAGCGGTAGTGGTTCCATCTTCAGTGAATACTGGCTTTAAACTGGATAATCTTTCCACGGTGGAATTAGCTCTAATTCCATCATCTTGAGCAATTAATTTATATTGAATATTTGGATCTTCCAATTCTGTAACTCGAGCACTAATAGGGATGATTTCTTTAGCGAAATGCCCTGATTCAGTAGCCTTAGCAGCTTTCAAATGAGATTCAACGGCGAATTTATCTTGATCAAGTCTTGAAATCCCATATTTAGAGGCCACATTCTCACTAGTGATCCCCATGGGCATTAAAACATTTTGAGCTTCATCACTAGCATCACTTTTAAAGGCTTGATTGATTCTAACCGGTATACCTCTATGAGGGAAATAATCATGAGTCATACTTTCCACCCCAGCAGCGATTACAAATTGATTTTCACCTGAATTTAATGAACCAGCTTGATAAGTTACAGCTTGAGCAGAAGAAGCACATTGACGATTAATGGTATTTATAGTGGTCTTTACAGGGAATCCTACTTTTTTAACTGCCAAAGCTGATGCTTTTTGTCCACCTAAAGTTTGCAAGACAGTTCCAATCAATACATCATCAACTAAATTTGGATCAATGTTTGATTTTTCAAGAGTTCCTCTTAAAACTTCATATAATAATTCTTCAGGGTATAATTTAGCTAAACCACCTTTAACAGATCTGGTAAGGGGAGTTCTTTGAGCAGCGAGGATGACTATATCTGAGCCTGATTTCTTTAATATTGAAGCTGACATGTTGTAACTGGTATCATATAAATGTCAACATACTATGAAAAAACTCAGAATTTATCAGTTTTGATGATTTTGCAGGATATTTATAAGATTTTACAAATTCTGATTTGATATTAGTCTTCTTTTTTTTTCAGTGTGGGGGCTACTTCCGGGAAATATTATAAATCTGGGGTTAAATCTTTTTCCGCAGGTAAAGAGCGGATAATATAATAGTAATAGTAATTTGTTATTAATAATAAGAAGAAGAGATTGTATATACAATATCTAATTAGTATAAAATGAGTAAACTATAATGAATATGAATATGATATGAATGAACCAAAAGAAAACACCTAAACCAAAATGAACCGAACCAAGCAAAATAAACCAAAACCCTAGTAGTAGAGTCTACTTATTAATATCTTCTCTAATGGAGACAAAATCATCATAACTTAAACTACTTTTCAATCCATCATACCTTGTTAAAGTCATCCATCCTTCTTTCAACCCCTTAGCATAGAACAGTAACACTTTATCTTTTTTAACATAATTGAAATCAGACTTCTTAAGAAGATAATATAATGTAGTAACTTTATCCCATTCTTCTTCTTCAGCCACTGATGGTAAGAAAGTACCGGAATAATGTTGATCTTCAAAATCAAACGATACTTTCAATCCATTCAATCCGATTTCCCAATCTTCACTTGATTCAATCGGAATGAAATTATCTAATAATGTCACTGATACACTCAAATCCAGATTTAATTCTGATTTCAGAATAGGATAAAATCGATGATCTTGTAAGGCTGCGATAAGACTATATTGTTTGACACCGGTTTCAATCGGCTGGGCTTGGAAGGTTCCGATACATCCTCTTAATTTTTCATTTTGATTCCAAGTAATGAATAATGGTGCTGATGATGGGACATTTGAAGATGATTCTGATAATTGATGGAAGTAAGTTGATAAGGGGATTTTGGTACTGGTAGTATGGTTTACTTTATTTTGTAAGCTTTCAAATGCAAAACAACATAAGGCCTTTGACATGATGGATGAGATTGTAGTTGTAATAATTGGTTGTAATTGGTGTAATTATATGATGGCTTTTGTATAAGGGATTGATTGTATTTATAAAATGTGTCATTGTCGTGCGCAATGTTCAAAACAAAATTATAAGCGCTATACGGCGGATGCAAAATTATAGCAAAGTACATTTAAGTTTTATATTAATAATCTATATTATCTATAAAAAGGAGGCTAGTTATAAAAGAGAGGATATGAAGTATATAATGAACAATGATGATTACATTTTATTATATTGGATGATATTACCTTCGACATTTAAATTGCGTAAATGAGATAATCTTCTTTGTAAATTAAATTCAAGATCATTAATATTATTCAATTTACAATAAGATAAATCCAAAGTATGGATAGTTTCGGGAAAGATTTCAAGAGGGTTGAAATTATAATTTAATGATGTGAGGTAATTCCCGGTTAATTTGATATTAGTTAATGATGTTGGGAATTTAATTAGATTTGTAATAAGATTTCTTGATAAATCTATGGTTTTTAAATTTTGGAATAATGAACAGTATTCGGAAGGGGAAAGGAATTTTAAATTGATAAGATTATTTCCTGAAAGATCAATTTTCTCAAGAGCATATGTGGGAATGTTTGTTTCATTGGTTGAATCAAATAAATTTAAATTAACAAGGGTATTATTAGTTAAATTTAAATGTTTTAAATTAGTTAAATTCTTCCAATTGAAATTTGAATTATTCAAATTAATAAGATTATTATTTGATAAATTTAAATAATTTAATGAAGGAGGGAAATTTATTTGAGATAAATCATTTAAGGTATTATATGATAAATCCAATGATTTTAAATTGGAACATAATACACAAAAATTAGGACTAATACTATTATCAGTAGAAGGTAAGGGGATTGATAAATGATTGATTAATTTCTGACTGTTGAACATATGTAATTGTAAATTCTCAATATTAATCAAATCATTAAAACTATAAAGATTATCGAAATGAACATCAACATGATCTTTTATACTGAACCAATTTAATCGTTGTTGGAATAAATTGAAATAATTATTAAAGAAATTATCTAATAAGATTTGATTAAAGATATTAAATTTTTTTACAAAGATCATTTGAATATTAAAATTTGAATTAATTAATTTAAAATAATTTAAATCAATGAGTAATAAATTATCTTCCGAATATGGTTTGGATGGAACATTTTCATTAAACAATATAAATGAGATAATCCTTGGACTGATGAATATTTTATGTTTAATAAGATAATTTAACTGATTTATATTTAATAATAATGATTTAACATTATCATAGAATACTGAGGATGAATTATTGGTAATGATAATTTCTTTATGATTAAAATATTGATAAAGACCAATATTTCGAATTAAATTATAGGAAGTATGATTATTATCTTCATTGACGAGTTTATCTAGTTCGAATAATCTCGATAATTCTTGAGCAGGAAGAAATGATAATGTATGATTGATTAATTCCAATGGTAATTTGAATAGTTTACCAATAGCTAAATCTTCATCGAGATAGGGAATATCTTCCATGATGAGAAGAATTGATGACTTTTTTATATAATATGCGTAAGACTTATTTTTACCAATGGATGTAATATACTATTTATATGATAATAATAATTAATGTGGTGGGTGGATAAAGGATTGGTACTATGGTGGTAACCACTAAAGTTGAAAATATATACAAGAAGAAAAAGGAGTAACTAACAAGAAAATAAAATATAAGGTATAAGTTGTATTATTTATAATATAGAATAATATTAATAACTATGTGATTTACGTAAGTCATATGCAAAATTCAATGTTTATTATTGTTTATAGTCATAGTTGTTTAAGATGTAATTCGAGATTAAAAATAAAACTGTGAAATTTTCGATTCTCGATTTAAACGACCCGGAAAAATTGCTGTAACAAAAAACTGTGTATGCGCAGAGATAAGATAACCACAGCAAAATATAAAAAAAGAAATAAATAAATTTCGTAGTTCCATCCGACTTTACCAAACGAAGTTAGTTATCGTAATATTATAACTATTATGTATGTCATGAGAGTAATAAATCGTACAATATTACTATGTCATGACAACTATGAGTCAGAAATAGTAAAAATACTATAGAAAGTTATAAATAACCACGGCAACTATGGCACAACCTTTATATTAAGATGATGTCCTGTGTAAAATGAAAGTAAAATCCATCGCAAGCTTATAACAGAAACTTAATCATAACAGATGAAATGAATGAATCATTACTTAATTAAGTAGTACTTCAGGCTTATTTCAATTACGTGTAAAAGAGGGGAGTGATTGTAAAAGAAACAAAATTTACCAAAAAAAAAAACGGCTGAAAAGGGTAAAAATCAGAATCACATGACTTGTCACATGTTGGAGATGTGGTGTGGTGAATCACCATTTTATTTTTATTTTTTATTTTTTTACAGCCAAATTGAGAAATCTGTAACAAATTTAACTTTGTTTTAAGGGGCAAAAAAATGTGATCTATCATCAATATGATAAATTTGAAATATTTTTCATAGATCATAAGATGAAACCATCATTTGATGTTAATAGATCTCATATAAACCTTAAGTAATATACTAGATTAGGAATAAATTCATTTTTTTTTTCTTGTTTGGTTCTCTGTTTACACATTTTCTATAAATAGTTCCCCGTTTCCCACTCGAAATGTTTTTAAACACAATTTAACTTAATCTATTCAACACATTGTCAAAATAGAAAGATAATTGTCTAGCTCTGTAAATTGTTATATTGTCTGTGATTTCACCAATATCCTTACCAGGATATTGATACATTTTTATTTAGGTTTAATTTATCATGTTACTAACTATATCTAGACTCATGTTATGAAGGTTACTATACATCTGCTTTTACAATTTTTTGAACTAAGAATAGAGTAAAACATTTATTAACCATTCATCTATCTATTTAGGTACTTTCCTTTCTTACACTTAGAACAAAATATAAATTCAGGGAAGAATATCAAGAAATTTTAGCGCTCTATTAGGTTAGAGGTTTTATAGATAATAATACATTAAAATTAAAATTCTTAATTAACTATTTATATATAGTTAGGTACTTTATTTTCTTACACTTTTTAGCTAGTAAAAGTTGCATTTTGAAAATTAGATATTTACTATAGATGGTGGAAATATATATATATATTATAAACATGTTTGACGTAGATTTGTAGGATGTCTATTTTTTTGTTGTTTCATGTTTCAGAGTTTAAATTATAAAAAGGGATCAATATCCTCCAGTTTAATCAATTCAGTTCATGTCTCTTTTCCTTTTCTATCACGTTAGGTTTTAATTTCTAGTGGGAATTAGGTCTATTTACTTATTTAATTACACGGTCAGGTTTAATTTTATTAACTCAAACTAACACTTTCAATAATCTCTGTTGAATAAAAATTTGATTCAATAAAAAAACAGTTGATTCTGAGTTAGGAATCTATCTACTAACTACATTTTAGATTTATTGTATTCTTTTTCTACTTTGTTCGTATTCAATGTATATCAATAATTTATAGCATTAATGGCGTTAAAGCTCTGATTTGTAGTGTCCTCTCCCAAATTGATTCTTTTGGGACGTGTTTTGATCATTTCCAGCGGTATAAAAAGGGATCTCCAATCCTTTGGAATCAAATGATCCCTTGATTAATTCATCTGTTTTTATTATTTACCAAATTAGAAATTACTTAGGAGTTTAGTTATTTTGGTTCATACTATCATGATAAAAGTTTTGCATTTGATACTGCCAAATAATGGTACTTATACTTTAACATGTTTGATTATTTAGGGTTTAAACTATTACTAACCATTTAGAATATTATCCCAATAAATGAGACATTATAAAATGATAGTCCTCCTCCAATAAGACTTCTAGATTATCGATAATCTAGAAGTTTCTTCGGCTATACCTTATTGATTAGTTATATTAATATAAATTGTTTATATATTTAAATAATTGTTTTTGTAATCTGTTAAAATTACTTTTGAAATATAAAAGGAAATGACATTCCCACATTCATTTCAAAATTATTGATATTTATTTCTCTTCTTCTTTAGATGAAATCTAACCTAGTGTTTCTTACTAGTAGAATTTTGTCTTTTTTATAAACATTGCTTATTTAGGAATCATATACTAACTAGTAAAATTAGGATTCTGATTACTCGTATTAGAGACATATAGTCCCCATATCAATTCCACCTAAGCTTAGATAAACATCTAATGCATTGATACTAATATGTTACAATATATTTAGATCCAACTTAACTAATAACCTAGTATTTATCGTACATAGAAGTTGAATATATTGTAATTTTGTGTGTTCTGGCTAATATATATATTGTTTATTTATAGAAGATTATTATCCTTGTAGTGTAGATTTTGTAAATGTTTCATAATTTTTGACCCTTCAACCACATTTATGAGGAATATAAAAAGGGGGACAAACTCCTCAAAAACTTTTAATTATCCATCACTTTCTTCTTTTAACTTTAATTATCTTACATCCAATAAAAGGTCCAAAGAAAATTCTATGATGTAGAGTATTACTTATATAACTAACAACTTCTAGGAATTACTTTACTAACGTTATTTAGTCTGGGAATATCTGATTTCATATAATTTCACATACATTATTGAAAATGTATATTGTATTTATTATTTATTTATTAAGACGTTTGTAGAATCGTTGTAAAATAGTGATATATCATATTAGTTGACCCCTTTCTTCAATCTCAGAAAAGCATGAAAAATTGTAGATGCGCAAACCCTATTTGGAACTGAAATATTAAGGAGTACAAAAATTTCAGGAAATAAATAAATTTATCACCACTTTCTCTTTCTTCAGTAGTAGTTGCCCATGGTTCGACTTGTGTTTTATATTCATTTCTTTTTTTTAACTAACTATGATGAATATTTACGAACTATACATCTAATAATCAAAATTAGATTTACCTTTTACCTTAGCTAGGATAACGTTAAAATGGATTTTTGCCTTACCTGCGATTTGATTGCGACTTGAATTTTTTGAAGAAAACCTGATAACTAAATAATTTATAGGATATTTACTAACTATTAATATAACCAATTGAGCACATTACTTTACAGGAATGCACTATACAACTTATGTTGAACTCATGATATAAGACCTAGTTTGACATGTAAATGTAAGCTATATGTTGGATATCTACAGAAGTTGATAAATGTAAGTAATACCTTTAATTATTAATATCAACTGTTTACTATATAATACATATTTATAATTATTATTTTCATAAATAATGTAGTCTAGAAGGATATTTCACCGTAGTAACTAATTCCAACTAAATTACATTATAATATACACTATTCATTAACTATATTTTTAAAAATATGATGTATCATAAATCATCAAACAATCTCAACAAAGTGAAGAAAAACAAATTAACATCTCAACTTAAAATTTTATTACCACTTGTTTCTTTCTATTAGGGACCAGCTGTCGTATCTATTGCTGTTTGGAAAGCCTCCATTTTTTCAATAATGTAACGATTGATCATGATTTAGGACACTATACTAACTTAGGAACAATAAACTGATTATATTTGTTTAACAAATTAAATATTTTGATTGGTCTTTTAAAACACTAGTCATTTCTTTGTGTGACTCTGAAATCTTCAAATTTGTGTGGACCAAAATAATCTAATTGATATATTTCAGGGGTAGTAAGAATGTCGATAGTATGATCATTATATCACCTTAAAGTTATGAAACTTAACTTATTAATTCTATTTAGGATCAAATTTATTAACTTTACTTTGTGCTTATGAACTTCTGTGGAATTCCATGAAATTATCTACAATTTTTTATAGTTTCAGTGAAGGCATTTATGATTAAAGGTATGTAAGTTCTTTTTTAAAGGCTCATTTTGAGTTCTTACTTTATATACTTTATAATATATATTTAATATCATTATAGTTCTGTTAATGTAGAGGTGTGATGTATAATATTCATAGTTCCAAATTCCGCACATAAAAATTAAGGGGGGCTAAAAGTTAAAAAATTATCAACACTTTCTTTCTACTTCTTCTTCATATAAATATATGTCATGATCAATGAGCTTATTGTGCAGACGTTTGTGATAGTCTCTCTTGGGTCGTTTTCTTCCAAAACTGTGGTTTAATACAGTATTTAGGTTTAAATTACTAACCAAAACAAGAGAAGCCTTCGACGCTTTCAGCCCACACTGTTTAACCCTAGGATTAGTCCTTGAATTTCATCTAGTATGTCCAGATCTAATGTAAGGACAATATTGATTTACTGACCCAACATCAATGGGTTCACATCTAACTTCAAATATTAATATTCAGGCTTCATTTTACTTACAAGATTAGGAAACTAAGAAACACGAAGAGCCTTGACAGCTGATTCAAAACAATAATATACCGATACCTAATCGTAAATTCTGGGAATTGTGTTTGTTGGAATACAGGCTTTCTAATAATTCCTTCTTTTTTCTGTTTTAACTCGTAATATCTATATGAAAACATTTTACTAACTATTCTATTAAAATTATTGATTTGTTGAGTCTGAAATTACGTTGTCGTCAACTCCAAGGTATCGTGTTTTCCATCATTGACACAATCAAGTGAGTAATACTGTTATAAACTAGAGATCATTTGATCTTTCATTTGTTTAGTAAAATATATTGTTTATTATTTATTATTTATTATTTCCATGTAAATTGTAATCAATGATATAGATTCTTGTATATGGAATCCCTAATAGTTCAAAGGTGTCAAAATTTTGACAATACCACGCAATAAGATTAAAAAAGAGGATCAAAAATAAAATCTTTTCTTATGATAAGTAACCTTAATTCGTTGTTTTCGATTGATAA